TCTAATGAGTCAATTGGTATCATATTACTAGACTGGAGTCAGAGATGAAAAAGGCAAAGATATCCCATGCCACCATGCCCATTATAACAGATCATGCTGTGGCGCTTATTGGGCGCCTATCTGGCGTTTTCTCATGCTTTGTTTCTTTTGGTTCACCCCTTTAAACAATTAATTTGGCATATATTTTTACATACTCAGGACCCTCTCAACATGCTCTATCTGATAGTATAAAGATCATACAAATTTTGTGCCTTTTAAAAGTGGCCTATATGTGAAATTTGTGCAAGTCTTAAGCTCAAGCATAAAACACAGTGCCAAAGAGCCAAAACTGATCCATATATGATCAAATGATTTTTGACATGTAGAAAAAAGCTAGAAGTATGTGTAATCCAAGTTTCAAGTTAATAGCTAAAATATAGCAGGCTGTAGAGCAAGGAGCAGATTTGAGTCTAAAAGTGAACTGACTCCCAAAATGCCACTTCTAACAGAACGTTTCATCATTGCATTCAGAAATTGTAACTCCAAAGTAAAAACTTGGATGTCAGATGCAAGGAGAGAATACAAGTCTCAAGCATTTATTGATATGCTAGAGGACAATAGGATTAAAAACCTAACTAGTGCACCACATATGCCACAGCAAAATGGCCACACTAAATGATTCAATTAAATGCTCATGAACAAGGCAGAGAGTCTGCACTTTCAAGCTTGCATTCTTCAGTCTTAGTGGGAGTTTGTGGTGAAACACATTGTTCACATTTATAACTACACTCTACAACAATGTCTCAAATGGACTATGCCATTTAGGACACTGGCTGGAAACAAACTACATGTTGATCACTTCCACATGCCCAATTGTGGCGCATGGGTACATATTCCAGCTGACACTTGCAGCAACAAGCTGTAGCCAAAATCCAAGATAATGACCTATCTCAGTAGTGATGACTTGGGCTGGAGATTTATATGTTCACCCAATAATGTCATCTTCCAATCTTTGAACACTACATTCAATGAAGATTATTTCCCTAAGTGTTCTGATACCAAAGGCAAAATAAGGCCTACACCTCTAAATCCCAGTTATAATGACCATTCTATTGGTCATGGGTTTGATGACAATGATGATAGCATGCCACCAAAATGGCCTGTGCCATGTCTGAATCCTCTTTCTAAAAAGACACCAAATGGAAAGAACAATGGTCCTACCCCTGCACCCAAAGTGTGAAGCTCTGATGTGCCTCCACAGCATTGAGAAACCCTGTCTGCTGGTCCATCTGAGCCATGACAAAGCATGCATGTGAAGAAATCAGTCATACAACCAGAAAATGTCTACAGAGATTTATGAACTCCTATAGATATACAGCGCAATGTTAAAAATGTCCAACAATGAAAATGAGATGTTGATCTCTAGCTGGGTAGCTTCCAAGCTTCACCTCACTTGCAGCAGCCATTGCCTACTCTTAACATATGGCCTGCTAGTCCAGTGTCATCTGGGAATAAGCTGGATAATTCATATATACCTGAGTCCTCAGCCTGGCAATTTAATTGTGCTCTCTGATAATCTGCTAGCATGTCTATGCCAGGAGGGAGGAGTTGATTTCTTTAACTATATGCTTGCACAAGCAGTTGACCCATATGCACCAAAGTCCAATGTTAAAGAATGGACATATCGTGATATTGCTCACTTATCCAAAGCAGAGCAAAATGAATGAAATGACACCTGCAACACTGAGCTTGATACACTTAGAAAGCGCAGTGTCTTTGAGCTCGTTGATTGCCCCAAAAGCAAACAAACAGTCAAGAACTGATGGGTTTTTGATGTTAAACAAGGTGGTCGTAAGAGAGCACACTTAGTAGCACAAGGATACTTTCAAGTCAAGGAAATCAACTATGACAAAATATTCTCTCTAGTCATATGTTTTGAGACTGTAAGGTTTATACTCACACTTGCTGCACTCGAGGACTTTTACCTCATTGGACTTGATGTGCACAACACCTACCTTTATGGTGACTTGAATGAGAAGATCTATATGGATCAATCTGATAGCTTTTCTGCTAAGAGAAAAGAGCACCAAATGCTTCGTGTTTGCAAAGCTCTCTACAAGTTGAAGCAAGCAGGTTTATCTTAGTGGCATGCCCTAAGCAAGTCCATAGCTGAGCTCAGCTTCACATGTCTAAAGACTGATGCTGGTGTCTACATTAAATACAATGGAGATGACTGAATCATAGTCATTATATATGTTGATAACGCTATATTTACCAGATCAAATAAAGCTAAGACCTTTCAAGTGAAAGAGCTCTTTATGAAACATGTTATAGGCGTAGCCCTGCTTTGTAATTTTTCTTGTATTTTCTACAATTTTCCCTGGAGTTTTACAATGTCTCTACCATCATCAGTGCTCAAAACCCTTGTATTAGCACCAGTTTATTTCCATGCCCTCACAGTGCATCAGCGCACTGAGTGTGTCAACACAACACTGCTATCATGGAAGCTGTTACACAGCCTCCTGGCAGTTTCCATCAGAGTCCAATTGGCATCAGACGTTCAATTTACATTGGTCTAACAACATGTCACCAATGCTGACTTCTTTCCATCAAGGTCTGATCGGCATCAGATCTCTGACCTCTGTCAGCCCAAACACATTAGATATCATGACGACTCACTGGCCCTGGTTTCTGTGCTGTCACCTCACTACTTCAGCAACCTGTAGCTTACATAATGTCTGGTCTGTGCACAGTTCCAACAGTATATATAGTCAAACTCTGTCACTATCTAGCCTCCATCTCGACCTCTTGGTCAATCAGGCTAGGTAAGCTCAATTAGTTACTTATATTCTTTACCCTACTAACACAATATTACTTGGTCAATCGGGCTAGCTGCACAAGCTATACTGAAGTTGTGAAACCATCGTCCACACCATCTCGTTTCCATCATCCACAATCCCAGCTCCTTTGTGAAATGTCAAGTCTCACTCCACAACAAACACTAAAAATGTCATGATCTAGATGACGTCAAGGAGTTTCTGTGCATGCGCATACAACAAGTCAGCAGTAAGATTGTTATTGATCAAACAGCCTACTTAAACAAGGTACTTGAACAATGTGGTCAGACAAATGCCAAACCAGCTAAAACTCCACTTTCTAAGGGTTACATACTAGAACCCCATGAAGAAGCAGTCAACACTGCTTGCCATAGCTGCTATCAAGTGGTTATTGGCTTGCTCTTTTACATCATGCTTGAAACTAGACTGGACATTGCATTCGCAGTCATCAAGCTTGTGCAACACAGCACAAACTCCAGTGAAGACCACCTGAACCGTGCATTATATATTTGCCGCTATCTTCAGGGCCCTCACAAATACATGCTCAAGTACGATGGTGCTTCTGGGCTTGGCCTGGTGGCTTATATCAATGCAAATCGGGGCACTGATCCAAAGTGCTGCTCACAAACTGGCTACCTCCTTAAGTTTGCAGGAGGGGCTTTCATCTGAGCTCGTATGCGCAGAAGTCAGTTGCTGGTTCTACCAAAGATGCCGAATATATGGCTCTCAGCAATTGCAGCCATGAGGTTATATAGATATGCAACATGTTCTACAAACTCAGCTACAAATATAATGCCGTACCTATCTGCAGCAACAACCAAAGTGCACTGTTTGTCTTAGAAAATGCAGTCAGTGAGAAGTGCACCAAGCATATTGACATTCACTATCACTATATCTGTGATGTCATTGATGTCATGGAGTAAAGACTCAACACTTCACAAGAGAGCAGGGATCATGGAAGATGGCAATGAGGTGGTGTGGACAGCGGTCTCACAACTTCAGTCTAGCTTATTCAACTAGTCCAATTGACCAAGTAATATTTGAGTTAGTATGGTAAATGAATACATGTAACTAAAGAGCTTGCCTAGCCTGATTGACCAAGAGGTTGAGATGGGGCTAGGTAGCAGCAGAGTCCTACTATATGTACTGTTGGAGCTGTGGACAGACCAGATGTTATGTAAGCTACAGGTTTGCTGAGGTAGTGGGACGACAATGCAAAAACAAGAGCCAGTGAGTCATAGTATCTGATGTATCTGGGCTGACAAGAGTCAGAAGTCTGATGCCGATCGGACTTCCGATGGGAGGGAGTCAGCATCGGTGACTGTCATCAAGCCAATGTAAGCCAGATGTCTGATGTCAATTGAACTTCTGATGGAGACTGCCAGGAGGCTGTGTGATCGCTTCTCTGATGGCAGTGTTGTGTTAGCATGCTGACCGCATTGATGCGCTGATGCACTGCGAGGGTGTGGGAGTAAACTGGTGCTAACGCAAGGGTTTGGGTGCTGATGACAGCAAAGGCATCATATAAACTCAGGGAAAATCATAGAAAATATGGAAAAAATACAAAGTGGAGCTACACCTACAACAATTGAGCAAGGTCACATTGAGGTACTATTTGTACCAGGTATAGATAATCTGGCAGATATCTTTACAAAGAATCTGGATTGGGTTAAAATCCAGAAGTTCCGACCTATGCTCAGACTTCACTTCGCAGCTCATTAGTGCAATCAACCAATGAGCACAATTATGCTGCACTTGGTTAGGAGGAGTGTTGAAACACACATATTCTGCACTGCCATATACCAGTGCTCTTAGATGCTCGGAGTCCACATTTCATAGTTTTAAATACCTGAAACAGTACTGCATGTATATAAGAATCCCAGTGCCTGCTAGGGCACATAAAATACTTTTACTACTTGCAACCCCCACTTGCTAGTACTATCTACCAACCTACAGGTGAGTACAACCCAAGTATCCCCTACAGCGATCTCGATGCCAGAGCCTATAGCTTGTGTCAATAAGAACATGTAGTAATATCTTTGGAATTTATCCTTGATTACTCGTGAAATCCCCGCCTGCGCGAATTCTCCCGCAACAAATACTGTAGCCGCACTCGGTCATCCATTAGCCGGCAGATGTCACAGGTCACCATGGACCCATCTGCTCATCCAGTTCGGTGCGCCTGTGTCACAGTCACAAGGCCATCCGCTACGGTCGTAAAAGTACAGTATCCCTGACTCGGTCACAACACAAAACCACCCCAGCAAGTTTCGGTAAAGCGCAGTGCTCACTTTTTTCGAGTGCGGAGGCAAAAATATTAGCATTATACACTGCTGAAGCCACAAATTTCTTCACTGTTGGAGTGATACATGAGTATCAATCAATGTTTGCCATTCACACCATTCGCCTGATAGTCGTGAACATGGCTGAGTGCAGCATCCGCCTTGCGCAGGTCACCCTCACTGAGACTGTTGGACTTGCCGCCGCCAGGCGTACTCGCGCCAGACATGATTGAGCTGGCACGCGAGCGTACCTTCATTACCAGTGGGCTGTACGTGTGAAATCAGTGCACGTATCTATGCTGAGGTCATGCGTACTCACAAAGGATAGCCTTCCTCCTCATCTTCCGCGCCGGCGGGCCATGGGTAGCCGCGGTAGTCGCTGGTTGACAGCCCTTGCATCTACAGCACTACATGGGTACTTGAGAAACGCCGGATGATTGAATGGACGTACCTCTTCCGTGATAGTACCAATGTCGCCGGGTGTCGCAAAGCCCGAGGTTCTAAACCTAGGGCTAGCAGGCACGGAGTGCGGCATCATACGCTCCGGACCACTAAACTCGAACTGTTCGTCCTCCTCGCCGCCGTAGAATGCGTCCGGATACGCACGACGCAAGGCGAGCTGTCGAGCTTTCGAATATTCAATACCGAGGTTCTTCCAATCGAGGAGTGGGCTAAGACGTTCGACGCGGTTGCGCTGGTTGATACGCTGTCGGCGCGTCTTGGTGGCGAAGGAGAACATGTGATCTGTGAGTTGGTTAACAGAGTCTTCGACAGATTGGCTGCGCCTATCAATAATGTAGCAGCCCTCGTCCTGAGGACGTTCGATGATGTCTTGCATGAAGCAGCCAAAGCCGGATAGGTTGGTCGTGATCGAAGGGATACCCATCTATTCACAGGTGAGCCGATTCAGCTGGATATCAACAGGCGTGTGGCATACCACCGTACACTCCGCAGGAGTGTAACCCCATGGTTCATAATACGAGGGGAAGACGCCGAGGTGGCAACCGCGAACGAACTCCTCGTAGTCCATACCGAGGATAGGATTGTTGGAGTTCAGGAAGTCAGGGTGGAAGACGACCTTTGTACGGTCTGATTCTGAGTTGAAGAGCTGTACGCGGCGGATCTGGTTCAGGACAGGGTCGTTGTGGTCATCAGCCATGTTGTGGGTAGTGATAGGAGGAAGCGCATTGCGTTTGAGAGCAAAAATGCGACGCTTGAGTAAGACCTTGTCCTCATCCGATAGCAGGTCGTCAGGTGTCGGCAAGGTAGCATGCTCCCTGAAATTTAAGTCAGATTCACGCGCGAAGTTATTCAGCTACCCTACGTACCCATTAGAACGCATAGCATGGTCAAATAACCGTTTACCAATCTTATTCTGGATCTCGGTGACAGTGTCGCGCAGCTGCTTGGTAACAGCCTGCCCCTTGAGTGCATCGACGGTGTATGAATGTGTCGGAGCCGGCATGATAATGAATGCCACAACTGTGGTCTTCGAGCCAGCCTTCTTTAGTCGATAGTTGAGCCCTGTGTATGGAGGTCGGCAAGAGAAAAACAGCGTTTACATGAACGAGACTCACGTGCGAGACCCTCAATAAACATATCTACGCCTTTGTTCCTATACTCATAACGTCCCGCGATGAACATCTATGATATCTGTCAGCGAGCACCAGAGCGTATGCGATCCGGAAATACGTGCGTATAGCGTGTTTTCTAGATCAAGGTCGAAATGACCATAGAAGTGCCCGCGAACGAATTCGTTAATCTTCTCCTTCGCTGCCGAGTGCAGGTTTTGGAACTCGTGCATCGCTTGGAACTTCACAACATTGAGGCCATTCGGTAAGACACCATCCGGCTTCCGCTTGAGCAAGTGCTCGGATTCGTACGCGGTGATATGGGAGACTGTCGTGAAAACGTCGGCGCAGTGAGCCGAAGATCTCTCGATGCAGTATCGATGGTAGATGCCGCGCTTCCCGGCTTCATGATCAACGTCAAAGTACTGCAAGTTGTTATAGAAGTCAACGCTGCCCGCGCAGAGGTAGCGGCCAAGTAATGTAGCGTGGGTCGTAAAGACCGTCGTGACGTCGACGTGACGCTTGCGTAACAGAGGAATCGCGAGACCCGCCTGCCATTCGTGGAAGTGAGCGATGACGGCAGTCGACAGCTGGCGCGAGACGTACTGCACAGATGTGAGCGATGAATGACGGCCTCAATAAACGACAATATGCGCACCTCGCCCAGGAACCACGCTACTATGTATCCAAATATGATCGTCTCATTGGTTTCATGATCGTTGGGTGGCGTCGGAATGCCTGCGAGGTTCCACAGATCGCCTTTCCACTCATCGAGTCGTGAGTACTGGCTGCCGGTATCGAAGAGAAGGACCCGAGGAGCTCCTTCAACTAGCCATCGACCATAGAGACACTTTACTCCAGCGCTACGCATCGCGTCCAAAGTACCAGCAAGGTGGGGATCGTGGGGCTCTTGCGCTTCGACCTCCATCGGCGCCGTCTTGTAGCTCAGCGGACCTATGAGGCAGTATCTATCGCCAAACTCGGAGACGGTAACTGGGACCTTGGTCTTGATGACGGTGTAGATACCCCCGACTTTGTTCGCGACTTCCCAAGCACATTCAAAGAGCAAGGGGCTTCTGACATCTCGCTTGACCTCTCCGTCTGACATGGTCGTCGTTCGTGGTGGCGCGCGCGGTCTGCAGAGGGAGAAAGAGCAAGGGGAAGAGATGTCTGTGGGCGCAGCGGCGTTTGGGATAAAATACTAGTCGAGTTTCCAACTGGACGCCCCCATACGTGACGTCACGCCACGTGTGTCTTTCCCCGCAAACGTTCCTTGACACACTCATGACCCTCACAACTATGGAAAGACTCGCCGTACATTACGAAGATCTACTCTAGAGGACAGCGATAGCCAGAACGATTCCGAAGATCCCATGGCCAATGAAGCCGAATGCCTTTACGACTGGAATTCCCACTTTCCAAAGAGCGTACTGGAAGATCACAGAAGACCAGTAAGCGGAGATCGTACTTCGAAAGAGAGCAAGATACGTACTCAAACAGTGCCATAATAGTCCACTTTCGATTATCTGACACTGGGAACACGAGTGAACGTGGACCGTAGAAGACCTGGCGGAGATCTCATGAGTTAACGCCCACTCAAACGCAACCACAATCCACGGTACCTCGTCGTCCACCTCGTCCTGCTTGCGGGGCAGGCAGTGCATGAATCTCCATTCAGGATTTGCACCACCTTCACGACAAAGAGCTTCGGTGACCTGATATCCTTCAAATGCCTTCAGACGTTCGGCTTTTTCAGCTTCCTGACCCATGGATATCCTACAGTCGTGTTTAGATGGCTGATTGACTATGAGATGAGTGACAATTGACTAACCAAGTGTCAGTCACAACAAGATCTGCGCCATTGACAGCCTCCTTGGGGTCCTTACCCCACCAGATATCCTTATCGCACCCCAGCTCGACAACACGGTCCCAAACTGCCTTCGGTGCCCGGTATTTCTCATCTTCCGGAGACGCAACGCGAAGTTTGTGACCGAGCCGAGGAAAGGATACGAGCATATCATGAAGGACGTTCGCAGAGTCACCGACGTAGGCAACAGTGAGCGGGCGTAGCTTGGGTAGCGGGTAAAACTGCTTGGCACTGGCGAACTGATGTGGGTCTGACACAAGTGGCTCTACGCTTGGGTCGAATAAGTGTGCGTTCTCTTGCAACGTTAGAAGGTCCGCCAAGACTTGTGTTGGGTGCCACAGTGATGATAGAGCGTTTAGCACAGGGACAGGCGAATAATTCGCCAATTCCTGCGAGAATGTAAACGTCACAAGAGCTTAAAAGGATTGAGAGAATAGACCCGCCTCAATCTCTTCGTGTGCACCAACACGAGCAAAAATACCCTGGCACATGCCTCCAATGACTCGCGCAGAGTCACGCGTGCTTTCGTTCACGCCGAGCTGGATGTCCTCTCGTCCGAGGAACAGTGCACGCCCTCCAAGTAACGTCGCGGCCGTTTCCGCCGCAACACGGGTACGAGTACTGCGTTTTGAGAACAGCAACGCGATAGATTTGCTGAAGAGCGATTGAGATGGCATGCGCAGCTTATTGTTCGAGTTATGCTGCTGTGGTAAGAGCCATGGCATTGACACCTGCTTGAGGTACCGAGCGTGGGTGAGAACTCGGTCAATTTGCTTGGGGCTGAGGTCAGCTAGAGTCTTTAAATGGGGTACGCGCATTTTTGAGTCTGCGAAAGAGGAAAAGCACAACCAGACGTGTTAGACAATGAGGACAAGGAAGTGAGTCAAAACCACGGACAGATGAACGCTTGAATTTCGTCCATCACGTGATCAGAGCTTCAGTACGCCTTTGCAAGGCAGGAGCTGCTGACAACCAGTGATTACTAGATTACTATCGACTCAGTTCCAGAGTAAGTAGTACCGATTATCCCTGGTATTAAATACAACAGGCATAGCATGACAACGAGAAGTCTTTTCATGACTGTCCGAGAGAAGCCTCTAATTCTTTATGGATGGAGAATCCAAGGCGACGTTGATTTTTCGCTGCTCGCCTTCCGCCAGTCGTTCTATGGATAAAGTTAGCACCGGCCACTCCGATCAACAAGTAAGACCACTCACTGCTGCTCCTGGCAAACAAACGTATCCGGGGCACCCTCCCAATCTCGCAATATATCTTCTTCCCTCTGCTCATCGTCACGATCCTCCCTGTCTGGCGGGCCGAAGAGGTCCAGAGCGAGCCGGGTGTGTGAAACGCCTGCGTACGTAGTGACGCAACGCGGGTTGACCATGATCCTCGCAGGTAAGAACACTGAATTTGGCGCTGTCAAGCGCTGCTCAGACGTGGGCGGCGGAGGATCAGACGTAGGCAAGTCCGAAGCGTCGTAATCAGAGCCGACGTTAGCGTCGGGATCCTTGTTCTGAGGGTCTCGTGCAGCTAAGTCTTGAAGGGAACGCTTCTCCTTTCGCGGCGGCTCGGACACGTCAATGTCGTCGACGTCCTTCATGCCCTCCTTAGCTCTCCATACCCATAAGTCACGGCAAAAGTATGCCTGGGTGCTGTCAAGGCATTCATCGTCGGGCCTCCGAGCTGGCGGATCATTCGGTAGCGTCGCATTGTGGTAGTTTGTGCCAGCACGATATGATATGCCAGCGTAGTATGACTGAGCTGGGTCAATAACATGTGTACCAGATTCGCAGCAGAACGCTTGGAATGGCAGATGTTTGGCGTATCGCTGTGCACCCACAGCATCTCGCGGAGGTACGGTGTTGAGTGATGACGACGAAAGGGACGAGGATTTTGACTGGCGAAACTGGTCTCCGTTGATATCTCGGGTTCGCCATCTGTGATTCTGTTAGTACGATATCAACTCGATGAGTTTTCCAGGCATACCTATCAGAAAAGATAAAGAACCCGTTGTGTTCTGCCCAGTCCATCCCGCACACCATAGCCGCATCGTTGACCATGCTAATCTTAATCGTTTCCAGAATGTCATTTGGACAAGTAAAACCCTTCAGCCAGATGACACGGTTAAACCGTATCTTGCGCTTCTCCCACAGCTCATGTAGAGGTTCGAGCGCAAAGTTGCGGGTGTGTGCTTCTTCCAAGGGGTAGTATGCAGCTGCAGGGTCCTCCGTCATGCCCGGCACTCTGCGTATCCGGTATGGCACACCCAGAAGTATTAAGACCGCCTCACACAGGTCAGTGAGAGTTTCTGTCGAGTCCGAAGAGTCGTAGTCGAGCATGGAAACAAAGAGATTCGAGGTGCCGAGGCGGCGAGCAAGCTGGACGATGACGGCGAGCTGATCTGTGAGGAAGTGGTCGGCAGAGTGGATAACCATCCCAATGTAATACAGGTGTCCCTGATTTGCGAGATCGTCGTACGCATCGTCATCTTTGTTCTGGCCGAATGGGCGAGTGAGCGTCGCGCATTTTGAAGCTACCCAGCCATTCAACGCCAGGAGTTCCTCGATGGCGGTCAGGACAGACTGGGCATCCATATACGAAGTGTCACGCCCTGTAATGCTGTCCAGATTTCAACTACATGGCAGGAAAATTAGAACATGACACATACAAGGGCTTCTGGAACCGTTCCCAGTAGTCCAGTATACCGTCGTTAATCGTGTCGCTGAACAAGTCTGGCCTTTCATCCCTCCCCATGCGAACTTGCAAGAATTTGTGTTTCCGGGCATCTAAAAGCTTCTCGCCCCGAGTGACGAGGTCTAGCACACCCTGCTTTTGGATCTGCTGCGGGTCGTAGCCATAGAGGGAGGTGACCGAAGCGGACGACGAAGAAGAGCCGATGAATAGACGAATGATAGCTATGACACCCAGAAAAAGCGCTATTCGAATGAGAGACCGTCGTCGAAGAGCAATGGCCATGGGACTAGCGGTCGTTCAGTACGATGTAACCTGGAGGCCTGAACGGTCAGGAAAGTGAGAAGCGCTGAATACAACTTGGCGGCCTCGATCAATTCGCCTGCATAGCGTTTATTTCGTACCAACGTAGAATACATGCAAACAGGGCAAGCACCCAGAGTCTTAGCGAAATATAATAAGATAAGATAGTGAGTTCGAAACCGTCGCAACGGAAAGGTTCATGAATGTACAGGTTGAGGTTGCGGCGAGGGCCCATGCGACGCCGTCGAACTAGAGGCGTAGTTGGACTGAGAGCTAGACTTTGGCCCAGTATAGGGCTGCTGCCATCGAAGGGAAGGGGTAGTCGACATTATAGGATTTGGTGGCTGATACACCGGTACAGCAGGCGGGACGGACTGTATGATGTTCGGCGTCGACGTTCTGCTATACGTTGGGGAGACCTGAGTGCATGTCGGCGCTGACCGACTAGAGCCAGAAGTTTGCGCCAGCCGTCCACCTGTTGATGTAGCGGATGAAGTATCTCGGGGCAACGGCGTACCGCGCAGATGTGACGAAGGGAGTTGGTTCAAGGTAGGAGCATCCCCACATCCTGAGTACCCCTGATAAGTCATTGTCGTATACGCTGGTCGCTCTCCTGCACCGTGAGACGGCTGGAAATCGCTCGCGGAAGGCTGAGAAGTCGGTACGGACGGAATATCCTGGGGTCCAGGAGTAGCTACCGTCGAACTTGACTGCGATGGTGTCGAGTATGTGGACTCCGACGAGGCGCAATGGCTAGACGTAGCACATACGGGACCCATCGAATACCGGTGTCCAGACTGGTTGTACTGGTAATTCGTCCACGAGCTATACTGTGAGGGTGGAGGGGGTCCTGACCGGTAGCTTGAGGGCGCATAGGGCGCGTAATATGAGCCCTGGTACGCTTGATATGGCTGCACGTGCTGGGGAGGTAGCGGTGCGCCGTAAGGGGTCGCATGGCCATAAGCCTGAGTGTATGTTGTCGCAGAAGGGCGCACAGAGAAGGAAGGCGTTGACCCTAATGCTAGGGGGTGGGAGCTAGCGGTGGCCTGCGATGTAGAAGGCGTAGCTGGAATACCTACAAAATATTGGGCGGACGCAATGGGCGAGAATATGAGTGGCTCACGTTCAGGTTCAGGAGCGGCTTCGGTGGGCTTTTGGCCAACAACCAACTCAGTGTTGCCGAAGACGACGCTTCCCCACTTGAACTCGCGCTTCAGACCACGATCCCAAAGCACCTCGACGGAGCTAGACTCCTCGACGACACGGCACAGCGTTACCTCAAAGACGCCTGCGCTCACCCTGAGCTTGATGCGCGCGCCCGGCGGTAGAGTCATCAGCTCGTTACGAATCCTATCTTGCTTGGCGGCTTTCTTAGCCTCGGCAATAGCCTGTCAAACTGGGAGTTAACCACTGGTTCGTGCGCCCGACCACGACGGTGGCGTACCGGGTTGTGCTGGGGACACAGTAGCTCCACCTCAACCTTCCTGATGAGCTTCAAGACGTGAGGTGTGTAGACTCCGCACTGATCCACATCCATTTGCACAGTGCCTGGGTCGTTGAATTGTGCCGGGGGAACGACCTGGGAATCGAGAAGAACAACCTCCTTCTCGATGGCTCGGACGACACGGTAGATGATACTCTGACCCGCACCGTCCCGGGCGCAAGAAACGTGAAACGCCTTGGGGCATTTGCCCTTGGTACACTGGATTGGAGCTCCATGTGCCTTATTGCGCGGCTTAGTGCACGCATTACATTTCTGTCCAGCCAGATGAGTCTCTTAGTAGTTATTCCTGAAGAATCATCGCTCACCAAGTTCCACCGATCCCTCACAATGCCATCGACCCCGAGCACGACGCGTTCTCTGCGCTTCATGCCGCTGGGCAACGGATCTTCGACTTCAATTTCGTCTACCCAAGTCTCAGGGACAACGCTCGCGCACTCTTCATGTGCGTACCAAACGCCACCCGCACCGGATGCCTCGCCGCTTTCACCTTGTTTACGACCGAGGGGCGGATTTTGCACGCGTAGAAGGCCCACCCGGTCGGTAGAAACGCAGAGACAACACGGGAAGACATCCGGCTCTTTCGGCTGCGGGCCAAGCTTGAGCGTAACCTTCGGAGCAACTGGCTTTGCAGGCACCGCCTGCGGGAGAGGAGGTTGGTCGTTGTCCTTGGCTACCTGCGTGCGAGGCTTCTTAGACTTCGGCGAGTTTTGCGCGTCCTCAGCTTTCCGCTTGCGCGGCGACTTCGCTTTCGCCACTCTCACTTCTTCTTGCTGTGCTTCGAGTCGCTCAGCCTCGCGGTCCCGAAGCAGTTGGTCAACGTCAATACGGACACTACAATCAGACATCAGCCTCCGTCAGCACAAAAGGCCGTGACGGACATACCTGAAATCAACGCATTGGCAGACCTCGGCGTTCCGCCCAAGCTCGAGCCAGCTCTCGAGCGCGAAGTTGACACTTTCCGCGCAGTTGAAGCCAAGATTGAAGCCTGCATGGTATCCTCTCGGATAGGTAATAACAAATTCTCCCGCGTGTTGGACTAGCCAGTTCGGACGACAGGAGTGCTTTGACAGAATGTTCGGAGATGCTAGGTACGACTTGTGTCGGAGAAATTGGGGACAATGGGAAGTGTCCTTCGGAAAGTACCCTGAACGACAACATGGTCAGTCAGACGCCTCAGGAAGTTCCTAGGCGAGCGCACCTTTCATTGACGTCTCTAACTGCGCCGCCCGAGCTTGTGGGACAGCATACCAAAACTTCGGAGCGCCGAAGTGAATGTAATTGATACTGAAGAGGTCCATATCCTCTACGTGCCACGCGAATGTTGCTCGCCACATGCCAAAGTAGAGGTATGGTGTGTTGACACCGGGCAAGCCCTTGTTGGAGGAAGGAAGCAGCCTCGACAGAGCTGAAGGCAAGTGAGCGACGTTCCAAGACGTCGTCTCGTCCGTGAACAAAGATCCTTGATTTGCATGAAGCTGAGTGACAGAATCTCGAGCCAGCAAAGGAGTAAATACCTTGCATATCTGCACCGTACCAAGCAGGTCGACTGAGACCGCAGTTGCGCCAGTACCTTCTTTCCAGCTCTCTGCAAAATTCGGGAGTGTAGTCGAAGGAAGTGGTATTCGGTGGCAGCCAGTCTGAATGAGGGTCGAAGCTCTCGAGGAATACTTCGTCTTTAGCGACGCGCTCAGCCATCGCCGCTTCGCGTCCCTCCTTCGTCTGAGGGTTACGTCTTCCTCTGGTCCTCGGCTTCTCCTCTACCTCTTCTTCTTCCTCTTCCTTGGCTACCGCACTGGCGACGTCCCCGGATGGCGGCTGGGGAGCTGTCGAGTGGTGAGATCCAGAGGACGATACCGCCGACTCTCGTGTTGGAAGATCCTTCTCGTGTGTGCCATCTGGTTCAGCGTCGTCAGAGGCTGAGACAGGGGTCGCGCTCTCGGAGGAGCGGGGGGGAGTGAGCTGTTTCGCGAAAGTCTCATCTTGTACGGCAGGGCGGATACTGACATCAACGTGGTCCTCGTCTTCCTCCTTCACCATCACACTTGGCGTCATCTCTGGCTCGGCAGTCTCCGGATCTCTTGTCTTTCTTCCTCCTCTCCTAGACTTCGCCTTCGCCGTCCCGTTCGTTGCGCGTGCATGCAGACCGATGTCATCAACGCCTGGAGCACGCAGCTCCTCTCTGGAGCAGAGCTCAGCCCACTCTCGGACGCTCATGATCTTGCGTTTCTCAATGTTCTGCTGACGAAAAAGCCCTGCGCGTCCCATCATCTGCTGCTCGATAGGATTCTTGAGCTTTACATTTGCCAGCTGTGGGTTGAGAGCCGGAAGTGCGTCTCTCCTAGTACGCCGCAAACCCAAGGCTCGGTCAATACTGTACAGCCCTAGGCTTCGGAGGGCCACACTCACCACTCCTTAGGCGGGATGACCTTTACGATTCCACTTCGCATACCCCAACACTCGACCTTGTTCATGTACCCCTCAAAATCGAGGAACTCTTCTATTGTTGGTGTAAAGACTGGTATGCCCCGCTGCGCCAAGGGGTCGTCTGCCGGATCCAGCCATGCGCGGCCGTCCGAGCTCGGTGATAGTGGTGGATGCGCATTCTCATTGCCATAGAAGTGATTAGGCTGAATTGGTGGTTCCGGAGTGGGTGAACGAGAAGGAGTCAGCGATGGCGTGCTGCTCCCTGTGCTAGCCATGGTGGCGGGATGAGATTTGTATCTGGGTTGACCGGAGCGGCTGTTGCAAAGTCTGACAACCGCCGTGAAGAACTCGGGGGACTTTCAGTACAAACTCAAGCCACCCAAGTCCGTGTCGCTGAGTGTTCCGATGAGTAGCGCGCCGTGTGGGACGAAAGCGAGTGGCCGTCAAGAACACTTGAGGGTGTCCTTCGTCGCAGGCACAAGTTACGCGTGACCCAAAAGGGAAACGCCTGCCCTAAACCCTCAGTTCTGGTTACTGCCTGGACAGACCTCGAGAACGTCTCGAACATTTGAAACAACGTTTTCGATATTTTCCGAAAAATAGCACAGTCAAATAAATTATCCAGTTCAGTAGCGAGCGTGGCCAGCTGGAAGTCTTTGGTGCTAACGAAGACGCAACGCGCTCGCTGCATAGTGCACCGCGCTTCGCATTTCTGCTTGAGTGTAGAGTCGGTACGGGGCCTTCGTTTATGTTTATCTCGTGACTGACATTTGGTAGGGCAATGCTCGAAATAAGCTGGTGTTACCCCTACCTTAATAGTTCGGGTTCGCTCTAGCTATTACGGACTTGTCCTAGATTGGCCGGATACTTTGCAAAACGCATCAGCACAGATCGTACGTCAGCTTCACACAGGTTGGTCGCCGTATGTGTCTTGCAAAAACGTTTCTCAAGAATGTTACCCAGTAAATATCTAATGTACAGTGGCAATGTGGAGTATTCGCGTTCACTAGTCTTTCGCTCCGTGCGCCGCGCACCGTAATCGAGTCAAGTGCCTTGCTTCACTTCACCTATATACAGACTGCTTTTAAGCCTACTGCTGCATCGAAGGATCGTCGCGCTGATCCCGCGACTCATAGCTCCCTTCGGTCTCATTCTCTCCGTATCGGTGGCGAGCAGAACGAGTCCAAAATTGTGCAAAGACATCCGCCAGCTGTCACCTCACTTCCGATTCCGTCAGCCGAGCCGCCAAAGTGAAGTAACTAACGCTCGAGGATGGCAACATCATAGCCTCGCTTTGATCGCAGGCGTTCCCGGTGCCGCCTGTTCCTGAGCACTCTCCCGCCGCACAGGCTTCAATCCTTGCTTACTGCTTTCTGCTTGAGGTTTTTAGGCTAGGTCGCCGTCATTCCGTAGAAGCCTTTCTCGAAGTCGACGGTCATTAGCGTCAGAACATATCATATCACGGCGGCAGCTGAGCGGGCAGACTCTTGCGTAGACCCCGGACGTTGATGGGTATACATGGACGCATATCAATACCGCTGGTACTCAGACGCCGCATCGCTCGCGGCTAGCTGACATTGCACAGGTTCGCTTGGCCTAGCCAATAAAGCCGTGCCTTGAGGTCCATATGCCCATCGGCCCACAGACCACGTCGCCACTCCCCTCCCACCATCTTCTCTCTCTCCTACCTATCCCGAGACTACAGCTTGCGCCTGTAGCTCTCGAGCCGCAGCCGTTCTCTCTCGTATTTCTTTCTTCTCTTCTGTCGCTCGCCTTGTCGGGGTTGTGACGGCGGTTACCCGAGTTGCTAGCACCGACGACGAATCATGTGCGCATACGGAGTAACGTTACTTTTACTTCTTTCGATATGGATACCGCACGTCGTCGCACAAGTTGCTCAATCCTTTCAGTGGAAGTTTGGCAACAATGTGAGCCCGTTTACCATGCCTACTTTGCACTCGCTGAGTATATGCTAGTATATCGAAGACAGCTTTCAGGAGTGTCAGAGTCTTCCTCTTGTCATTGAATCCATCACGAACGATCCCTCCGCTCTCGGGGTTCCGCCATATTATTTCATAGCCTTCGAACTCGGAGGTGTCCCGACGACCACGCCTATTGGTAGTAGTAACCCATTATGGCAAGTAACACACAAAGCAGGTGAGCACCTCAGTCGTTATACCTTGCCAGCCGTTTCCTAACTTCGGACTGAGGTTCGTCGCTCATGCTCACTATGGTGGACTCCAACAACAACACTGGCGGCAACGCACCGATGTTATACAACGTAACAGGTGCGTGCACTTGACCTTCCTTTACTGTATGACTCACTGACAGATGTGCAGCTGGGAGTAATAGTTCTTGCTTGTACACGCCTCCAGACTTGTCCACACTGCCTTCGGTAAACCCTAATGTAACCGACACTCTAACGACTTGCGAGCCGTGGGGTCTGACGATCAAAGGCGGGAAGAAGCCTTACACTGTAGTATTATCGGCCACAAACTCGCCTGTGATCACCAATGTCACCATGGGCCCGGAAGACGACGTGTTCACCTTCCCCGACCGAGCCGACCCTAATGTTCAGTTGATGTGTAAGTAATCTGCGGTGCGCTCCCCCTGCAGCTTCTCCGCTATACACCAGCTACATTCAACTTGCTGACTTCTGCTTCGCACCAGGTTCCGTTCTTGATGCGTGAGTTGACGTGTTGCGTGCTATATTATTTCGAACCTTATGTCATGCGCAGAACAGGGCAATGGGGGGTGTCATCCAACACAGTGCACACGACAGGGTCGAGCAACACGACTTGCGTCGGCCTCGTCTCTTCGTCTAAGACGACTGCCCAAATACAACAACAGGAAGCGCAAGCACAGGCACAGGCCGCTGAAGCCTCTCGTCAACGCACGCTGCACCTGGCACTTGGCCTCGCTTTGGGTCTCGGAGTTCCGACCGTCCTTGGTATTGCGCTCTTCTCCTACTTCTGCTATCGTCGTCGTAAAAATCCCCGCGAACAAAGAGGCATCTGGGACGATCAAGATACCGAACCGAGACCCTGGCATTCCGATGATCACACCGAGATGCGCGAAGTTGACGCGGCAAGCCAGTATGTTTCCACACCGCGGTCGAACAAGTCCGGCTATGCGGCGCCTGATAGCCCTTCTGCGACGCCGTTCATGCAAGTTACTCCTATCCCACCAGTATACTTCGATCGCGAGCTGGAACAGGCTGGCGTGGCTGTTGCGCCAGGATCTGCCTCTCGTTCTTCGCAGAGCCAGTCGGAACCTTCGACCTCCGCACCAGAGTCTGCGCAGGCGCGCAAATACCGTGAGGCATTACAAGACCGTCAGCACGCTCCGGGTTCTTCGTCCCGAGAGCCTCAGCTTGTCTCTCCGCGTCCCGTACGAATGAGCACCCTACCTCCACCGTTACTCGGAGCTGAACTGGACCCGGAGGCTCAACCAGATATCATCATCCAACACCGAGATGGCGGGTCGGGCATTGTTCAAGAGCTGCCGCCACCGTACGCAGATCGCAGTGCAACCCGGGCGCCGACCGATACCCGCGATATATGATAGGGCTACTGCATTCCCATCTCAGCTATGACCACGGTTATCCTACTTTTGCTCCACCCGCCGACACCCTTCGATGTACTACCTAGGCTTCATTTGGACTACAACTTTCTTACCCTACGTGTACCACCTACTACCTCCTCACTTCTACGACGCTTACGCCTTTCTCGTGTCCTCGGGGCGTAGACCTTCGCGGCAAGCCGTCGCGGTGCAATCCCTTCCCTCCCTTTGCATCGCTTGCCCCTTCCGCCGGCCCAGTACATCTCATTGTGCCGGTAACCAGTGCTGCGCATTCCCTGCACTCCGGCATAAAAAGTTCACCCACATTGTTCATCTGGCCACGTCTCTCCATTTTTGGGCAAGCTGTCGTCTTATCCGGCAGTATTGGTGCGGATGGCTGTACTCTTTGCACGATGCAGCCGCATCAAGACGTATTTCATCCCATCTGCGTTGGCCGAACGGACACACTATGACAACCAACTTTTCGCGGCTGTAATTAAACTTGCTTCAATGGCATTTTCTTTGCAAACCTTTCTGGAACGACGACCGATCGTCGCGGCGCTATGGCCCAAATTTCCCACCGGAGTCCACACTCGCGCTGAAGGTATGGAAAGGGCAGGAATAGCCAGCATCTACGCTGGTGAGTACACGCTGATAGGCAAGTCTAATCATGCGCTCAGCATCGTCCTAGCCGGATCCTTTCAAGTGCTTGCGCGATAGGACGTGTACTTCTGGACACCTCCGCAAGCAATTCACCCTGATGGGCTAGTAATGTCGCATACAGCGACTATATAGCCGACTGTTCCGCGGGCATGGCACGTCCAGTACAATCCCGGCTCAAATATCGCGCAATAGCATGGCCGCAGGCGTATAAAAGGGCAACATGCAATAGAGTCCATCCTCAGCCTCGTTTAGCGCGATACTGTTCTCACCGACCGCAACCCCGTCCACCCTCTAGTACTCACTACTTTCACCGCCACATCCCTTAGCCACCATACCCCTTAATCAAGATTTTCTTCCTCAAAAATCTTGTCGTCTTCTCTGCCCTCGCCTTCGGCGTAATATCCGTTGTTACTGCGCCCCTCGGAGTCGAGAACGAATATCCTCGCCCGCTGCAGCAGCGGCAACGCCGCTGACATCGTCATTGTTCTGACCGGAGAACCCCAGGCGGCTGTCTCCGCAACCTGTCAATCGCCTGCCCCATATACTGACTGCGCCCCCGCAGAGTATATCACCGCGAGCAACTACACTGTGGAAGTGCTCCAGTCGATCATGGCCGAGATTACTGTACTCGCACGATTAATCCGGCTGTCAGGTGTCAGACCGATTTTCTGCTGACCTCGCCAATGAAATTCTCTCGATCTATCGCGATTTGGAGAGTTTTCGGAAAACTAATTTGGGCGCCTAGTGGCCGGATTGGTCGTGCGAGTACATTACGAGCACATCGCGTCCTCGATCGTCGACGTGCAGGGCCTCATCGACTAGTCAGTAGAGTTCATTATGAGCACCGCTGACGGTGCCGCATAGATCGCTACCAGTCAGCGACGTCATCAGCGTCATTACCGACCTCAACATCTCTCTGCTCATCTCCGTCGTTGGCATTCCCCTCTGAGCGCCCCGTTTTCTCGGACTGTCACGCTCTTGCTGCAAGGCTGTGCATCCAAGATGATGATATAGTGGGACATGGTGGTTAGAGCACGGTACCGTGAATGGACATTCTGGTCGCGGCAACAAATCTCCACTAAATTTAACGAGTTATTGTGGCGCTGTTACGAGATTCTGTGTATTGTATAACAATGTTATCGGTCTTTAATTATGAGTTTTCCCCTCTACGTCGACTGTTGAACTATCAGTGTTCATCGGGACAAGCGAGGCCACGTCACGAGTGACTATCCAGCATTGTGCACTGCGCAGTATGACTCGCGATCAAGACTTGTCAGCTCAAGCTTCAGCCGATTGCGCTACTGCGCAAGCACCCTACACAACGTACACATGAGGGTTTGCCATCATCAGGCTCAGCGAAATGTGCTGGGGCACATCCTTGGCCTGTGCTCAAGGTCGGTGTCAGTCCGCCAGTGTCGCACAGTGCAGGACATTACATTTACACTTGGCATCAGAACAGTAGTCAAACAGCATACACAGCATCAATACACTTCGCATCGCTCGCCGTTCATACCTACTGTGTCTGCGCACCGTACCCACGGATACCCTCTGCAAAGGACCAGTGCGTATCGAGCACAATCGGCTCTGAGATGTCGACGCCCGTCTCGGTGACTTTCGCAATTTGGAACTGCGTTGATGCGTGCTCAGCTCCCACAGTTTGAAGTCGCTAGGTGAGAGACGCACCTTGTTTAAGCTCCGCGCGTCCCTGTAAAAGAGCACGCGCATGCTCTCGGTGAGAACCCTCTTCGCCTCTTCCTCAGCAAGAGTGTCCTCGCGGGTCTCAACAGCCTGGCGGAGGAGCGGCAGCGCGATGTGCGCGCCGTAGCCGGTTGCGAGCGTGCTCGCCTGGTACGTCGTGCCGAGGAGGTCGACGTACCCGAGGAAGCTCTTCCCGTCGCGCACGCCGCCGACGAGGAGCGCGTTCCAGAGCGGGTTCATCTTCGATCGGCGCGCATACATCACTCGCGCGAGGTACTCGTGCACCTCCTGCGGCGCAAACTCGTTCCCGTCCCCCGCCGTGAACTCGTCCGTCACGAGCTCGTCGAGCATGCCCTGCAGGTACTGGAAGTCGCTCATGTCGCCTGACGCGCCGAGCACGGTCGTCCGGCCCACTGCGTGCAAGCGCTGCACGGACTTGAAGCGAGCGAGCGAGCCGTATGATGCTGCCGAGTCTCGTCAGTAACCGGGCTGCAGATGGTCAATAATGAGCATACCAAGGGTATCTGCGGCCATCATAATCCCATCCTTGTACTTAATCGCAAGTACGCTTGTTCCAGTCACAATAGGCTGTCTTTGGTCCACAAGGTAATCCACATTGCAATAAAGCAAGCACAGCAGGGGTGGGTACTTGTTAGCACCAGGTTGTCCACAAAAGAAAGACAAGCACTAACTGCGTCCGCTGCACGCCCTCCGCGAAAGTATCCTTCCCATGCTGTGCACGCTGGTGCAGCGGATAGGTGTTGAAGTTGTCCACCGCGTCGTTGCGCTATACGCCACAGCGTTGCCGTATCATATGCCAGCAATCGAGTCATCGTTTGTTCGTTCGTTCGAGATTATTCAAGACGTCGCACGCCCGGCCGCGAAGACACCGACAATCACCAATAGTTGAATCCCCCAGCACCACAAGAGACAAAGAGCAACAGAAGCACGACACCCGTCAGCACGCGCTCCCCCACAAGACAGGGCAAGCAGACTCACCGGACGGCCCCAGCTCGTCGGAAAGTGGTCCATGTCTTCAAGATCCTCGTTTGCACAAAAATCCTGTCAGCACCTATCAGCACTGCACTGCACGCCTGTATAAGCCACCCTCAGGCCCAGCAATCCAGGCGGACGGCAGGCATACGCACCTAGTTCCCAGAAAGCCTGTCAGACACATCCAGTCCTCCTTCAACTGCACACTCAATGCAAACGTACCTCGAGTAAAGCTAACCTTAATGCTTCGTCTTGGTAAATCTGACGAGCCCCCAGGTCAGCCCTGCATGTATGCACCTTAGTCCTCTCTCACCTTACGTCGGGCCGTCGGAGAGCCAAGTCTGCCTGTCTCCGCAAGAGTCTAGATACGCTGGGAAGAGAAGAGTCTCGTAGAAACTTCAAATGTTGCAGTATGTTGGCACAGCGGTAGTGGTGGTGACAAAAAGCCCAGTCGCGTTCGAAGTCTGAAGAGGTGACGCGCAAGCGTGCGTGCGCGTCCGCCAGTCGAATCAGGCGCCTATAATGATCAGGCGCCCAGGCGCGCTCGGGGCGGCATTACGTAATACCGCTCATGCCTGGATGGGGCGGGTGTTCATTTCCAAGTGGGCGTCACTCGCTTGTGGGATCCCTCTCACGATCGTCCCGCTGCACAGGTACCGTGTGCTGTAGTCATCGAGGACGGAAAGGCGGTATAAGTAGTACACTACTGTGACAACAGACAACAATGAGGACATCGGGATCTGCCAGTACATGAAGTACTGGGAAAGACGCCCATTTCTCCTCCGGAGAGTGCGCTTGTGAAAGAAAATAATGCGAAAGTTTACAGTAGTGCCCTGAGGGCAGCTGAGCGAAATTGGACCAGAAGGCACGCTGCGGCTTGACAATGCGACGGTTAGCCCCTGCCGTTACTGCCTCCGAGTCAGCTGCTCACCTTCGATTACGAAAAAAGCCCCGCCCGCCGGTCTGTCCAACAACGCACAGAGATATTAAACCGAAAAAAGTATAGCTACCAACTAATCAACTCTTTGCCAGACGTAAGGAACAGTTAAGCACGTACCACGAAGATGTACAACATCGCCAAACAGCGAGAAGCGAGAAAGGACAGGATGCTCGGCACGCCGTCGAGCCGAAGTCTTGCAAATACATCGTCGCTCCCCAAACACCGCAACCCGAGGAGGCAAATCACGTCACAAACGGAGAAGAAAAGCTGAGACAATATCAAACCGGGGTGTACGAGGGCAGTTACTCGCGTCAGCTGCCCTTCTTGTCTTTGCAGGCTGCCATGTCGTGTCGCGGCAGCTCAAAGAGAGAGCATGATGGGGATGCAGCCAATGTTGATGAGACCGCCTGCACGCCCCAGCCATCAGCAACAGATTAAAGGAAGACTTTAGATACATGTCACTTACCCTCACTGCTGTCATTGCAGCACACAGGCGAAGAAGTGCTATTCCAGTATGTCAACTCATACTCGTATTATATACAGCACGTACACATACCAGGTAGAACCACCAACGCCGATGATGTTGAGCGGCGAGCAGGTGACACCGACAGGCACATTAATGCCATCTGCTTCGGCACCAAGGAGGCCATACTTCTCAAGGACGCCCTGACTGAAGCTGTTGTGCATCGTCGCGTTCTGGGCGGGCGAAAGACTCGATGCGCTCTGCACGCTGTTGCAGCACTGGACCGAGCCCCCATTACAGCTACCAGCGCCGGCAGCACCGGTAGGGGTTGCGGTGACCGTGAGCGTCGTGGTAATGGTCGGATAGCCGGCTGTGGTGGGCGCGGCGCCGCTGCTCGTAGCAACGACAGTCGAAGCAGCCTTGGGTGGCGTTGAGGAGGTGGTGTGCGAGGAACTCCAGGATGACTTGTGATGCCAGTGGGTGTGGTGGCTGTCACTCCAGCTGAAGGTAGAGGATGACGTAGGCTCTCCCCAGGTGGACGAAGTGTGCTCGCCCCAGGTAGCCGTCGAGGTGACTGCGACAGTCTTGGTGCTCGTGGGCTCGTGCGAGTGACTGGGGTCGTTGCACGGCGCGGGTACACCGAGGACACCAACCGTAGCGATAAGGGCGGCGAGAGTCGCGAGCTTGGTATTGAAGATCATCTCAAGTATTGTCTTGCGGGTACGAGCTGCAATTGATAGACCATCATGATTAGTCCAGAGGGCGATATACTCGGTAGCGACCAACCTTGGAGGGACTGCGTGATGAGCTAAGGAGGGACTTGAACGAGGGTGCGAGTAAGACGTAGGCAGGAGTTGAGGCGAGATGGGCGGGCTGGGATACGGAACCTGGACAGCCCGGGGGGACTCTTGTACGGCCCAAGGACATGGCGTTGCAGAGAAGAAGTGGAGACACTGACAACAAATGGGCTACGCTCTCCGCCGCTGTTTGCGTTGGGGCCGATGTCCTCGGGGAATCGGCGATCGCTGAAGGGTAGTGAGCGAGCGAAGACAGGTGGGCCGATGGGCGGACTGAAAGCGAGCAGGGAAGAGTATAAGGCGTCTAATATTTTGCAGACGCGTCGGGGACGCGTCGCGTCAGACTCTGATCACTCATTGCCAAACTCCCGACGAACTATCCTCCCTGCCAGCGGCACTCACCTTCGTTATTTCGTATATACAGCCAACGTACCGCCAGTTTGGCTCCCTGGTAACCGTGAGGACGGACTTCGTTGGCTGCAAGGTGCGGCAAGTCGTCATTCGTGAGCTGCCAGCAGCCGTGACGTCGGGTTAGTATGGCTTCCTGACAAAGGTAGAGCTTGTATTCTGTCGATACACCCCCCGGCGTTGTCCCTCGGGAGCAGATAGATCTTCCCCGGAAGACAGCTCAACTTCGCCACTTTTTGCTCGAACATTCAAGCGCTGACCATTCGCCCTTCGGACCCCCCGCAGGACATTACGGTTCTCTCGCAGAGGACGCTCCAGAACGTCATGCAAAAGAGGACTCGCACTTCGTAAAAGGCTACTGTTGGAATGTCCGCATCCTCGACAACATAGAGACTCCGCCTCTTCGATCGCCCACAGGACATCCGCGTGCTGAGTATACGCCACTTCTATCTGCGCACTCTGCTCGACGTTTCTGCCTCGGCCTTTTGGGCCCCCGACGGCGATCGCTCGCCAGCTGCCGTCGAAGACGACGCATCCAAATCCACTCTACCACGCGGGCAGCTCCACCGCTCAATCCTCTAAATCTCATCGAAGCCGCAAGGCGGTCTTCTCGAGCGTATAAAGGGCCTCGCCAACGACGCAGAACGTCCATCGGATCCTCTCCGTAGCCCCTCCTTCAGCTCTTTCCAGGTAACCTCTGCCTCTCTCCACCCTCGCGATCCTCTCCATCGTCCTCCAGCCAAAATGCAGCTCTTCCGCACCCTTGTCCCTCTCGCCCTAGTCGCCGGTGCGCTCGCGTCCCCGCACCTTGTTAAGCGTGCGTCCCACTGTCTCGTTTGCACGCTGTGCCGAATGCTGACGGTTTGCAGGCACCCAGGGTTCCTGCAATGCGGGCCCTGCCCAGTGCTGCCAGTCTGTGCAGCCTGCGTCCTCGTCTGACGCGTCCAGTGCGCTCAAGACGCTGCTCGACATCCCCATCCAGGACCTCAATGTGCCCATTGGCCTCAACTGCTTGCCCATCAACGTCGTCGGCGTCGGCAACGGCGCGGATTGGTAAGTGTCCCTTATCTGTGCAGCTGTGCGGAGAGGTGTGCTGAATTAACGATGCGCAGCGCGTCGACTCCCGTGTGCTGTAATTCGAGCTACAAGGGCGGGCTGGTGAACGTCGGCTGTACCCCCGCCATCGTGCAAGGCTGAGCTCGCGTTCTGTGATACCCGTGAGTCGTCCTCTTGTTCTCGCCTACCTCAGCTAAACTCCCGTCTCGGTTTGCACAGCATGTAGTATTCCCGCATGATCGCGCCCAGACGGTGGAGGGTGCCGGGACTGGAGGTCAGCTATGGAGGACGGTCATCCGATTGTCGAATATTCGAATCTGTCTGTCGTCATGTTGTCCACAGCACTATAGTACTATACCTTACGCATGTTTGTTCATGGTTAATCGGAAATCCGAAAAAACGAGTTTTGTTCGGAACGCGAAGTCAAAGTGATTCAGGTCTCGGGCGAAGCATCGGACCGGGCCGGGACAGACGCCACAAAGTTGTCGGGCGCGGATGTCTTGCGCTTTCAAATTCCAACCACGACGGCCTCCACCCAGTCTTCATGTATCCTCTTTCGCAACATTGCTTCAGAAGCTGAAAGCGCTGAAAGTGTGTGTGGGCAGCGCTCTCAGACTATGTCGAGCAACTTGGATCTGGCGCATACTTATCGCAATCTGCTCATGCATTCGCATGTATGTGCCATGATCTTAAGTATACCGTTGCTGTCATTCCCACCCCACTGACTGCCATCTCCACGAAGTGTAAGTTTATTTATCATAATTTGGAACATAAACTCTGGGGTAGCTTTATCATGGGGTGGCCATCTATCGCGAGCGCGGGATTTGATTGCAGGGAAGTGGAGTCGGAGGCTTTATGGTCCAGAAGGTTAAGCTTCTTTCATTGCGCTGCGCCCATCGTATCTTTATACACTGCTTCCGATCCCTCCGACGACATAGCCTACCACACATCTGCACCCGCTCCTCCAGTTTCCTATCACGAAGCCGTGGAGAGCAGAAAAACCTGGGTGTGTCGTACGACAGCTATGTTTGCGTTGTCATGTTATCGTTCATTCAATCGCACAGGTGCAACTATGTGGAGGCATAACCTAGGTGCCGTTCGATTCCGACGTGAAGATGCCGGCTTCGGATCTCAACAGAATGCGTTTGCACGTCTGAAAGTCGGAACCTTTGTTTGGAGTAAGTGGCTCATTCATGTTGTATCGCCGAGGGATATGGGCTCAACGGAAATCGGGATGCAGGGTGGCAGACCACATGTCCCCTCAGGAGACAACACTTCAGCGCACTCGGCAAGTGACCTCATCGACGATGTGCTCATTGGTCAGTGGCTCACAAACCTACTGTAGAGCGGTCTGATGTATAATCGGCCTTGCCATGTACTCAAGCTTATATAGCCCCAGTTTGTTGAGGCTGAAACCCAGCGTCATACCATGAACCCCTCTACAACTCCAGGACAAAACCCACGCACGTCTGTTAAGCCCACCACAGACAAGCAAGCCGCGGTTCTCTTTTGTCTCATGTCCTTTGCTTCCTTCATCCTGATATATCTCACACCCCCTTCGACCCAAGACCTCTTCCCCGCCTTCCAATACGTCTGGGAGACTGGGATTTACCCTGACGGCCTGTCGATTCGCAGGGCATACACCGGGTTGAAGGCACTGGACGAGATCCTCACAGGTCTTGCGGGATTTTTCAGTGCAGCCGTAGATGGACGGGACGAGGCAACTCGCATGTTCTGTCTCTGGTTCCTGCCACAGCTGTGCACTGTCCTCGTCTTCCTGTATTGGGAAGCCGCCAGGACGAGCGCAAGACTTGTTTCCATGTGCGTACATTGCACCATGTTTGTAATATTTCGCAGCACTGACGTTCTGACCATCAGGCCGACCGTCTTCGGAATGCTAGCGCAGCTCATTACCGCAGGTGTGGTGCTGCCTCTCTACTTCGCTCTTCACATCTGTGAAGTGCCTCCGGTCCCGGGAACGCGGAAGATGTACAGCGCGACTCGTGTCCGGATGCTTTTCCCTGCTATCGCGCTTGGCTTCCTACTTCCATCCGCCTTTCTCTTCCTCTTTTCTGCTGGAGACGCGGCCTCCTTGGACCGAAAGCAGATCATTGCCGCTGCGTGGCAGCCTTTCCCAGTCTACGTCGCCGCTGTGTATCGCCTCCTTTGCGGATCCACCTCCTACATGCCCACCGAAGCATCCGAAGATACCTCCACACAGCTTCGGACGTTCCCTCACCTCAGAAATGTCTACATGTCATCCGGACTGCTCTCGATGTTGGCGCATTGGGCGATCCTCGTCCCATCTTTGCTTACCACCGACGCAGCGTACTCCTTCGTGCATGTCTTCGTCCCCTACCCTCTTCACTCATATCTCGGCGTTACGCCATCTACTCTCCCATCTTATCGCCTTTCCATTAGGCTACTATTCCAGAACGACTGGTTGACCACGATGGTTGCCGCATTCATATTCTTTGGATACATTCGCCTCGACACACAGAAATTAGGAAATTGGATGCTGCATGTGGCCAAGTGGACAGTTCTCGGAGGGCCCGGAGCAGCGATGGCGTGGGCTGCTGTGGACCGGGAGGAGCATATAAACAGTGTGCGACTTAACAGGCAGTTCTCGGTACGCTATTTATGACACCCTCCGCCTGTGGCGTAATTTACTAAGTAACTCATACAGGATATCTCCTTTCAGACGGACGCTAAACCTGCTGATCTCTCAGAAAAAAATGATTGCACACTAACTAGTCCTCTGTGCGCACCGGATAGTACGGTTCGAAATTGATTTTGTCGACAATCTTCGCTGCGCCGGACTCTCGAATATATTCGTTGCTTTGGATCTTCAAACTACGCTATGCAGGTTTTCTCCGTTTATGATTTGCGCCCATCATTTCTCAGTGCTTGGGTAGTATCATGCCAACTATGTCTGCCTATCCTGGAAGATAGTGCCACAATTGCAGTGAAGTCTGGAATAATATTGCTGGGGCAGCTTCATTACGAGTCACGACGTAGTAGATAGCCCACTGATGACTCATACCCGTGATACTCATGCGACGGTGAAACTGCTCAGAAAGGTACACTCGTGGCCGATGCATAGATTTCCTTCTGTCGACGGCTATGGCTTTCCGGAGGTCGCATACTGGCGAGTACTCCTCATGAATCATGAATACAGATCAGCTCAACAGAAAGACAAGTGAGTCTCAGGGAACAGTGACCCCAAACCCAAATGGTCTCAAAGTAACGTAAGTACGTTCCAAGGAAGTGCGGCAACGTGTCAGCAACTAACAATCCAACTGGACTGAGCTACGACAATGCTGAGGAGACAGACGAGAGGAATGTGAGTGAGAAAAAACCAGCTCGAGTCTGGCTTGTTATTGAGCAGTACGAGCTCCTTATATACATGTCAGACTCAATATCTAGATTATACTACAAATATACGGAGGTGTATAAAAAGTGAAAGAATACTGTGGAATCCGGGAGAACCATCCGGAATATGTAATATTCATGACATTACCCTCCCCTTTAGAATCGTGTCCTCACGATTATTTACCAGTTGAACCAAAACCTCTCCTTCCTCGTTTAGTTTCTGTTAAATTTGCACCTCCTCAATATCGCATGACGCAATGCGTTCCAAAATCATCTGAGTGATTCGATCACTGGCATGTACCTGAAACAGCTGATTGGTGGTATTGATCATCACCATGTGTACTTCTCCGGTATAGTCACGATCGACGAACCCAGTGCCAATGTCAATTCTTTTGACCGCTAGTCCGCTCCACAGTGCAATTCGTGCATAGGTCCCGTGAGAGGTGCATATCGCAATGCCAGTACTGATAACCTTGCGACTTTGTGCCGGCACCTTAACACTTTCAGCAGAGTAAAGATCGAGACCAGCAGCTTCTTCCAATCCGCGTTTCGGGAGGATTCCTCCCATTTGCTGTACCAGCAAAGTGGTATCGCGTACTAGCATGTGGACGGGTCGTGTGAGGAGAGGTGGAATACGAATTGTCATAGGTGCGGGTTTGTTGGGACGTCTCGCATGGAAGTCTTGGAGGAGTTCTTCATAATTTGTCAAGTTTGCCCGTAATTCCCAGGAATGGCGATCACCGTGAGGGCTGTGCTTCCAAAGAACCTGATACTCGAGGTTTCTATTTCGATCGCGATGTGAATCAAGAATTTCTTCTACTTCCCATTCTTTCTTGCTATTTACGAGGTCTGGGATTTCAGGTTCACATTGTTGTAAGGGATAGGTGGGTTCTTTGAAGGGACTTAGCAGGCTTTTGTTGAAAATGGGGTGTTGTTTCCATTGCTGGAGAAGTTCTAATTTGTAGACAGAAGCACCAATTTTGCGTTTGACCTTGAACGGTCCGTATCGCTTGTTGTCGAGCTTCTTCATCAGCCTATCAGTTCGAATATTGATCCCTTCTAGCCAAACTTTGTCACTGGCTTTGTACTCCGGTCCGCTCTTCCTTTTCCTGTTGTAGAAACACTTCATTGATTCTTGCGCTAGATTAATAGCGGCATTGGTGTCCTCGCGGATTCGACCCATTTGGTCAACGAACTGTTGAACATTCTTGCTTAGCCCTTCTCGTACTGGCTGGGTTCTTTCGTTGGGGTGATATCCTTTGTTGACAAAGAAAGGAATGTAGCCGGTGGAGGAGTGAACTTTATTATTGTATGAGAAGGCTGCAAGTGGTAGCCATTCAGCCCAATCGGACTGTCAGTAGTTGATGAATAGTCGGAGATACTGTTCTATCTCACGATTGATGCGTTCCGTCTGTCCATCTGTCTGAGAGTGATACGCGGTCAAGGGGTTGGCTTTGATTCTGAGCGATCGGTATAGTTCAGAGATAAACTTATTCTTGAACTCAGTTCCTCTGTTGCTGATGATCTTTCGGGATAGTCCATGATGTGCGACTACATGATCGCAAAGTGCCTTCCCTCATTCTTCAGCATTTAGTTCAATGTTGCTTGGAATTGCGATTATCTGTTTCGAGTACATACAGACAACTAGGAGAATAGCATTGTATCCGACGGATTCCGGTAATACTCCTATCTTATCTACGAAAATCACCTTCCAGGGTCGTGTTGGAATTTTGTTGGGAAACAGGAGCCCTGTGGGTCGTGTGGTGTGAACCTTGGTCTTTTGACACTTCTTGCATCCGGCCACGTACTTCTGAATGTCTTTTCAAATTCTGGGCCACCAGTAATTATGTGTGACCATCTCGTGCATCTTGTATTGATCAGGATGTCCAGCCAATGGGGTATCATGGTGGTGAGCGATGATCTGCTCACGGAGTTTCCTATTTACCAGTACGTAGATACAGTTTTTCCACATCACGAGTCCAGTACTATCTTCGTTCCAGTCCTTGTCCTTGTTCTGTAATGCTACGGTAACTAACAAATCTTGGTTCTTTTTGTATTTTTTAATTTCTGTAACCCAGTCTTGGTCGATTTCTTCTAGACTAAATACTGTACTACGGATCAGGGCACAAAAATGTTCTGGTTTTAACAATACAATATCTGAATTGTCCTCTTTTCCTGCATTGTGTCGCTTTTGACGAAATAGTCCGTCTGCTTTGCCATTAGATTTCCCAGGCTTATGATGTAGCGAGTAGTGGTATTCGGCCAACTCGGAGGCCGATTGAGCTTCTGTAGTTTTCAGAAGTATTCCAAATTCTTGTGATCTGTCTATATTTCAAACAGATGTCGGGCGTCCATGAGGTACTGGCGCCATTCATCAAGACTTGTCATTACTGCAAGAAGTTCCTTATCATAAATCTCGTAATTCCTTTCGGCAGCTGTCATGGCTTTTGACAGGTAGGCGATGGGTTTCCATTTGCCATCTTGCTTCTGAGCCAGTTCCGATCCAATGGCAAAGTCCAAGGCATTGCATTCAACTTGGTAAAGGTTGTTGTCATTTGGTATAGCCAACACCGGTGCTGAACAGAGAGCATCTTTAAGGCCAGTGAATGCAACTTCTTGTTCGATGGTCCATTTAAAGGTAGCGTTGCCTGTTAATGAACTGAGCAGCTTGGCTATTTTGCTGTAATTCTTGATGAACCTTCGATAGAAATTGGTTTAATCGAGAAATGCCTGAATATCCCGTTTGCACTTGGGCTGGGGCCAATTGACTACGCCTTCTATTTTGACTGGGTCCATGCGTACAACACCTTTTCCCACTATCATGCCGAGGTATTCTACCTCTGTCTTCTCGAACTTGCACTTTTCCAGTTTCAGATAAAGTTTGTGTTCTCTGAGAATCTGCAAAACTTGTTGCGTGATTCGACAGTGTTCTTTTAGATCCTTGGTAAAGATCATGATATCGTCTAGGTAGACTACCACGTGCCCTTGACTAATGAGATCTCTGAAGACGTTGTTCATCATTGTTTGGAATGTGGCTGGGGAGTTGGTTAGGCCAAAAAACATGACCAATGGTTCAAGTAACCCTCGATTGGTTAGGAAGGCCGCTTTCTCTTTGTCTCCTTCTTTGATGCAGATATTGTTGTATTCCCATTGAATGTCCAGTTTCGTGAAGTACCGCGCTTACTTCAGCTTATCAACAAGTTCTTGTATCAAGGGAAGTGGGTAACAGTTCTTGATTGTCAGCTCATTTAGCTTCCGATAGTCTTGTATGGGCCGGAGCCGTCCATCTTTTTTCTTGACGAAGAAGAATGGAGAAGCCCAGGGGGATTTCGAAGGTCAGATTCTTCCAGTCCTAAGGTTCTCTTCAATGAACTTGTCAAGTTCTTTTTGTTCATTTACCGAGATCAGGTAGACCTTGCAACTGATTGGTTATGCACCTGGTGTCAGTCCGATAGCATAGTCCCACAGACATCTTTGTGGTAGTGAATCAAAATCTTCTTTACTGAACACGTCAAAGTAGTCATGATAGTAGCCTGGGACTGTATTTTCAAAGGTCTTGGCTTCGTGTTTCAGACTTTCTTTGATTGCTAGGTCTGTGGCGGTAGTGCAAATATGCGCCGCTCCCATGGCAAAGTAGGTTTCGTGATCCAAAATGAAGATTCTATCTCCCTCTTCAAGGCGAGCCTCCAGATCGCTGGGTTCTTTGTGATCAGCGTCAATATCAATTAATCGAGACGCGTATTTGCACGTGATCAGACATCGATCAAACTGAATCACTTGTTCCTGCCAGTCGATCAAAGGGTTGTAAATGTGAAGCCATTCATAACCGAGGAAGACCGAGGTTTTTCCAAGATTGGTGACTGCGAAGGGGAGTCGTTCGACGTGATCTTGAATTTCTACCCTTAACTCCACATAGTCTGTGATGGCGCCACCAGCATTGTGTGTTCCGTTTGCGTTGTAAACTGGAATTGGAGATGGAAGTTTCTTAGTGGCAAGGTTGTTATTGCACACAAACTGCGCATCAATTGAAGAGCCAGTACATCCTGTGTGTAACAGCACTTTAACAGATAGGCATTGTTGGGTATCCAGAGTAGTGATAATCATTGGAACGTCCATCTGTGTCCCTTTCCTTCCCCGCACAAAGCGCGGTTGTCTCCGTAATTCATTTAAGAAGTCAATTGCTTCCTCTTCTTTCATCTGCCTGATTTGTTCCATACAGATTTCTGAAGTGTTGACACTCTTTTTTGAGTGGACCCATTCAGTCAGCATTTTAAGCGCTGACTTTTCTTTACTGAGTATCCATTAGCGGATCCATGCCGCTGTCCAAGAAGTGTGGCGCTGCCACTGCGTAGTTTTGGTCTGTTGTTCTGGAGTAGAAGACAATTTTTCATTTGGGGAAATTAAGCAAGAGGGTTGAACCTCTTCGTGCCGCTCTGCGGACGCCCCTTTCTTTCGTGGTATATACAAAGGTACTCCGAACCAGGAACACAAATAGTACATGAATTTCTCCTCAGTCAACTCGGCTACGCATCCGGCTGACCGCTTGCAAAACCCTTCATGGCTGAGCGAATCTCTTTGTGAATTGCCATTTTCCAGTCAAATAATTCTGCTATCGCGGCAGGTGCTTCGTTGAGTGATGCGAGAGATGTGAAACTATTGCTGACGGGAACTGCCGGTGTCTCTGCGGCCCATATTTATTGAGCTTGTTGCCTGTTAGGGCAATTCCATGAGAGATGACCCTTTTGGCCACATCGGAAACAAAGACCGAGGCGTTGCGCCTGATCTAGTTCCATCGGCTGTCCTCGACTGCCGAATGTCACACTGGTTCCATTGTGCCATGTCTGGACTGGTGCAGTGGTAGCTGTTGGCGCAGCTACACTAGTCTGTGTTTGTGGTGCGTTCTGTGCCTGCTGCTGTGGAGGTTGGAATTGTCCCTGTCGCTGGGGTTGCGGGTTCCGTCTTCAATATTGCTGCTGGTTCAGGTTGATGCGCACGACCCTTTGCTTGTAAAGTGCTTATGTAGTCGGGAGTTCTTCTGACAAATTGTATAGGAGCCGAATGATGTCGGCCTGGAGTGCCTTCTCTAGAAGCGACTTGAGCTCTTGGAAGTGCGCCTCGAAGTCATGGATATTCACCTGGAAGGCGCATAATTCAAATTTTGAGAAGAATTCTTGCGCTGACAACATTCCCATTTGCATTGCCTGTAGCCAATCGTACGCTTTTGCCTGTTCATTGATTAGGAAGTGTACATCTAAATCCTTCCATAGCATGGCCGTAGTCTGGATCACGGTATCTTCATCCGTGTTGTATTTCTTCATGTAGGTGGCAACGTATTCACCTGCGTGTCCACCTTTCATGTAGGACAGGATCATGAGGACCCTGTCAAACTGCTCTGGTAGTCGCTTCCTCTGCGTGACTACATAAAGCTTCATTTGTGTCTTCCAAGCAATATACTTGGACTTTGTGCCATCGAAGGCATCGGGCTTCATTGCACTTCCATTTATGAACACAGCATTGTCTTGGTTCTCGGCCATCGTGCCGGGATCAGATGGAGATGAGGGTGGAGTAGGAGATTGGTGAGGGAGCAGGCTTGACAGTTCGGAATCTTCCACGGCTTCTTCTACAGGTTCTGGTGGACCCTCGGGTGGTTCCCTTTCTCCTAGTGCAATTGAACAGAGATGGTCAGTGACTGATTCGAGGGTGTCGCGTCTTTCTCTGGGTTCTGAGCTAGACGCTGCAGGTTGCAGTGTGGATATAGATTCTGTGGGTTCTCCTGTGCTAACTCTTGCTGGTTCTCCAATTAGTCCTTCTTCACACCATGGACAACAAGCACGATTGTTTGGAAAATGCGGACATGGCTGTTGTACACAATATCATACGGCTTCCTGTTGTTTATAGATGTGTTGTTTGTTTAGTGTACAGTGGACAAATACTCTGCAATGGCACGAGAGTCTTTCGGTCATATGCTACTGGGTCTGTGAAGCTTATTGCAGCAACTCTGGGACCAATCGTGTTGGAATGACCGGATCAGAGGTAGAGGTTGCCAAAGAAAGGAAATTCCCGACAAAGAACTGAGACGCTAATTTTAATACAGTTCTAGAGATACTACAGCAGCCCAAAGAGCGATTATGTCTCTTTGGTCCGACACCCTGACAGGGATCACCGATCTAACTGCTGTCTCTTTTCTGACGCCCGGTCGCAACCGGTTGCCATGTCGTACTCAGAGATACCCGCTTGCACTGCACAAAGTGTTTAACACCACCTATGGTAGGGCAGTGTACGATTCTAATAGGACAGAGCTCTGTCTAGCCGCCTAAGGGCTAGTGATTACAGAGGTGACTTAAGGGATGTGATGTGGTAAAATGTGCAAGTGCGCGGAGAAGGGTTCCAGGGGTCCGGGTCTTGATGCGGTAGAGTCGGTAGGGTTAGGAGTCAGGGTGAGAGTCGGATGTGTGTATTGGGTGGATCGTCGTGTGGAGATGGGTGATGGTTGGAGTGAAAGTGACGAGGATCGTCGTAGGGCAGTTGGTGGAGACTCGAGCTAATGTCAGCAACTAACAATCCAACTGGACTGAGCTACGACAATGCTGAGGAGACAGACGAGAGGAATGTGAGTGAGAAAAGACCAGCTCGAGTCTGGCTTGTTATTGAGCAGTACGAGCTCCTTATATACATGTCAGACTCAATATCTAGATTATACTACAAATATACGGAGGTGTATAGAAAGTGAAAGAATACTGTGGAATCCGGGAGAACCATCCGGAATATGTAATATTCATGACACAACGACTGGATCGGAGGCCAATCCCTGGTTTGTGACGGCTAGCAGATCTCGCTCTATTTTTTCTTCCGACCACCACTGTCTAATGTTTGAGCATGGAGACTTGGCTGAAGAAGCTGCTGGCAAGCCTGCCGCTTGTTGCGACAAGCTTCGCAGGCGTTGAGCTGCTGCTCAAACCTTTGTTCAAGCTGAAGTCCAATCCCTCCATAGAGTTGTCTCGGGTTCTGCCTGTGGCGAAGAAGACCGAGCAATTTCCTGAGGATTTCCCTCTACGTAGGAGCTATACAGGCGCGGAAGGCTTCGATGATACCCTGACTGATACCGTGGCATGCTTCAGTCTCTTCGTAGACGGGCACGACAAGGCAGCCCACCGCTTTACGCTTTGCGGTCTGCTGAGCACAACGTACCACATCTCGATATTCTAGTACGAAATTATCTTCGTGGACAAATCACAAGTTTCGTTCCATATGCCTTATATCCCTACATACCCGTTCAGCAGCCGCCGAACGACGTTGTCACATACCGCCGCACCATCCACCTGTTCTTCCAGCTCGATTCAAGTTGGCTCGGCGTCAACATAAGCACTCATATTCTTTGTATGGTCCCATTCGGCGACTAGGGAGCCGAGGAAGAAATCCATGGGTGTTGGCGGCTGGCTTGCGAGGGTGCGGCATTGGCATGGGCCGCTGTTTTTAGGGAAGAGCGCACCTTCGTTCTGCAGTATATGAAGAAGGAATAAGCCACAGATAGACTTTTGCAATGATCGGTGCATTGGATTTTGAGTAGCGTATATTTGTGCCAATCATGTGCATGCTGATTTGGGCACACTCAAAAATTGGAACCCGTAGCCAAAATGGCTCGAAGATTATCTATAGAAAATTGAGTATATATTCGCCCTCTGGTAGCACACATTCAGAACTCGAAGTCCGCAACCTGCACCTCCGTCCCATTCACTAAGTACAGACTCAGCACCCCGTCCTCCCGGAGCCTAGTCCTATCGAAGAGCGGCTCGGCGACACACCCGCTCGGTACTTCCCACAAGACAAGCCAGTCGCGGAAGTGCCCTGCGGCGGTGCTCGCAAGGACGCTCAGAGCACTCGAATTGGGCGCATTTGAGGGCAGGATCGCAAAGAGCATGCCAGATGAAGGGCCGGACGGGGGCACAACAAGCTTGCCGCGCTTGCCGATGACAGTTGGTGTGCCTGTGATGTTGTTCACGCTGTACAGCTCGGAGGACGGTGGCAGCGGAGTGCGGATCCAAGCGGCCGTGGTACTGCGCCAGTAGTGATACCTACCCATGATGGTTAGGCTTTGGCGAAGAATGGGGAAGGGTGCACGCACCACCGTTCCACGCCGGTGGTGTTCTCACGATTTAAGACGTGGATTCTGCCTTCGTTGTCGATGGTTTGTGCCTCTTGGTTCAATATACCACTACGGACGTGGGTAATAAGTACCATTTTGCATGAGTGCACCATTTATAGGCTACGTACCCATATTTCGGTATACTGAAGATTGTAATTCCGGCGGATATGGGCACGACTGGTTCCTCGGCGGTGGTATTGGCTATCTGCTGCCCCCAATTATTTAACCATATCGTTCCGAGGTCGTGACTGAACGCATAGTCCATATCATGGTTCTGTGGAGAATATCAAGACCATAACGGTGAGTATTTATATATAGCTTGACGTACATTTTCCGGGCCGTTGGGACCTGCTTCGACGGCGACATCTTGACCAGTGTCATTAACGTAGTCTCGGTATGTCCTTAAGAGCACAGGCTGTCATGATGTAGGCAACAATGCACACAGGTGCCCCAAGCCACGCACCAGGTCGTATGAAGTAGGCCATGGGAGTCGAAGTCAAGCCCGTTAATGTAGGCGTTATCTGTCCAGACAACTTAGAAAAATCCCGAGAGCACGGATAACGCCCTTACTGTTCACGCCCTAAAGCCAGCCGTTCAGACCTTCCTGGTATGAGGGGTGTTTGGGTAACTTACCTCGAGATACCTACCAACTTGATTCCAGCCTCTGTTCGGAGTGTAAGTGTACAGCCAGTCGTCTCCAAGGCCCGACCGCCCAACACGCAGCTCAAGCAGAAGGTCGGAGCCAGAGGGGCGCGCATTGCTTGGGATATTTAAAAACCTAGGATATGTGATATTTATGAAGTAGACGGATTTGTCAAGGAATTCGAGACCGGGGAGATAGTCCTGGGAAATGGTCAGATGTAAAATGCGAGAGATGGAAGCAAACTGACCAGTGTAGGACCAAAGATGTCCGCAGTCCACTCAATGACTGACGGGTTGGTTGCGACACCGCTCTTGGATATACGGTATCGGAGGTCATTGTCGTGTTGGTCGAAGCCAATATGGAGAGTCCCGTCTCCTTGAGATATCCCGAGGGAAATGCTACGAGGGCACTTCAGTAAGACCAATGTCCGAATTGTGATACACTGACACGTCGTGGCCATCGTCGTCTGACTGGTTATAATCTGAAAGAGTGAAAGTCTCCCATAAAGATGACATTCTCAGGTCGCGCCGCGAGACCGAAGCGTGCCTGATGGAGGCGTTTGTAGCGTCCGCTGTCCAGAAGACCGCGTACTGATAGCCTAGATCCGATGAGTATTGAATAGCGAGTATGGCATCCCACAACATGCCATTGAGCGTCACCAAAGGGTCCTGTTGAAAAGATTCGCCATTCAGCCTGTTGACAGTCTGCGGGTCTTGACCGAGCGTCGTTGATCCTACAGGGCGAAAGGCAGCGGTAGCATGTAAGCAGCAAGCATAGCAAGCAGCTATCCAGAGTTTCTTCATGGTAGGGACTTACGAATAACGACGTGGCGTGCTGGCCGTTCAACTTATAGAATTAGCGGACGTACATAACGGCCCGTGGAGACTTCTCGACGACGGTCACGAGAAGGTCATATGCATGCGTCACGCCGCAAACTCGGGGGAATCACACCTCTCCGTCTGCAAATCGATAGGTATATAACAGGGTAGTATTGCTAGGCTAGAGATAGAGGTTCGGGGAACATGGGGGGGTAGCGGTAAACTGAGCAAATTGGAGGAAGCGCTAGATTCTTGTTTCCCATTCCCAACCTTAACCCGAAAGTTGCTCATTCGAGCTCTCTTTTATGCGGCTTTTATGGCTGCCAGACTCTCCAAGGCAGCTTTTCTTCGGCCTACACAACTTCCTCCCGTGGTTCTTGTCTTGCGCACTGCGTATCTGCCAGTCCGACAAACATCCTCTGGGGCTCTCCCACGGCCAATCCGGCTTGATCAGTGCGGATCTCCCCCATTCTGCTCTGCTAAACCTACAGACTGCGAACTAGTGTGACGATGCCTACACGAGACATGATACCTAACGTCAGGTACAATCATCTGTATCACATGGTATCACCGTGGCACATATAAACCATCCTCGGCCTCTGGCACAGCGAGCATATAATATTCTGGCTCGCCTGAATAGCACAGCATGCGCCGAATCGACACGACCCGTGATGCAATCGTCTCTTCAAAATTGCGACGTTCGTCGAACGCTGCTGCGTCAACAATGCACATCAGGCTGCGCCGCCGAAAGAACCTACATGACCCTTGGCTTGAACTTTCCATTCGATTTAGCATGGCGTACCCACGCATGTGTTCAGTTTACACGGTCAATCGGGTCATATATAAGACGTTCCCCAGCGATACAAGCCTCACAAGAGCTCTCTCAACATGGAAGTCATCCCACAGTACAAGGACGAGCCTATTCCCACTCAGATCGACATTGGTACGCCCTTTTTTGTGCCCGTTAGGACATGTACTGATCAATCTACTGTAGTTTACCAGGTTCTATATCCTATACTCGAAACGCGGAGGGCGGAAATCGAGCAGACAAAGCGAAGGACATTTAAATATGGCGAGACTGATCGCCATCAGGTGCGCTACCTCTTCTCCCTGCGGTTATGTTGGCCTTAACCTGATCACCGTGGAGCATAGCTCGATGTATATTACCCAAGCACGACTCCCACAGGCAAAGCCCCTGTGCTTTTCTTCATCTATGGTGGAGGGTACCACTCTGGAGATAGGCAGATGGCCGCCCCGCGTGACCTAGTTTACGCTAATGTCGGTGCATTCTTCGCGAGGCAAGGGTGAGTAGTGTCTGTACCGCTAGCTGACCAGGGCTGAAGGTCGAACGCAGACTCGTCGTTGTCATCCCGGATTATCGCATCCTCCCAAACATGAAGTTCCCGGACCCCGCAGTCGATGTCAAGGATGCCATCGCCTGGGTCGCTAACCATGCGGACGAAATCAACGCGGATGCTTCTGTCGAAGCGGATGTTAATCACCTCTTCATCGCAGGCCATTCTGCCGGCGCGGCTATCGTCACGACCACACTTCTGTTGCCCGACTTCTTCCCAGCTGACCTGAAACAGCGAGTACGCGGCGTTATCCTGAAGGGTGGCGGATATCACTTCCAGACAAAGACGCCCTCACTCCCACCGGCGGCTATCTCTGCATACTTCGGGTCTGACGAGGACGTGTTGAGGAACCAACCCCTTTCCTTACTGAAGAACGCATCCGATGATGCAGTTCAAAGCTTGCCAGAGGTGACGACATACGTGAGCGAGTATGAAGTTCCGGCCATCAGAGAATCGTCCATCGAGTTCTACAAGGTGCTTGGCGATAGGCGGGGCAAGCCTGTTCCGGCGGGGGTCTTGGCCGGTCACAATCATATCAGTCCGCACGTTGCGCTGTGCACCGGTCAGGGCGAAGAGTGGGCAGTCGAAGTTGCGAGTTGGGTGAAGGCAAGAGTTCCGAGGTAAACATTTTTTGGTCGTGGCTAGTACGCGATTGACCTGAGCTCTTTAGATCGTCCTTGTGAAACACAAATACAATCTTCGAGTGCGCTTTGATGACGTAAGCGTAAATACCACTTTGGGAATCTCAAAATTCGAACTGTCGGCTGCGTCCTGCTCGCCTCTGTTGCTTGTGTCGCCCTGTTTCCCATCTGTGAAGCTCTCTATGTATCAGAAATGGCCTGGTTCTCATTCTGGTTCTCGTCCGACTGGTGTTAGCATCGGCTTTGGGTCTCGTTTACCTACTTTCCAACCACCCTCGTACTATGCGGCGGCAGCTGGTCTTTCGCCGCGTACGGATTCATCTTCGTCCAAAGAGCAGCATTCTGAGGAATCAACACATGCACACAATCCACCACCCGGGGGACCTCTGTCATATCCGACTGCCGACGCAGGCCCAGATAACCCGAAAAGCAGCGGGCCCGGCTCTACTGGTCGCCGCAAGCGTTCGCTATCTCGCTCATTCTCCCGCGCCATACCCAAGAATCACAAGGAGCAGGATGCCCTCCCGCATGATGGAGGTAGTAAGCGGCAGATGGCAGAAATACCGTTTCTTGAGACGCAGCTCTTGCCCTCGCTGCGCGACACCATAGACAAGATGACGCACCCGCCGACACCTTCGGCCGCACAGAAAGAGGAGGAACGCAGGCGAGAGGATTCAGAGCACTCCGATGAGTCCGCCACGACACGTGAGGATTTGGCAGGGACGCTCGTCGTGTCGCCACAAGTGAGTCGAGTGAGCCGCTCGCCCGTCGTCGCGTCGGGGTATGTGCCCACCCATGCATCAACTTCACGGGGACACGCGAGTTCGATGCCGACTACACCGGCCGTGGGCAACGCTCTGCCCTCTCATTTACTTGCCACTTCATCCTTCAACGCGAATCGATCAGACCAGCCGCTCTCTCCACGAACCGCCTCAAAGATTCCTGCTTCTCCTCGCATTCCTACAAGGTCCAACCTTCGTCCGGATCCATTTAAAGAGATCCAACCAACCCAGCTGTCGCATAGCCCTTTGCTTCAGCCTGCTATCGACCAGTCACCCAGTCTGTCTCTCAGGTATTCGAAGAAGATAGCTGCCACGTCTGAGGCAGCTCAGTCAGCTCGTACTCCTCCGGTATGCCCTTCTTGCGAGAAAAACCAGAGCGGCTCATATATGTGTATCACAGGTTAGTAAAACCCGTTCGCCTAACGTGCAAGCCGCAGGCCCTTCAAGATTACCTCCTGTCAGTTCCCCATCGTTTAGGGCTCGGACACAATCGAGCACTCCGCGTATGGTCCAAGAGCCAGAACAGCCTGTGTCATACCAGGGTGGTTTACCCCGATCAAACTTACCTCGACCGGCTCCTGATAGTGGCTCTGAGCTCGAGCGGGAGTATGATAGGAGGCTTGCCGCAGGGAAGCTAATTGTCACCAATGCTGAGGTTGTCCCGAGCTCCTCTGAGAACGAGCACGAAGAACCCGCGAGGGAACGGCCACGGATCTGGGTAGAGACCTCGAACGGTTGTGCACCTAGGGGGACGCTGCGAACCCCAAGGGAGCCCGCATATAACCAGTCGCCATGCACCTCACCGCGTCCCCCTGCGTCAGTATTATCCCAGAGTAAGACACAAGACAAGCGAAAACGCCGGCATGCGTCCGTTGTCGGCCTTGGCTTGCGAGGATATCCAGAGCTTGAGCGAGCGGAAGCGTCAGCCGAGTCTATCACCGACGACGACGACGACGACGCCAGTGTCTACGACTCAGGAAAGCGTAATGAAACAGAGCATGACTTGCATAACCGCGAAGATTGGCGATATCGATACGACGGCGAGTTTAGTGGCCGCGAACGCTCAGATGTCGATCACGGCCAGTACGTGAGGCACGAACGGAAGCAGGTTGATAGGCGGCCGGAGTATTCGTACAGTCCAAATATCCAACCTTCCGATTCACGACGGCGGCGGGAACAGGCTCTAATTGGTCTTGTGGACGGCTTGCAATTTGCCTCTATTCCTGAGGATCATCCACTCGTGTCTCGGAACGGGGGTAGTCGCGACAAGCGTCGGCGGAGCGGCGAAGATCGGCATATAGATCCTTACGGTCGGTACGGCGGAGAGAACCACAATCGCCAAGACGACTTTCCGCATGAGCCTCAGGCCAGTCGTAAAACTAGAGACAGCGACCGCAAACGCACAATAACACAACCATCTAGGCTTCCAACATCTCCTAGGGTTCGTGAGGATGCAGGCGGCGCTGGACCTTTTGGTCAACAGGATCGCCGTCGTTCGATTTCTGTGCCACCCAAGTCTCTTAGGTCTCCGAGGAACGAGAGCTCACCTCCAGGCTCCCGCGATGTACGTCAAACGGATCAGGAGCATCCGGAGGGACATGTTGCTTCTGAGCCTCCACCCAGGAAGTCTCAACACCGAAGCACTGCCAGCGTTTCCCGGGGGAATGGTAAAAGACGCAGCGTAGCCGAAGATGCTCCTTCCGAGCCGGAACGTCCAAATACTCGCAGGCGATCTTCTACATATGCTGCGGACACACAGGCTACTCGAGGATCCCGGAATCAGGACACTGCTGCAGTTGAAAGAGAACGCTTTGGAATTCCAGAGTCTCTGTCTTACTCTGGTTACGACGTTCATCCAGATACTGCAAGCTCTTCTCATCGGCGCGCCAGACGAGATTCTTTGGATCAACAAGACGACCACTCTTTACCCGAAGAGGACCCCCGCCTGACGACGGCACATTCGACTCCTGATTTTGAACGCTGGGGCGAAAACGGTGATCTCGGTAGCTTCACTACTGCTGCTCAGGCTCTATTTACCAAGCTATCTGCTCGTCCCGCTAGGAGAGAAGGCGAGCCACCCTCTCACGATAGTTCTACTCGACGTACTTCTGGTAGTCGCCGTCCGCCTATGGCGCAATCTCGTACACGGTCTAGTCATCATGTTCAGGAAGCTATTCGGCCAAATCTACGACACTCTAGGACACTATCTACGAGCTCTAGCGCACCGTCTATCTATGAAGCTGAGCCTGAGCCTAAGGCTGTCACGACCCAACCTGAACAATCTCGCGATCATCGTCAAGTCTCTTGGCGGGCGACTATGCGACCTGGGGACTACGATGCTCTGCTGCGCGCTCATGGTCAAACTGAGATGGAACGCCAAGAGCTGATCTACCACTACTCCTGCGCACATTCTGACCTCGTACGCTGGTTGCGTTCGATCGTGCGCGTCTTTATTGTGCCCTTGCGACGAAAAAATAGCAAGGTTTGGCTGCCAGGCGTTCCGAAGGAGGTCACACGGCTGTTCGATTGGCTCGAGGATATCCTTAACCTGCACAGTAACATCGCTGACGTGCATGTAGCTGCAACTGGGCCTTGGCATTCTGGCGACATCGTCAAGGACTTTTCAAGGGCTATACGATGCTTTGTGCCGCGCTTTGAGGTATACCAACCATACCTGGTAAGGGTGGACAGCACTCGAAGGGTTCTGGCGGATTGCGTCTCTACACAAGACGAGTTTGGCGAGTTCCTGCGTCTGAGAGAGGCTCATCCGGACTGTGGTGGTCATTCCCTCGGTAACTTATTGTTGGAGCCCGTGGAACACCTGTATGGGTGTGTGGACACGTTCAAGGTAAGCTCGAGGATTAGTCGAGGATGTGGCAGATGCTGACACCTGGCTTACAGGAATTATGGCGGCTCACTCCGCCGTCTCACTCGGATCACCTGCCATCTGTGTCCTTGTACCAGTCCATGCGGATGATTGCGCATGTGCTGCACGAGGTGAAAGTTCGCGAAGAAGAATACGACTTCATCAAGAACATGTCCAGCCGCGTTGAAGGTTTGCTACCCTCCGTGCAGCTGGCTCGGCGGGAGCGACAATTGCTCTGGCACGGCGAGCTTGTCTATCACCCTGCTCCCTCTAAGGCAGATGCCCATGGCCGGCGGTACGACTACACAAGACCAACGCCCACTGTCTTATCGCCTGATTCCGGTAGCAGATCTAGCCAACACAGGACTCCAACGATTGTCGTTTCACCATGCCCCGATTCGCCGGCTCTTGATGAGTCGAGACAGTGGTCAAAATCGATGGGAAAGAGGGCTGAGAAGAGTCCGAGCATGCAACCGTTCATAGTCCGCGTGTCGATCTTCACGGATATCTTGCTACTTACCGAGATGGTTAGTCGTGCAGACACAGATAGCGAGGAGAGGTTCAGATTACTCTTGGACATCGGTATATCAAAAATCCTTGGCATGTCACTTCAGGAAGATCCTGGTAAGTCTCTACATGAGCATAGTATTCGCCTGCTCTTACACGCAATATAACAGGGCCACCAGGTGGTGTACTGCGCGTTACACTGATCCTCCTCCCATTGGGGCAGAGTGATCTCCAGACGGGTATCATTCCCGAAAACAGCACCGCGATCTCAGTTACACTCTCCTTCTCTACTACACCCGAAGAAGACCGTGAAAGTGTATTGCAGGCACTACGACGCTGCCAGGCCTACTCGCTCTGCTCGCTCTCCTTCCCGTCTCACGCGGGGGCGTACTTGCCGCATGGCCCACAGGTCGACCTCGAAGCGGACACGCAGCGCAGCGTGATGGATATTCTCCACACCGGCCTACCCCTGCCGAAAAGCCCGTCGCTACAGATGCGCGACAACCAGAGGCTTGGGATCGACGTGAACGAGAGTACTGGAGGAAAGGGCGGGAACGACGCGGACCGTGAACGCGAGGAACGCGGGTGGTGGACGCTGCGCTTCCAGCAGGTCCTGCGCGAGGTGCAGCGGAGGGATCCGATGCTTTTGTTGTCGATGTTTGGCGACTAAGTCTATCTACTTTGCCCTCAGCTATTTTCTTTGTTGCATTAGCGGAGCTGACATGAGGTTCGGTGCCGCCCATAATTAATCACCTGTACGCACCGATTGATGAGTGTAGTACATTGCCAAATCTCAATGATGCGACTGCCCTTGTCTCTCGCCACGGAGATGCGCATGGATATTGCCTTGTTTCAAAGGTGGCTTGGGCGCTCGGGCTCTAGGTATCAAAGTTTCCAGCATAAGTGGGCTGATCGAGCTGGTGGGCTTTATCGAGGGACGTTCGACTCTTTCTCGTCGCCATAAGCCCCCATTGAATGTCCTTCGCACAATCTGATACTGCCTTTAGCGCGTATGTAGCGAAAACGTGTGTCACTTGAAGAAACAAATGGAGGGACCGTCTGTACGAGAGTAACGGCCCACACAGCTTGCCCACCAGGGCGAGTGGCACACGGCACCTTGTTGAAAGAGCGTTTTGAGACACTCTTCCGCTCATTGGTCAGCAAGATTTTAAAAAAGGAGTATCGCCGTTCGGTGAAAGAAACCCATTGTTTGCCGCAACTAGTCATCACGCACTCTGTGGAAACGAGTACAGGGTATATAATAACGTCTTGGGGCGCGACGGTGCGCTTTGATCGTTAATTACGAACTCGCAGGCGACAGCCTGAGCTTTAGTCAGACTCCATCTTTGACACCTTGTATCTGAGACTCTTTGTGCTCGCCTCTTCTTCGAACTGCACACATACTCGCTACTGCCACGATGATTTCTGCGGGCGAATTTACGACCTTTTCCTCTACCCTCCCGGAGTGGGTCCCCGAGTGGTTCGCGCGCAAGATGTGTGCGCGCGATGGGTTTGAGACGTTGGAGCTGCTCGCAGACGCGGCACTGCTCGACCTGAGCGTGTCGTACGTTCCGCGTTTCCTCTCTCCCGCTCCTAGCCCCGCTATTCCACAATTCTCGATGCTATTCTCCGATACGCTGAGCTCCTACCGGCTCGTGTCCCCCTCCGCCTCCTCGAATGCCAGTATCTCGCCTAACACGTCGCCGCGCACATCCCCAGTGATCTCACCGGCGAGCACACCGAACACGAGCTCGATAAACACGCCGTGCAATGGCCCCCCGGTCCTCCCGTCACGCAGTCTGGAGGATGAGTTCGCGTGCCAGCTCGCGACGCTCGCGAGGGATGGCAAGCGCGTCAAGTTCGCCGATCCAAAGGACGCGCCTTGTGACGCGCCCGCGACGCGTCTACGCCCTCGCCGTGCAACCGGCGCTTCTACAACAGCAGCCACCCAGGCAAGAAAGCATAGGAGGAGCGAGGAGGACGAAGAGAAGTGGGCTGCTGCCGGGCTGGTCCCCGCGAAGAAGGCGCGGCTGGCGAAGGCTTCCGAGGTGATACCCTGTGCAGCGCTCTGACTAGTATGCCAAGTTCTGATGTGAACCTTGCGTAGGAGCCTGTCGACGAGAAGCCAACTACACCAAGGAAGCCTTCGGCCTCGCGGCAGGCGTCGAGAGATCATAGAATACCGTGCCCGTACCTAGGGTGCGTGGGGGTATACACGGAGGGGTATGAGCTAGAGCGACACATTCCCACGCATTTACCAGACATGAAGTGAGCCTATCATCTCCCCGCTAGTGAGGAAGAGCCTAGACTGACGAGTGCAATCATGCAGAAAACCTTTCCAGTGCCCGGAGTGCAGCTACGCCGCGGTGCAGAAGCGCAATCTCAAGGATCATATGGAGAGGAAACATTTAAAGGACCGGTAGTGAGTGTATCTACATACGTGATGGTATGAGACTCATGTCAGGTCCGTGAACAGTCGTAATATCGACGCTGTGGCAGAACCTAGGGCTAGACGGCGAGCCCAGAAGGAAAAGGTGACGGTGTGAGAGGTCCTTATGCTCCATTACGTTGAACTCTACATCTCTCGAATTTTTGCTGCGTTCATCTCATCCCATCTCATTAGATAAGATGGCCTGTTATTTATTTCTCGTCCTTTCATCCCATCCAATCCACGGACACTGTACTGTATCCGCATCTTCACACTTGCATCGCGGCACCCATCTTCTGTACTACATACACTGCAATCATCAGTCGTATCGCAATTATTATCTTCCTGATCCCCGTGTGCTTGTTTACACAAGCGGACACGGGCGAGAGACTCTACTTGTTGACGCGGCGCTGCCAATACGAGCGCGATATTGCCCAAGCGCCCATTAAGCAACAGCTCTCCCTTGTCGCGCACATCCACGCACTTCTTTCCACTGTACCAATACGACGCTAACGATGGCTCATAACCATGATAGCGACGATGATTGGGGAATGCCCGGTCCTTCACGCGCCGCACGCGCGCCTACCCGCCAACGCGACACATGGGGCATGGACCTCGACGACGACCCTGGCCCCACGAACGCGAAGGTGGATATCGTGTCCCAGGAGCTCGCGGAAGAGACGCCATTTCAGCAGCTTCTCAGACACTGGATGAACGAAAGGCACGCACCAGACATTCTGCATGCTCAGGAGGGCTTGTTGGGCAGGTTGTTGGACCACATCAAGAAGCAGGTGCGTTTCCTGCTTCCTTCGTGTCTGCCTTGCCTTGCACTCGGTCTGCGCGTCCTTCCACACTGGCTGTCTCTCGTTCTGCCATTATACACGCCATGCCCCTTCCCTTCGCCTTTTGGCCTTGCTAGAACCTCTGCTGACGATCCCCAGCTGTAGACGGACGATGTGCAGCTGCTCCGCGCAGACCCAGACACCAGCGAGGACGAGCACTTTCGGATTATGCTCGTCCAGACCGAAATCGAGCGCGTCAAATTTATCATCCGGTCTTATGTCCGTACGCGGCTCCACAAGGTGTGTCCTCCCTACTCTGTACCCTCGACCAGTCCTTATGGTTTGGCATGAAGATTGAAAAGTACGCACGATACATTGTCGCGACGCCGGAGATGCACGAACGGCTAACACAGGCAGAGCTCGATCATGCAAGGCAGTGCGTTCTCTTTACCCTTCTATCTGTCTTCCCCTTCCTTCCACTTGATCACCTCCGCCATGATCCTCTCTAATCCGTTTGCATTTTCCTCTCTCATACGTTCCTCGATATTTTATTATCATTTGCTGACTCTTCAAGGGCAGCTACGCCACACTGACCGAGACTCACTTCACGCGGGCTGTCCTTCAGGGCTTACCCGATGAACAACGGTCACTGGATGACCAAGTACCCTTCCTTCCACCAATGCGTGCGTAATCCCGTCTTACCGTCCTCGCAAGCGGAGTTGCTAATTCCTCCTTTTTCCCTGTTGCTGATCATTATATGCTGTGCTGCATCTTTGTATATCGTCCCCCAATTTACGCCGACATATCTTCATCCGCTCCTTCCATTCTTCTCGTCTAGTATCACAACCTGACAAGACCCGTGCTGTCTTTGCGCACGCGCTTGTATCATGTCCGCCAGTGCACCTACCCGAGTGAGCACGCTTTCGTCGATATCCGTGGCATGACTCAGTTCCTTTGGCTAATCTTATTAACAACAGTGGCTCTGTGATGGAGATGACCCGCGGACAGATCTCACTCACACCTTATCACGTCGTTGAGCAGCTCCTCATGCGTGGTGAGGTTGAGCTCGTGTGAAGGGCTTAGGCTTCGGAGAGCCGCTAGGTCTTGGCCAACTCTAGGCCGCCTTGCTTGTTGAATGCACACGGTTCGCAGGTAAAAAAGGGAGATGTGCAGACACCACACACATTATAAATAATTTAATACCTCCAAAAACTCCATAATACAAGATGTTGCCTGTAATTAAGAGGGGCAGAAGCATATTTTCAGCCTCTCGCTCCCATCGCTAGGCCGGTCTGGGGCATGTATCCCTATCCATCCTACTCTTCGTCCATCTTTTGGGCCTTCGCCCTTGACGCCGGCGCGTCGTACTCTTCTTCCTCTGGCTCGTCCGGCTGATCATAATCCTGGTCCATGTCATCCTCGCCCCCGTGTGTGTCCTCTTCCTCAGGCTCAGGCGGTTCATACTCTTCCTCCTGTTGTACCGGCTGCTGCGCATTCTTGCCCTTCCCACGTCTGGCCATCGGCGGCGCGCCGTCGTCCGCCTTACGCCGCCTGCGCTTGGGCGCGGGGGCGGGCGCAGAACTACCGCCCTCTTCGCCCTCGTCTTCGGGGGCGGTGGCCGGGCGACGCGGGCGAGAACGTTTCTTGGCGGCAGCCTTCTCGGCGGCCTCGGCTGCGAGGTCGATCGTCCCGCCTGCGGACGGGTCGGGCACGGCTTCGACGATTTCCTTCAGGAAGTCGAGCGTCTCGACGGTCTCGACGGCGTGTTTTCTGTGGTGCGAGTGTCGGCGGTGGTTGCGTGGGTGGCGCGAGGAGAGAGAACATTGGGTTGGAATGAGATGGGACGACGGAGTAAGGTGGGATGAGGGAGAACGGAAACGCACAGGTGGTACGCCTCGACTTTCTTCGCGCCGCGCTCGGCGGTGACCCTGGCGGCCTCCTCGACGATCATCTGGAGGAACATCTCAAGGGCCTTTGCTGTGCTCCCCACGCAAGCATTCAGCACATTCCGCACGAGATAGAAGTAAACGAGAAACTCGCAGATTACAACAGGCGTCGCCTGCGCGACTTTGCCAACCTCCTCGTCCTTCTGCATGATGCGCTTGATGCGGGCCTATGAAACGGCGTGTGGAGAGCATGGAGGGCGTATGTGGGAGGGTATGGAGGGCGTATGTGGGAGGGTATGGAGGGCGTATGTGGGAGGGTATGGAGGGCGTATGTGGGAGGGTATGGAGGGCGTATGTGGGAGGGTATGGAGGGCGTATGTGGGAGGGTATGGAGGGCGTATGTGGGAGGGTATGGAGGGCGTATGTGGGAGGGTATGGAGGGCGTATGTGGGAGGGTATGGAGGGCGTATGTGGGAGGGTATGGAGGGCGTATGTGGGAGAGCACGGATGAGAAGAGGAAAGGAAAAAGTAAGGGAGAACGCACCACCGGGAACTTGGTCTGCTTATTTTTGTTCTTCATTGTTGGTGTGTCAGACTCGAGATGAGGTCAATGATCAACTTATTAGGACCAATATTTATGTATCCTCTGAAGTCAGACATGCACGTGGCAGGTAACCCGCGCTCACCTGGCGCGATCTGCTCGCGCCTGAAACGGCGCGCCATGATAGCATGCCGTACCATCCACAAAATCACATCTATGCGTTCAAGGAGCTATCAGTACAGCAAACTTAGAAGTATTAGGATGCGTGTATTCAGTCTCAGCTATGTACAGGTACTATGGCACGGGCGCGAAGATTAGTGCGGCAGTGTCATAAAGTCGTGCCGCTAGCAATGACGCGAAAGCCTTAAGGTCACTATCCGGGTCGGTCGGCACAGAACTGGGCTCGTCTTGTTTAAAATCTAGATCATCCAGAAATTTGGCGGCACCAGACATATGGGCAACGCGGCAACATGCTGTGTGGATGCACAACTACTCCGAGTCAAACGACGGCAATTTCAGGCCATCTCGGGAAGACCGGTGAACACTACAAAAGGCGGGGCACCAACAGATGCTGCCAGACCGGGTGGCCAGCATTCCACCATGTAGCGATTCGGAACGTCCTGTGATAAGCGTGCATTAGCACTTCGGACACCGTTTGAGCGCATCCCTCGCTGTAGATATGCAGCCCATCGAATGTGTAATGGATGTCGGTACAGAGTGTGAAAATGTTCTTCAACGAGTGTATATTGCTACCCGCGGATTCATTGATCATGCACGGGAAATTATCTTGAATCAAAGCCTAGATGGAAGCTATGCGAACGTAATATTCTGTTCAAAGTCAGAATACCTACGTTGCGCTTTGCCTCCCTGTCATCGGCAGGGTATGGTGCTAGAGTTGAGCGTATGAGCTCTTGGACACTGTTGAACGACGGTCTCGATACGTGAGGACCCGGTTGAGGAGTGGGGCCTCTACTCTTGTGAACTGCATCATCTTGCTCAGTGAGTGTAATGGTTGGCAGTGAGCGTGCAAAGCTCATACGCACGGATGAAGTGCTGTTGATAGAATTGGCCCAAGTCAAAGAGTTCTTCATTGTTCTTGCGTCTGGAGATCGACTGTGCGACATAGGCTTTGCCAGCATTCGAAGGCGCGTAGGTCAGTAGATGCCCCGGCAACCGGATATAAATGAGCTGCATTTTTCGCACACTCCTCGTGCTCGACAGCAAAGTCGCCTCCAGTGTTTCGGATAGCTTTGCTTCGATCCCGAGGCACCTGTCGTGTGCGCGGACACGCGGACTGATAAACAGAAAACAAACCGGAAGTCTTCCGCGCAGAGTTCGCGCTCAGACCGAGATTTGAAAAACGTTTCACTCGGTCAATCAATAAACATGACGGATAATTTTTTCTTACAGTATCGTACATAACCTCATTTCTTCCTCCCATAATTCGTTTTGTCGTCTCATTTACCCAGTTATGCGGCGCCCTTCAAGTCAAACACATTCTTGTAGAGCTTGAGCTCTTCTTCGAGTGCTCTTTTAACATTCTCTGCCTTGCGCCAGCCGTGACCCTCTCCTTGGAAAACAGTGTACTCGACCTGGCCACCGCGATCGCGGATAGAGCGCACGATAAGCTCCGCTTGCTCAGGCGGGACAACAGCGTCTTCGGAGCCTTGCAAAACCTGAATATATGATCAGCGCCTGCGCACAGCACCAAGGAAAAGAGAACGCACCAGGAGTGGCGCACGGATTTTGTCCGCGTTGTAGATAGGGCTACGCGCATCGTACACATCGCCGCATTCGGCGACAGTCCCTCCGAGAAGCCGCTCACAGTAGTGACTCTCGAACTTATGCCCGAACTCGTCGAGCTTGCGCAGATCGCTGATACCGAAATGTGACGCACCGGCGGCGAATGCGTCGGGATATGCGCAGAGAGTCGCGAGCACGGTGTACCCACCCGACGAGCGCCCGCGAATCGCGGTGCGTGCCGCGTCGATGAGCTCGTGTGGCGGTGCAGCGAGCTGTGAGACCGAAAGCGCACAGTCGCGTAGGTCTACTATACCCCATTGGCCGGCGAGCCGGTTGCTGAATGTGCATTAGTCGAAGTCAATCAGAGGAAGGGCCGTACGCACATATATTGGCGGCCGAAGCCGCTACTGCCGCTGTAGTTCACATCCACCCTGCGATACATGTAAACACCGTTGATATGAAAGAGTGAAAAGACGCGCACCATGCCCAGCCGCGGCCGGTAAAGTACTGGGCTGTGAGGTCAAGTGCCTGGTCCGCCATGCCCGTAGGGCCGCCGTGCACATTCACAACGCATGGAGGCTTCTCGCCCTCAGGCCCGACATACTCCGGATTTGTGGGCGGGTAGAATATAACGTGCAGCGGCTCGCCGGTCTCGGGGATCGTTAACGTGAGGGGAGCTGGCTTGGAGAACAGAGCCTTCCACGCGTCCGTGCTTGAATCGTGCGCCCCGAGGACAGTAAACTTAGGCTTGGAGTACTCCTTGAGCGTGCACAGCACAATCTCGCGCGGCGCGTCTGCCTTTGCCCCGAGGAACACTACCGAATCGGCGGTCACACGCCGCACGTATCCGATAGCGACGTACGGGCATGCGAGCTCCTCCAGCGTGCGGCTGTGCAGACTAAGTAGGTACAGGGCAGGACAGCCGACACGCAGAGCGCTGTACAGCACAAAATGGTCGCTGCTTTCGGTGCCCTCAACGTGCACATGCGTCGCCGTGCCTGCAGCACCGAAGCTACCCAGCGGCGCGCCAAAAGACATACCAAGGGCCCACTGCGGCATCGCAAAGTCTTCGGGAATGGGTTGCGACAGCACAGGGCTCGCTTTCTGCGTGCGCATATCGTATGTCCACGGGTTGTACCAGCCGCTCTCATCGCATGTGAAGAGCAGCGTGTTGTCGCTCGCCCACGCGGGAAACGCCGCGGATACTTCTTTCCAGCGGCCGGCGATGCGCTTTTCGTCCTTGACCTGTACTCGCCCATTCTCAACGGCGACGGACGCGACACAGATCTCGGATCCGTCCCATGGCATGTCGGGATGGTTCCACTGCTGCCAGGCAATCTGCGTTCCATCTGGTGAGAAGGTCGGTGCAGCGTAGAAATCCGCGCCAGTGAGCAATGGTGAGACACCGTCAAGTAGTGCGGTGCTGTGCGCCATTGTGTTGATAGTGACAAGCGACGTCACGACCGCGAAGTGCTCTGGACGTGTGTGATCTTCGCAGATACAAACCAGGAGGTGCGGATACTTGGGATGTACAGCGAAATCGGCAAACCGCAGCACTTTGCTTTCTACGTTTAAGGCATATAAGTGAAACGTTGCTGAATATAGGTGAGAGAAATTGCGTACCTGGTGTAACAGGTGTAGGAGCCGATCCCTCCTTTACTGCATAGATACGTCCATCGGAGAAGTTCGAGAAAAAAATGGTGCCTCCATAGGCAGCGGCAGCAGCACCACCGTACTGAAACCACATCATATGTCTCAACAATTCCAATATCCTCGAGACGAATATGCACGCACCTCCTGAACGCCAGTGCGACAATTAAACTCCTTCCCCACAAGCTCGATTCCTTCTTCGGTTTTAACGATAGCACACCGTCCACCCTCCGTCGGACGCCTCTCGACGTGATATATGGTCGTTGTGACTGGATCAACGAAGATCTCGGCGACGCTGTTTCCCTGTTCGCCGTTGAGTACAAGATGCTTTCGCTATTAGTGGGCAAGGTGAACATACGCTCCGCGCGATAGCATCTGCTGTAATAGGACTATCCCACGTCCCATATGGTGCCACGCGTGGTGCCATGTCTTTAGCCCTTGGTAGTTTAGGTGAGAGGACGAAAGGCGGAACCAAGACACTCACGAGAGCGCCATGACATCGTTCGTCTGACGCGGCCCGGACTTCTCGTCTGCGGGGGCACTCTCACGCAGCTGGCCATGGGACGCTAAGACATTCCTCGACATGCAGGCCAGCACTGGCAAGTATCATGTCGACTCAAGATGCTGAAACGTCGCAGCAGAGTACTCGGGCCTGGATGTCGTGAAATTCAGGAAGACGATGGAGGTAGGGAGCAAGCTGTAGCCTCCGCGTCTGGCGGCAAAGCGGCGGCGCCGGAGCATCACACCTTCGACCTCGACCACCATGTCCTTCGACCTCAGCCTGCCCGTGAATAGCGCACTGCTGCTATACGTTCTCTACTGCGTGCAACGCATCGTCTTCCCGTCTGCCTCGATCCCGAAGACGGTGCCGAGTGAGTTCAAGCACTCGTACACTTGGATGCCCAAGGGGCACCCGCCGTCGCTACTCTTCAAAACATACACGCCTCGCACGCTCGTGCCCTTCAACGGCACTGACGACCCGCGTATTCTCCTTTCGATCAAAGGCGTTGTGTACGACGTAACCTCAGGCAGGAGCTTCTATGGACCTGGTACGTCTTCCCGATGCATTTACACGGGTGAGGTAATTGACCGCGCTTGTAGGTGGCATGTATGCCAACTTCGCTGGACGTGACGCCTCCAGGGGCATGGCAAAGCAGTCATTCGATTCGGGTACGTTTGCGCTCAGGTCTAATGTTCCGAGTAACCTGACCTGTGCGAACAGAAATGCTCACTCCCATTGACCAACCGCTGGACAAGCTTGAGGATCTCAATAACGAGGAAATGTAAGCGTCTTTGCCACTTCTGTACGGGCCATCTGAACCTAAAGCGCGTTACAGCGATAATATGCGAGGTCCGTTCTAGCTCTCCCTTTGCCTGAGTTTATGCTGACGTCTATCGCAGGTTGGATGGATCACTTCGCCAATAAGTATATCATATGCGGCCGTCTGGTTGAGAACGACGCGGCGTAAACCACCAATTTTGGTTTGGAATACTGTCCAGGGTGTACGCTAGCTTCTAATTTTTAAGAGTATCGTAGAAAGAATTCCGCTACAATGAACGCATTAACGCCACATATCTGTATCATATCAGTTCTGCAGCGAGTATCCGACATCGCCGGTATCGTTTTTCATCTTCACTAGTCGCTCTAGCATCTCCTTCCCTGTGTCGTTCAAGGTATCCCGGAATTTTTCGTCCTCCATCCACGCGAGGCCGTGCTGCAGTATATTGCGGGCGCGTGTGGAACCCCCGCGCGTGCAACCAATACAGGCATGCAGTGTCAGGCGGGGCGTCGTGTGCGTGTACGTTGCACAATGCAGGATGTTGCTGTTGTAGAACACTGTCTCACCGGCTGTGAGAATGGGTGAGTTTTATTTCTTTTTGTCTGAGAAGGGGCGGTAACTCGTACGCTTCAGCGTGACACGGATTGCGCCAGGCATATCCATTGGGTCTTTTGGTGGATCCAATGTCGACGAGTGTGTTCGTTGCTCAGGTGTGCGAGGCATAGTATGTGAGTCTGGGACGACGAAGAGGCATGTGTCACCAAGTAGAGCACTGGCATTTATCCTCAGATTCGGCGTAATAGCAATGCAAGCGGAAGGAAAAGACGTACGCATTCCACTGAACCTACGCGCCGGAATATATTAGGATGAATTGTCGACAAATGGAGTCAAACACTCACGCCATACTGCCACTTCGCGAGTGCTTCGCGCTCTTCATCTGCGGTTGCGCTCTCGTGGATGTCATCTCGGTGCCAGCGCAGCGCGAAGTCAGCGCGTTCAGGGTTAATGAGCATATTGAAGAGTTCTGGCACGAGACCGTTATCAGCAAGGCATTGAAACCAAAGCATGCTGATCAGCATCGTGGCGTACGCAGAGGAATACATTAGATTTAGACAGCTCACATACCCATCTGCAACTCGTCCTTCCCACATCCCATCAGCTCGCACACCGTCTGCAGGAGCGCCTCACTGGTGTACCACTCCGCAAACACACTTTCGCCAAGGGCCGGATGCATCATATGCTGCACTCCCCAGACGTCAGGAGACCCATCTTCATCGAAAGGCGGGAATTGGCAGCCGACGGTGCGACGATGCGGCCAGTTGCCGGTACGCGTGCGTGCGGTGGCGCGATGCGCTGCGAGGAGCATATCGGGGAAGAGCTCGGACGGGATCAGGTTCTGGACGACAACGAAGCCGTTTGTATCGTAAAGGGACTTGTAAGTGGACAGCGAGGTCTGTTGCGCAGACATATTAGTCAGTTCAATGTAGTGACCGGTTCAAATAGAGCTTGTTCGAAGAGAAACGCGGTGCTAATCTCGAGCAAGCACTTTGCAAGTGCTAGACAGCGACAGCCGCTTACTGCCGGTGTGGGCAGAGGAAAGACTAATGTGTTATGGCCCTCCGCCCGGGCTTATATATATTGGCGATGACGCTATGCGTACCACATGACCAGGTCTCGCATTAGTACTCCCTACTCACTACTCAGTAACTATCGCGCGTTGCTACATGCACCATATTCGCTTGATTAGTCCTTTGAGCCTCGGACACAAGCAGCTACGGCTGGGGCTGCAACGTTGAACGTTGAAGCTTTGGCTTGAAGCTTGAAGCCTGAGATGCGTAACATAGGACTGATAGAAAGCGCCAGGAGCTTTCATCTTCATTCCTACCAAAAGTTGTCCGAAAGCACTCAAAAACGAAATCCTCCGGTACCTTGCACAGGACATTTCAGGTGTCCTGAAATCGGGCTGTCATTTATTTCCTGCGGGAAGTTCTCGGCGGTGTGCTTTCTGTGGAACAGATGTCGGTGGAGGCCGTACAGGTGGTGCGGGGAGGGACAAGGTAGTGAAATGGCATAAGAAGGATAAATGATGAAAGGATGGAGTAAAGCGGGACGAGGGAGGGCACATACACATAGGTGGTATGCCTCTACCCCCTCTGCTCTGCGCTCAGCGATGACCTTAATGGACAGTCATCTGGAGGAATATTTGGAAGGCCTTTGCTATACCCTGCGCAATCGTTCAGTATGTTCCACACGAGATGGGGGTAGCGGAGAACCTCACAGATGGCGGCAAGCGTCGCTTGCGCGACTTTGCCGACCTCCCCGACCCTCTGCATGATGCGCTTGATGCGAGCCTGCCAAGGGGCGTGCGGCCAGGCATGGAGAGGGCGGGGTGTAAGAAATAGTATGAGTGAGAGGACAAACCAAACGGGGGTAGGAAAGGAAGACGTACTACGGGGAGCTTGGTGCGCTTGTTCTTGCCTTTCATCGTTGGGTTGGACAACTGTGCGTGGTCGATGTCAGACTTGGGTGAGGCGACCCGCGCTCACGAGTCGCGTCCAATGTAAGTTTCCGCGCCTGCTCACTAGCTTGTGATCACACCTGTGCGTTCGAGGAGCAACCACAAGAGTTTTATGACGCGTTTATCCAGTCTCAGTAGGCGCAGTTATGTCATAGAGTCGTGCTGCTAGCAATGACGCGAAGGTATCGGGGTCGGTCGGCACAAAATCGGGCTCGTTTCGTTTAAAATCTAGATCGGCGGCACCAGACATGCGGGCGACGCGGCAACATGCTGCGTGGATGCAGTTAGGCGAGATATAGTGCCGTGGTAAAGAATACAAGGGCGCACCTTGCCATGGTTATCCAGATTCGTATTGGTGGATCCGGGGAAAATGTGACAACACTCCGTCTTCTTCGCAGAAAATGTTGCATCCGGATTGAGCTCGAGCCACGAAAGGTATTCGATGGCACCAGTGACCATGCATCGGAACTATCTCGAATTAAAGTCTAGATGGAGGCTATGCGAACATAACATTCTATTTAAATGCGAAGTACCTACGTTGCGCTTGGCATTCCCGTGATCGGCAGGATATGGTACTAGAGTTGCACGTACGAGTTCCTGGACATTATTGAACGACGGTCCCGATACGTGAGGACTCGGTTGAGGAGCGGGACCTCTGCTCTTGCGAACCGCATCGCTTCGCCCAGCGAGTGTGATAACTGGCAGTCAGTGTGCAAAGCTCGCATGCACGGATGAAGTGTTGTTGGTAGAATTGACCCAAGTCAAAGAGCTCTTCATCGCTCTTGCAACTAGAGACCGACTGTGCAATATGGGCCTTACCAGCATTCGACGGCGCGTAGGTCAGTAGATTCCCCAGCAGCCGGATATATGTGAGTTGCATCTTCCGCACACCCCTCGCGCTCGCGAGTAAGCTCAACTTGAGTGCTTCGGATAGCCCCGCCCCGACCTCGAGGCATTTGTCGTGTGCGCGGACAGCCGAGCTCGACTGTGTGCGAAATCCTGGGGAAGTGATAGTCCTGTTTCAGCCATTACACGTCAGGTTTTGGCGGATCCAGCGTACTGAAAACGGGCTGTGGTAGACGTCAAAGAAGAGGTTAAGTTCGAAGTTACATCGGACCCGGACTAGCAAACGCCCAACAAAGGCGGCCTGTCAAACTGCTTCACGCACTTTCTCTCCCGTCAGTCCAAGACGTGCTCTTAGGTTCTTTCACAGGGTGGTGAGCGGAGTTTTTCTTTTCCCTGAGAAAACCTGAGCGCTGAGCAAAAGCGATTCTACTGTCACAACTTTTAACGCCGACCCATGAGGCAACGTGATGCCTCATAATGCATTACTGTACCACCCAGTGTTTGAAGAGGACGTTCTAAAGTATGCGAGTCATGTGCTAGATGCGCATGTCAAGCAGCTCATGGTTCGGCGAACTCAGCCCGCTGAGTATTTCCTCCCATGAAATATCTAGCCGTGATGTTACGCATTTTCGCTTACACCGACTCGGCACGAGGGATTATATATTATATTCGGCAATGTGGACCAGGAGTCGACCGTCCCCTGGGAAACTAACACGGCTAAGCTCCACACGCCCACCATGAACACCATCGTGCTGGTCTTGCTGTCTACCATACTGCTAGTATGCCTCAAGACATATGTGGATCTGCGGGCTTCTCTGAAGGCCATCAAGTAAGTCTACCAATTCTCGTAGCGGCATGAAGAACCTATGCATAATTTTTTGCAGCAACCACCCTGGTTATTGGAGCCTCATATCTTCATTTGGTCTCCTCGGCTTCATGTTTCAAGAACCAAGGCGTGGCGTAATTGGAGGCAACCTTCGCTTTTGGCGCAAGAGGCACCTCGACTTTCAAGAAGCTGGCATCGATGTTATTAGCCATGTGGGTCTCCGCGACGATAGTCTCCTGGTGTCATGTATCTGATAGTCGTGCAGACTTCCTTCTTCCCTAATGTGGCTTCCCGCTTAATTATAGCGGACACTGCTGTAATCAAAGTCCGTGCCTCAAACCTATTGTTTACAATGCTACACCCTGAACATCAATCATAGGACATTACCGGAAACAGAGTACGGTTTCCGAAACCGTCATATGATGCACTTAGAGTCTGGGGTGCCAATATCATCGCATCGGAGGGGGAGGAGTGGAAGCGCCACAGGAAAGTTAGTGCTCCGGCATTCTCGGAGGTCAGTCCCTCGTTTCCGTGTGGCGCGCTTTCAAGTTGACCGTTTGGTTAGCCCAACAACCGCCTGGTGTGGACCGAGACGGTGAAGATTATGATGGACCTCTTCGAGAATCTCTGGGGTTCCCGAGAAGAAATCGCCGTCGACCATGTTGTTGACTCAATCACATTGCCTGTAAGAGTGGCAAATGTAACGTTGGCTCTCTCAAGCTCACTCCGGTATATCGTCGGTAAAGGTCGCATTGTTTGTCATTAGCGTAGCAGGGTTTGGGCGGCAGGTATCATGGCAGTCTGATCTCGTACCGTCGCCTGGCCACAAGCTGTCGTTCAAGGTAGGACGACCCATTTTCTATTGGGCTGTCTCTCACCGTGCCCTCTCGCAGGACGCCCTTCACGTCATATCGGTGGATATGTGGATCCAGATATTCAGTCCAAAGTTCCTCTGGAACTCGGCTCCCTTGAAGCGTATTGCGGATGTAAAGCTTGGTTATGAAGAGCTCGAGGTAGGAGCGTTCTCTGGCTCTTCAGAACTTGCTGATGCTGGCATGGTAGCAATATATGCTCGAGATGGTACAAGAACGCCGTACCGCCGAGAAGAAAGAGGAGTGCTATGACCTTTTCAGCAATCTCTTGGACGCTAGCGACTCGGAGTCTGACGGAAGCGTGCGATTGACTGACCGAGAGCTATTAGGTTGGTCGTCCATACGCCTCCAAAAGCTAAGTCTTATGTTATTCCAGGAAATATCTTCATCTTCCTTCTGGCTGGTGAGTCGAATAAGCCCCAAATATACAGGATTTCACTCATACTTATTTACCTTAGGGCATGAAGTAACTATATCTTATATATCACAGTCGCTGTTCTCACTTTTATATAGACCACGGCACACACCTTGGCATTCGCCTTTGGACTGCTGGCAATGCACCAAGACTACCAAGAAAAGCTGTACCAGCACATCAAGAGCGTGGTTCCGGATGGGCGGTTGCCTGTAGGTCCAGTAATTCTTTATGCTCCACATGCTACTGACAACGTGCAACACAGACATATGAGGAGATGAATTCGCTGACCGAATGCATGGCGTAAGTTACCACCTACTTATCTCGCTGCGAAAGCTCATATCATAAACCAGTGTCTTCTACGAGACGCTTCGCCTTTTCCCTCCTGTAAGTGACATGTGAACTTGAAAATTGTTTATATCTTAACGCTAGCTTACAGGTCCAATCCATCCCGAAGGTGGCGGCTGAAGATACGACTTTAGTTGCTGCAGATCATGCAGGAAACAAGGTTGTTATACCAGTGCCTCGTGGAACAGAGCTGCAACTTAGCGTTATCTCAGTGCACCGCAATCGTACGCCTGCGTTTCTACTCATGGGACTCGAGACTCAGGTATCCGTAGCTCGCTACTGGGACGATCCACACGCCTTCAAGCCGGAGCGATTCCACGGCAACTGGCCTCGCGATGCTTTCCTACCATTCAGTTCCGGAGCCCGTGCCTGTCTCGGACGACGGTTCGTCCATGATTTCGTCACCCTCCAAGCCTTTCTCACGTTTCTCGGTCTGAGGTAGCTTCTTTGAGACTGAGGGCATCGCGATCCTCACTATGCTGGTCCTCCGGTACAAGATTGAGCTCAAGGACGAGCCCGAGTTCGCACACGAGACGTATGAGGAGCGCTGGCAACGCCTTTTCAAACTCAAGCCGGTTATCACTATTGCGTGAGTTCCTCAACTGCTAGTGCCTTCGATTGAGCCTGACACCGCTCCGCTAGACCTGCTCGGCTGCCTCTCGTTTTCAAGAAGAGATAGAGCGTAGCATATGGATGAGGCTGTCTGCTCGCATGAATTATTGCTTGGACGGATTTACGTTCATACCCTGTGTCTTGGCAGTTTCTTATTCGGAGTGCGGATCTACAGTTGGCACCTTCGCTTCATCTACTGATTTTTGCGATTCGCTTGCGGAGAAATTGGCTCGCACTGGCAATAGAAACGAAAGCTTCGTGACGGGAAGTGGGCCAAGTTCTGATTATGCGCCACATAGTGTATTCGGCAGCGGCGGCGGCCAGTCGCTACTCTGATAGCGTCAGGAGTCGGCTCTCACACGAACTGTCGCGTCCCATGTCACGCGCCGCCGATGACCTCATGCGTGACCCACGACTATATAGTCTCCTCTTTGAGCCTCCTATGGCTAATGTACCGTCGCCTCCTCGTTCCAAGGGCATTGTCGCATAGGAGCATAAACTTTCACCTGCGCTCGACGCTTTCGTACCCAATGGACGCAACCCCCGACGAGCTCGCCTCACGCTTCCCCTGGCCCACGCCGCCGCATCCTGCAGTCGTGCCCGCGCCGATACGCCACGCAGGCTGGAGCAGCGAGAGCACAGAGGCGGTGCTCACCGACCTCAAAGAAAACCACCAGCGGTGGCACATCTTTTTCAACGAGAAGCACTTCCACAAGTGGGTTTTCATTCAGCATTTCCCCGAGTTTGGGGGTTGAGATCTTGAGAGCTGAAGCGTGCATTCGCAGCCATGCAGCGCACCACCTGCTTGCCATATATGCCTTGGGCGCACCTGCGAGCCTGCTGAATGCCGCGTACCACACACATGTTGTGTATCAGAAGCCGGCGTTCCCACCGCCCGAGACCGACGAGGCACGAAAGGCGAGGGAAGCCGTCGCCAAGGTGGTCATCGACGACACGAACTGGAAAGACTATCTGGGAGACGACCGGTACATCTGATGCCATGAATCACCAGACTCTATCTGCTGACCATATGCCAGGTATTACCAAGCCTACGTCTCGTTCTTCTCCAGCAAGCTTCTGGACAAAGCGGCCGGCAAGAACGCGATCCAGCGTGTGCTCGAAGACTACGTCTTCTCCGTCGACGCGAACCTGACACCCGGAAAGAGCGCAAACGGCCAGAAGCCCCTCGTCCTCGCCCGTTTCCTCGGCGGCTTTTTGCATCCGCTCATCCACGCAGGTTATGGCGCAGAGTTCGGCTTGCCTGGACTCATAGCAGAGGGAAAGTTCCATCCGTCGCTTTGTATTGCATGAGTAAGCTGACTCCAGTTCGCAGGCATCTCTGAGGCTGCGGTGCAAACAAACGAAGCCGACGCGCTATTCACACCTGAGCTCTTCGGCGCCGCCACCGGCGCCACAGGTCTGGCCTCTAGGATCGCATCTCTAGCTTTCTCGTCTGCTGCGCCCAGCAGTGAAGTACATGCTCTCGGAATCCTCGCGAGGGTCGCAAAGGACCCCGCGTTCGCGCCGCACAATGTCGGGCTGCCCGTGCCGCCGGACGCGGACGAGAAGAGCGTGGATCGCGTTGTGCGCGTCGGCGGGACGAACCTCGTTGAGTATCTCACCAGCTGGTTCGGGACTGTCAACGAGGACGCGGCGACGCTCCGCGCAAAGTTTGAGGAGGTCGTGTGGATGAATACAGTCGTGTACGGTGTTGGGGGATGGGCCGGACGCGAGCTGGGCGAGGATGAGAACAAAGAGTTCAATGGTGATTTCTTCCTGTAAGCAAGCTTTTGTTGGGGTGGCGTACAAAACGCTGATAAAGTCGCCGTAGGATGCACCTTGTCACGTCTGCTCTACTCACCTCTTCACTCTTGAACATATTGACACCCAAGTCCGCGGCGCTACTCCTCAAGACCTACTTTGCCTTCAGCGTCGTCCTCTACGTCGCGCGCGGCCGTCCTTCGCTGCCGATCGACGCGTTCTACGCGCACACCACCGCGCACCCGCACCCGTCGGGGCCAATGCCGACGCCTGACAAGGACACGCTCCCGCCGGACGAGCAGCGCGTACAGCTGACGCCGAGCTCGTGGCTCGCGATCGTGCAGACGACGCTCGGGCACCCGAACGAGCACCTCTGCAAGGCGCAGCGGGCGCTGTACCACTTTGCCGAGTGGCTCGGCGGCACCCGTGCCCACGCCTTCGCCGGCCTGTCCTCTTCCGACCTGAGCAGCATCGACAGCGGCGCCGGCGGGGGGCTCACGGGCGCGGAGGTGCTCGACGGCACGCTCTTCCTGCGCGCGGCCGGGCTCACGGCTGGCCGGCTTGGCTGGATGCGTGAGGGCGAGAAGGGGCGCGGGTGGGACGCGAAGGGGTTCTTCCCAAGCGAGGAGGACGAGAGGGAGGCGAGACAGGAGCAGGAGAGATTCCACAGGTTTAAAGGGGCGGGCGGGATGATGTACCATGTACGGTGAGCGATAAGCACGACATCGGACGACTGGTTTGAGTCTGGAATTGTATTTGTACGTACGTAACCCACTTGCATGCAATGTCTACCAATGTTCAAGATGAGCGTGTTTCTGGGGACAAGCCTGCTGGTGTGGCTGGTGTCACGAAGTTTAGACGCCGAGGGAGCATTCTGGGCGGATCGGGGCATCAGGGGCCGATCAGACAACGCAAGCGGGCCTTGCTATGTCGCAAGGCGGATGTCCTCATCGAACCCGACAACCAGCTCAGCCGCGCAGTGCCAACACCGTAGTCTACAATAATGCGAAGGCGTCGCGGACTGCTCTTGGAATGCAGCAATCGATGAGGCGCATCGGCCGGCGTTCATTGGCGACGAACTCAATGGTCACCATACGTCTTCATCGGCCGGGAGAAAAATCACAGTAGTCACCATATGCCTTCGCAGGTGGTGTGATTATCCTCCAGTAGAGCTGCTCCATCGTTCGCGCGATGCCGCCAAGCGCTGCCTTATATACTTCTGCCCCCTGGCCTCTACTTCCTGACCGTTCGCCCATATCCCCAAGCGTTGCCCCCAGGCTAGAGACTCGCCACGCTCGCTCAGCATGACGGAAAAGTTCTCCAGGTACGCGTGTCCTGCCTACTTCTCCTGGAACGTACATTCCCCGTGTTCGCGCAGGACTCACACCCCTGTAGACTGCCCGAATTCGAGACCCTCCAGCTGCATGCTGGCCAGGACGTGGACCCTACCACCAACGCGCGCGCCGTGCCCATTTACGCGACGACAAGCTTTGTGTTCAACGACTCGCAGCATGCCGCGGAGCTCTTTGGCTTAAAGTGCGTCCCCCTGCCGTTCTCCACCTAATAGACAGCTAACTCGCGTGCTAAGAGCGTTCGGGAACATCTACTCGCGTATCGGGAACCCGACTGTCGTAAGTCACACTTTGTGGCTTTCACGCGTTTGCTGTGGTTGACCCCCTTCACTAGGATGTCTTTGAGAAGCGCATCGCCGCCCTCGAGGGCGGTGCTGCCGCACTCGCGACTGCGTCCGGCCACGCCGCACAGTTCATGACGATTGCAACGATTGCCAGTAGTGGAGACAATATCGTGTCGTCATCCTATCTTTACGGTGGAGTACGTCTACTCCCGCCGTCAGCATTGTTGAAGCGCCGCTGACAACCCTTCATAGAGCTTCAACCAGTTCAAGGGTCCGTCTGCTCTCTCTTTACTTTTTTCTTTCTTTCTAAATTTCCCTGATATGTTCTTCGTTCGCCAGTCTTCCTGAAAAATTTTGGTATCCGGGTCAAATTCGTCAGCTCGCTTGACCCCGACGACTTCCGCGCAGCGATTGATGAGAATACGAAAGCGCTTTTCGTTGAGTCAATCGGGAACCCCAAGTACATTGTTGCGGATATTCCGGCCTTGGCACAGGTCGCACACTCGAACAGGATCCCACTTATTGTCGATAACACCTTTGGCATCGGAGGTTTGTTGGGCTCTCTTTCTACGTTGAACGCTGTGCTCATGCGCTGTCTAGGTTTCTTAATCAGACCTATTGATTATGGTGCAGACATCGTTGGTAAGCGGTGCGCCATGCAACTAGCTTAGGGTAGAGCTAAGCCCCAAACAGTTCACAGTGCGACAAAGTGGATCTGCGGACACGGCACCACCATCGCCGGCGCGATCATCGACTCGGGCAAGTTCGACTGGTCGCAGAGCGGCAAATTCCCGTCTTTCACGAGGCCCTCGGAGGGTTACCACGGCCTCAAATTCTGGGACACCTTCGGCCCGGTCGCCTTCGCAGTCAAGGCGCGGGTCGAGGTGCAGCGCGACCTCGGCGCGACGATGAGCCCGTTCACTGCGTTCCTGCTCCTGCAGGGGCTCGAGACGCTGAGCTTGCGCGCGGAGCGGCACAGTGAGAACGCGCTCGCGCTCGCGCGCTTCCTCGAGCAGCACCCGAAGGTGAGCTGGGTGAGCTACGTCGGGCTCCCGAGCCACCCGAGCCACGCGCTCGCGAATCGCCTCCTCCGCGAGGGCCTCTACGGCGGCGTGCTCAGCTTCGGCGTCCAGGGCGGCCGCGAGGACGCCAGGGTCGGCAGCCGCGTCGTCGACGCGCTCAGGCTCGCGAGCAACCTCGCGAACGTCGGTGACGCGAAGACGCTCGTCATTCACCCCGCGACGACGACGCACCAGCAGCTCAACGAGGAAGAGCAGGCGGCGGCAGGCGTCACGTCAGATCTCATTCGGGTGCGTCGGGATCTTACTCTGGTGACGTGCGCTATGCTGACGCACTCATATAGGTGTCGGTTGGTATTGAGCACATCAAGGATATTATTGCGGACTTCGAGGACGCGCTCAGGACTGTGCCTTAGTACAAAAAAGGCAAGGAGAGACTGGCCTGGAAATAAAATTCAGAAGTGTACTATACAGTCTTGAATATTCTATCGTCCACTAAATGAATGCTTGAGGCTCGGAGTGTCTGGCTTAGGCAACGGAATACGCGTGAGCGCCTCTTGGGCGCTTGGGCGAGGTCGAGTGCTTTCGGTCTCGTGCACTGTTCTTCACGCCGTCCTCTACTTTGTCCGTCTGTGTCTTCATTCTTCTCGCTCTGTAGCTATCTCTGCGCGCGATGTCGAATACCATTGCTTTGTGAGTAACTAGCTGTCGGATGAGACAACCTCTGAACGAAGCATCGCTAGATACCCACTCTCGAACTTTACCTTCAGGTGCTCACCGCTTCCCTTATCCCTGCACACTCTTCTCAGACCCTGCACAGCACAAAAGAGGCGCAGCCTGAGGAGGACCCATCCGTTTCCGCGCGTCTGCAGCGCCTGCAGAATAACTATGAGGACTTTGGGATGCGGCGGACCGTCGAAGGCGTCCTGGTCGTGCACGACCACGGGCACCCGCACATCCTGATGCTCCAGATTGCGAACGCGTTCTTCAAGCTTCCTGGCGACTACCTCAAGCCCGGCGAGGACGAAATCGAGGGGCTCAAGAAACGGCTCGATGACCGCTTGGCGCCGCCGCAGGACTCGCGCCAGTTCAACGCGAGCCACGGCGTTGACAATGACTGGGAGATCGGCGACTGCCTCGCGCAGTGGTGGAGGCCCAATTTCGAGACGTTCATGGTGCGTGCTTGGTGTGATCGTCTGTCTCCAAGCTCGCTCAGCGTTCGGTTTGCTGTAGTACCCGTTCATCCCCGCGCATATAACGAAGCCCAAGGAGTGTAAGAAGCTGTTCCTGGTCCAGATGCCCGAACGAAGTGCGTACACACGAGTCTTATCGCTCTTTTTACGTCACCGTGACACGCTTGCGCAGAGGTTCTTGCCGTCCCGAAGAACATGAAGCTCCTCGCCATCCCACTCTTCGAGCTCTACGACAATGCGGCTCGGTGAGCATGTCCTCCTGCCATTCTACGAACCACATCTGACAGTTCATATACAGCTATGGCCCACAGCTTTCTGCAATCCCGCACCTCTTGTCTCGGTATGTCTCCATCTTTCGCTATGTAATTACCAGTCACTAAGAGGGCCGACTACCTGCAGCTATAACTTCATCTACCAATAGACCCAAAGAACGCTCTCCTTGTTGCTATTCGGGCCCTCATCCCTTACTCTACGGCCCTCTCGCATCCGTCGCGAACACTTTTGTCCATAATTTGTTGTACCTTGCACGCTTTCTGTACCGATGTTCTTACGTAGATTTCTGCATCTTCCGATTCCGACAGGTCAACATGCCGAGAAACTGTGTTGCATCTCCGCGCTGTTAAAATGTTAGCGCTCAGCCGCCAGCACCATAAGCACGGCAACATAAATCGCAAGTTTAAGGGCGCGCGATCTGTGTTGTGCTTAGGGCTTGTATAATTTGCCCTCTTAGTTATTGACTGCTGAAACACTGGATTTATTGAATGTGATATGATACAACGAACCACAGTCCTCAGAAAGATCACATCCACGTTGAGTTGCCCAAACGAAAAGTTACGCTAAGCCATCTATTATACGTCGTGCTCATACCAGTCATTGCCATCAAGATCCCCGAAACTGTGTTCTGTCTGGTCCGATGTGAGCACAAGTGAATGGCGAATGGTATCAAGATCGACACACCTAGTACGCCACGATTCCAGCAACTATGTCGGGATAAGGGTCCTGGAAGCGCAGAGATCCTTCGGGTCCGCTGTGTGTGTGCATTGCAATTTGCCATGCCGAACTCCTTCGCCGGCCGTAGTGCATCCTCCTCCGAACCCGTCCTGTCCATGTAGGAGGACTTACAGAAGTGTAGGGCGTTATAAGGAGGCGTAGACTCCGAGTCATGAGCCAAGGCTACCACCAGAGAGATGCGAGGTAGAGCGGCAGGCGTCCCAGGCTGTCGCGGGTACTACTGGGTAATGTTGCACAAAGCGAGCTGGGAAAGCGGGTGCGCTCATGGGTGAAGGTGGTTAACTTCAGATGTGCCAAGGCGTGGCCCAGTGCCTGCGTCGAGAAAAGGTACACCAGGCGATCGCTTGAGTCTAAACGCCCCAATTCCTGCATACTCTCCACGGCTGGGCGAGCACGACGGGCAAGATGTACGGAGAGGGTTAGATTGTGACTACGGAAAGGCTCACGCTGTGCAGCGACGTAGATTTCAACGGCCTAGCAGCCATATGGCATGTGTACGATCGCCTCCTAGACTGTACCATTGGACCTATAGTTACGACCGTCCGTTCCTGGGTGTTCATCGCCGTGCTGCTCCCTTTGCAGCTAGCTTCGCAACTCGATCTAGGTAAGCATCTATCAAGCATACCAGCCGCGAGTCCCCATTCCAGTTAGAGCAGTCAGGTTGGAATGCAGAAAGAGTTGAGCGCGAAACATCCCTGAAAGAATAAAAACACTGTCGAGCAAGGAGTGGACTCGGCGACGCAGTGTTTGAGAAGCTGTGCGCGGAGTGCTCGGGACTGCGCAAAATTTGTGGCCCCCTCAGGCATGATCGTACAAGTCGATAGTGGGAGAAATCAGAGAGAGGTATGTGTCACGAGAGCAGATGGAAGAATATTGCAAGGTTTTGTCATTCGTCGCGGTGCTCGCCCGGCCTGGTCGCGTCTGCGGGAGTAGAACCTCTGCAAAGGGGGATGTCCACCTCCGAAAGCTCCCGTTACAATTCTCTAATAGCGGGTCGAGAGTCAAACTCCTCACCGTCATCCGTGGGCGGCAAGGCTGCTGGGTCTCGCCGGACGCTGAAGCGAGCGCTTTTTATGATGAGTCATAGTAATTGTGTAAACATGAGGACGCCATACCGCCCACGGGGGACTGGCACAAAACTCATGTAAACAATGCACGCCACCATCATCGGACCATGAAAGCAAGCCTTAGATGTCAGGAATATCAAAATAATCGAGAAAAATGAGTGTGAGTATTCTCGGCCGCGTCCCCTACCCTCCTGTGTCCCAAGTCTGGTTTGCTGGTGGTAGGCCTGCAGTGGGGGCAACATGGGCTGTTTAATGTGGGTGTCATGGTAAGAATTGTGTGTTTAGTCGACTGGATATCAGCAAGAAATCTGTCTTGCTGCCGTTTCCATACAGTGTACAACAGGTGAAGCATCACGAAGACCAAGAACAGTTAGTTTCTGGCTCTGCGAAGGCAATCCTCAACTCAATGTTTTCAATGTCCCAGCTCACTCTGACACAATAGAAGCCATCTCCAAGACCTTCGGTACCAATGCCTGCGTGAAGGGCACGTGACATCACTCGACATCAGTGTTTCGCGGCTTAGTGCAGGGCACCTGTTGTTCTCAACAATGGTACCAACATCCTGCTGGCTTGACCATTGCCTAACTGGCAACTTCAGCAGTGCATTTATGTGACAAGCTTACAAGTGTTATCTGCTCAGCGAGATAGATCAAATATAGCTAATATCAAGTGTCTAACACCTGATTGGGCCAGCCATGCAACAACAGTACTACACAGGGCCCCCGCGGACAGCATCTTGGGCACCATCTGCGGGATTTTGATAATCATGTGACCCAGATTCCGATTGCAGCAGAATCTGAGCGCTCCTGTCCAAAATCCGTTCGATTTTTGTCTGATTACACTTTTGGCTCTGCTGTAATCACTATCAGCCGGATTTGGTATATCTCGCAATCCGATTCTTAGTTGAAAGCTTTTCCGCATGGTACGAAGCGGGATACACCCGTGTGAGGCCAGAGGAGCACAGAGGTACATTGAAGGCCTATGGGCAAGTTCCCTCTAGTAACCTGTTCCTCGCTTCTCTAGTTGCCCCTGCCACCTCGCATCTACCGCCTTCCGAGCTGTCTCCTAGTACAAGTGAGGGCCTATACTGCACCAGGGCGGCCCGTACTGTGATGCAATATGTGTCGGCCGCCCTGCCAAGCATGCCGGAGCAGCAGCATCCGTCGTACCTGCATCGGACGACAAAGATGTTGATCCAGGCAGTGCGTTATTTTCCCCGCTCGTAGGACAGATCTTGTATCACTGACATTACCAGCTTGTGATCGCCATGACAGATGGCGGGAGACGGTTATAGCCGCAGATGAAGTCAGGCATAGTCATAGTTTTTCTGGTCATCACAGCACATCTGATGACGATACGAATCATGATGACATTATGAAGATCAGCAGGACGATACTCATGATCCCGACGATGCTTTCCTGCAGACCTGCGCCCCTGTCCACTGTGTGGCGCTGAGCAGACAAACGGCGAGACCTCTCAGCAGCATTATTTGTTCCACATCATATATACACTTGGGACCGCTACATATATCTTTGATATCTGGCGCAGAAGCCTTCTGCACGTCGCGTCCCACTGTGCGAATCTGCGGTGGGCGGTGGGCGCTTGATCCCACCTGAGGCCTGAGACCCGGAGCGAGATTGCTGTCAGGTCAAAATCCGGCTGTTGTGAGACAACAATCGAACGGATTTTGGACCTCAGCTATCTGGACGTTGATCTGCGGGCAATCCCCTGGAAACCTGGTACACGCAATCTCCCGGGGCCCTGTGTACAAAGTTGGCAACTGCCTCCATATGCCATATCCCCTCTGTCATTCCTGCAACAAATGCTAGCATTATCTCCTTGCCCATGCTTGTCATACCTGCGATGACGAGCTCTTTGCACTAGTGAGATCAGCGATCTATGTCATTTGTGCCCTAATCTTTGTCTTGAGATGTTCGGTGATAGTCTCGGGACTGTATAGAAGTAGTCCAAAGGCGAGGGACGGACAGTAGAGGTGCGAGAGTCGCGTGAGAAAGGGTTGGCGTGCTGCAGAGCCTTCCGTGCACGCTTGTCATACTGTTGCGAAAGTATATCTGCTAACCCTTAGTAACAGCTCTGTTTTGAATAAATTTGCAGCAGACTTATTTGTTCAGCTTGCTGCAAGACCTAAACCTTAATAGACATGAGCTATTACTATAGCCTGCAGAGACTTGAGTGATTCGGGACGCGTTCTCTCATTGCGCTGAATCACGCATCGTGCACCGCTCTCATTTGGGACGTACATCTGATGGTATTCAATAAACCTTGCGAGCATTCATGGAAATTTGCATTAAAAGCGCACGTGGTTGCCGAGCCCAACGCGCACATGCTGGCGTGATGCCGTTGTTTACCAATGTTTTGTGCCAGTCGTCCGTGGATGTTACAGCGTCAGATGAGTTTAGCGAATAGCGATGACTCATCAGTCCCGTGGACTGAGACACTGGTCTCAACATCCACGGACATACTGGTGAGGAGTCTGGTCGGGAGTCTGAAACCGAGACTAGTTTCAAAGTAGACGCAAACAACACTACGGGCATGAGCTGATTTCAGATCACCTGAAATGTCCTGGTCAAGCCATCAAAGCTGTTTCATTTTTGAAGACTTAACCGGGGCTTTCTGGTGTCCCAAAATGATAGATTTGCTACCACTTTCGTAGCCATTTGCGGTGCAGGAAAATGATAAATTTTGTGTAGCCTGAAATGAACCTGAAATGACTCAATATGGCTACATTTCAGTACAGCAAAGAGTTCATGTTTCAGGAGACTTTGTGGCGCATTTTAGGATATCTGAAAGAACATATGTAGAAATCATTTCCGCCTCATGTTTGCAATGAGGAAAGGTCCGGGCAAGGAAAACTTTTGATGGTCCTGAAATTGCCATTTTTGATGGATTTTGAAGCTATCTTATGAGCTAGAAGATTTTTACCTGAGATAAGTCAGAAACATCCTAGAAATGTACTACAAATTTGCCGTAAATGGTAATTTTAGAACCATCAAAAGTTTTCCTTGCCTGGACCTTTCCTCATTGCAAACATGAGGCAGGAATGATTTCTACATATGTCCTTTCAGATGTCCTAAAATGCGCCACAAAGTCTCCTGAAACATGAACTCTTTGCTGTACTGAAATGTAGCCATATTGAGTCATTTCAGGTTCATTTCAGGCTACACAAAATTTATCATTTTCCTGCACCGCAAATGGCTACGAAAGTGGTAGCAAATCTATCATTTTGGGACACCAGAAAGCCCCGGTTAAGTCTTCAAAAATGAAACAGCTTTGATGGCTTGACCAGGACATTTCAGGTGATCTGAAATCAGCTCATGCCCGTAGTGCAACAAACAAACGATATGCTGACTACGTCACATTACATGGTCATGGTGGGCGTTAGGGCGGCCATAGCGGAGGGTACGCCCGGAAGATTCCGGGAAGGACTTCGGGTGACAGACCGACCTAGAAAGTGGCTCGCGCGCGATGGGCGGGTTCAGCTTCACTTCATGTTGTTCTGTCCGTAGTTCTTACCTACGGGTAATAATCAATCAGATTCGAGAAAACATATAGATAGGTGCTACCTACAGCTGTAAAAACTTTGAGGGCTGCCCGATGCCAGAAAAGCGAGACCGAGGCCAAGTTTGGAACGTCCCTGGGGTGACCCTCACCGCATACTATGTCTGTTGTGGGACTTCGTGGTTAACGCGAGACGAGTCCGACGAAGATGTCTTGGGAATGTTTTGTGTCAACATACTGCATGAATTACTGTAGGTACCAGAGTGTCGCATGTTGCGTGATGAGTGCAGCATGATGTCGGCCGCCGCACACGTCGTTCTGTGCGTCTTCAGACCTCGTACGACCCCCTTCTTTCAGCCGTAGCGCACATAGCTTCGTTCACAAATAGGATCAGGCATTGACAAAGTATGCATCATGCGCTACGGAACTACAGAACTATCAGTGAATAACTTTCGTCACACAGCTCGAGGACACATCATGATTCATGATTCATTACAAGCCTCGTCCACATTTACGCTTCGAGCGGAAAGGCATGCTCTAAGGTTAGGGCGACCTGCTTCATGAGAGACTTTCTCCCCCACGCCTCCTGCAACCCCCATGTGTTCTCGAAATGCTTGCGCTTGCTCGGGTAGCTGGTGCATATAATCCCGTATACGGCGCGGTGCGACGCTTGTAGGGCGCCGGCGACCCACCTGTACGCCGGGAATGAGCATATGGGGGCACGCACAGTAAACACACAAGCTACGAAGACTCACCCATGCCGTGCGCTTACAACCTCTCCCGCGAAGTGCAGCCTACCCTCGGCGGCGGGGTGCGTCAGGTGTACATATAGCTCCCGGAACTGGCCGGGGCCGAAGACTGCCCAAGCACCTGCGGGGCACGGCGTAAGTATCAGGAAACGGACAGAAGCAGGACAAAAGCCTGTAGGCACGTGCCCATTGTGTTCTTATCCGTGCCCCAGCTATACGGATGCATCGCCTCCCACTGCTCCTCCAGGAACGCGCGCCCTTGCTTGTTGAAGCGGTGTATGGCGGCAAGGTCATCCAGGACCCTGCGCTTAATCATCGCCTCGGCACCAGAGCCTGTGAGGCCCGTCCATGCGAGCGCATCGCCCGTCGACGTGTAGCTCGCGATGAGCACGGACGACGGCACCTTTTCGCCAGCGCCGTACGATGGGTACACAACACGGCGGGACATATAGTCGGTGAAAGACTGGCCGCCGATAATCGCGCCGAACGCGCCGAACTTCTTCATCAACCCGTCGTCCTGCCACCACGCCGTCTTGAACTTGACGCCGACCTTGACCGACTGAGTGTATGTGAGCGAGCGCAGCGCCTTCCTCTGCCAGATGTCGAGGTTTGCCTCCGAGGTATTCATTACGCGTAAGCATGGCAGCGTCGTAGTCGTGATGACGTGCCCGTGAGGAATCTTCTGACCCTGCTCGGTGTACAGGTTGATCGAGAGGTTCTCCTCCTCTAGCTCAATGCGCGTGATGCGCGTGTCCTTGTGCAGTATATGCGGGATGCGTTCGGCCTTTGTCTCCAAATACGTGTTCAGCTCCTCGGCCAGCTTGCTGGATCCGCCGCTGCCACCAAAATACTTCAGCACAGAAGACAGGAGAGCTGCCAATTGACGTACTCGATGCAGTGCCACTCGGCCTTGTCGGCGTTATCAAACGCTAGGCTGTCCAGGACAATCTCCGTGAGGGCGCGGTCGTACGACGATGTCGAGGAGGTGAACGTCTCGCACCACTCGACGACATTGAGCGGGCATGGTAGAAGGTTAAGTTCGTCCAGCTTAGCGTCGTAATCCTTGCGGTCCCCAGCCATGTACGCCTTCATCGACCACACATCGTATTTCATCATGAGCCCCCACCCCTTATCTGTCTCATTCTCATTGCGCACGTCTTCTTTCAGCTGCTTCTTGAAGGGACCCACGACGTTGTCTACATTCGCTTGCACGCCCTTGTCGCCCCAGTGCGGGGGTACGGGGTCCCATTTGAAGTCGAAAGCGGTGATCTGGCCTCCAGTGCGCTGCCGGACGACGTTGTTGTAGAACAGCGTCGAGTTGCTGTACCGGTCCACGAAGTAATAATCGAGCAGTTTCAGCCTGAGCAACTTGAAGAGATCGAACACAGGCTCCATGATTGGCGTCTTCGGGAAGCGCATTGCACCGACATCCTGCACGGGCCGCCTATATGTCAGCGCACCTCGGAGGGAAGCAGGATTGCGAGTAGGATAACTCACAAAGTAGTCGTAGCGAGTTTGCTGGTTAGGGAAGTCCCTGTACGTGTACAGCCGACCGCCGATGCGGTTGCTCGCCTCGTAGATAGTATACGGAATTTCCATGTCTTGCAAAAGCAATGCGGCGTAGAGCCCGCCGATGCCGCCACCGATGATCCCGACACTGGCCCCGGGATTCACCGGAACCGTGGCTGTGTCGTCGCTGAGGTATTTGTTGGCATTGAACGTGAACGGGGGACCCCGCGCTTCAGCCTGTCCTGGGACAGGCAGAAAGGGCAAGCCGATTTCGCCGAGCTCGTCCTGGAATTTCTTGATAATATTTGTGCATAGCAGTCGATAGCACGGGCAGAGTCCTCATCCATGGCGAGTGCTGCGGTACCTGAGAAGAACGGTGTGTAAGGGACAACGAAGATGAAGCTGCAAAGATAGGGCTCATATACTCAACTAGCTTCCACATATGCCCAGCGTTCGATCTCGCGCAGAAGTCAGTAAAGATACGAATATGCGTTGGTCTGATGTCGCCAGAAGCACGATGCTCCAAGGTCGACTAGGGTCCCAGCGCCAGAGAGACTAGGGTCCCCGCGCCAAAGAGACTAGGGTTCCCGCGCCAGAGAGACTATGGCTCAATAGTAGCTCTTGAGTTGGAGCATGCGATGAGCGAGAGTTTCGTATTAATTATGTATGATGGTGCGAAGCATATCGATGTGCACATGACGGTTTTGCGCCTGAGAGGATCCTATTTCATGAGGCTCTGCTAGACTGCAAGAAGTGACCAGGTCCGTGCCGGAGGATAACCTAGCCTCTCATGAGTGTGTACATCGCAGGAGAAAGGACAAATAACACAAACCGCGCATGGTAGCAGAGTTCATACACCAGTCACCAGACATTGGTGCGCTGAGAACACATGCACCAAGGAGCGCGGAGAGCCAGGTGCTGTGATGAATATGAATCGAACGTACGAACCTCTTGAACACTAGCTATCAGTAGGGGTCGCCTTTAGCAGGCACAGAAGCACTGAGGTGCAGTTCCGTCCATCCGTACGCATTCAATGTTCCGTATGCAACCGACAGTCTCGGCGAGCTGCCTAACGTGCGAAAGTAGTCAGCCTTGCTTCTGGCGTTGGAATCGACATGCGACCCAGGTGGCATGAAGCCACTCAAGAGAGAGAGAGGCGCTGCGCCGAACTCCTACGCCACCCGTGGCGCGTGCTCCGACGAGCCCATCCAGCCCGCGTACCACCGTTCTTCGCGTGCCATACTTGGACGATGGGAAGGATAACAGTATGGAAAGTGGGGTATGCGTGTGCATAAGCAGCGACGTCCGTGAACGCGTCCGCATTATGCGGGGTCTACGCCATGGCCGTGATGTACCGCAGCGAAGCAAAATACGCCTGACTTGACGCGAGCACGCCAAGTTTCGCCTGGCACGAAATTTTCTTACTTGTTGTCTGGCGGAAGAACGTAGGGGGACGTACAGAAGTATAGGGCGTCGTAAGGACGACGACGTGTAGACTCTCAAGCCATAGCTGCCATTGGAGGTGTACAAGGCAGAGCGGTAGGTGCGGCAGGCCGGAGCGGGTCCTACCGGTTAAAGTTGCGCAAAGTGAGCTTGTAAAGCGGACTTTGGTGCGCTCATGGTTGAAAAGGATGGGTGGAGGTTCAAAGGCGTCAGGGCGTGCTCGCGCCGAGCGCGAAAAAAATGGGACACGAGGCGACCGCTCGAGTCTGAACCCACCAAGTCCCACATACTCTTCACGGTCTGGAGAGCACGGTGGGCGAGCGATGTACGGAGAAGGTTGAATCATGACAACGGAAAGGCTCACGCTGTGTGCTGTGTGTAGTGACCAGGCAGTCACATGGTATGCAAACAATCGCCTTAGACTGTACGATTGAATCCATGGCTGCGACCGTCCATTTCTTGTAAATCCGTCACTGTGCTGCTCCGTTCGTGGTTAGCCTCGCGAGTCCCCATTCCAGCCAGAGCACTCAGGTAGAAATGCAGGGAAAGCTGAGCGTGATACGTCCTGCAAGGCCTGATGAAACTAGAAACGCGTTCGAACGTGGATGGGACGCGGTGCTCGAGAAGTTGTGTGCGGAGTGCTCGGGACTGCGCAAAATTTGTAACCTTCTCAGGCGTAGTCGTACGAGCCGATAGAGGGAGAAATCAGGGAGAGATATGAATCACGAGAGGAGATAAAAAATATAAGTCACGAGCAGATGGAAAAATACTGATAGGTTTTGTCATTCCTCGTAGACTCGTAGTGCTCGCCCGGCCTGGTCGCGTCTGTGGAGGTCTGCGGAGGTCTGCGGTCTGCGGGGTGGAGACTTCGTAGGTTTTGGGTCATGGGCGCCTCCTACTGACGCGGACGCCCTGTCGGCAACTCGCGTGAACATTGACAAGCCTTAGCGACAATCGTACCACCCTTCGAGAAAAAAAAAGATCCAGTCGTAAATATGCTCTCACGTTTTATAAGACTCTCTCGCTGTGTCCACTGGTTTTCCACACCCCTGGTCACCTCTCCTCGACGACCACCTTCTCTCTTATACAACACACGAAGCCGATTTTGACTGGGGGCTCATCACGATGCTAAACACAACGGCGACGCCCTACCATGACGCGGGCGTGCTCTACGCGAACACCGACTTCTCTCAGCTGAACTGGATCGAGCTTCAGTGGGCTTCGTGGTATCTCTGGATCGGCAATCCTGTCCTTGCGACAGGTCTTGCCTCCTTCTTGCTTCACGAGGTCAGTCTTCGCTCCTTAGCCCACGCAATATGGCGTCCTGACTTCTCTGCAGTGCGTGTACTTTGGCCGAGCCCTGCCCTGGATTTTCATCGACGCGACGCCCTACTTTCGCAAGTGGAAGCTCCAGCCGAATAAAATCCCAACGGCCTCGGAGCAGTGGGCCTGCACTAAGCAGGTCCTCTTCAGCCACTTCACCGTCGAGCTTCCCGTCATCTGGCTCTTCCATCCTGTGGCTGAGTTCTTTGGCATGTCTACCTGGCAGGTGCCCCTCCCGAGTTGGGTTGCCATCGCTCCTCAAGTTTTCCTCTTCTTTGTCTTTGAGGACATGTTCCACTACTTTGGTGTGCTTGCGTGCTGCTCTACAAAGCGATTCCTAAGCTGACCCTCCTTGCAGCCCACCAAGCGCTTCACTGGGGTCCCCTCTACAAGCACGTCCATAAGATCCATCACCAGTATCCCGCGCCTTTCGGTCTTGCTGCTGAATACGCACACCCCGCGGAAGTCTTTATTCTCGGCACTGGCACCATCCTCGGGCCCATCCTGTACTGCATGTTCCGCCACGACCTGCATATATTCACCGTCTACATCTGGATCACCCTTCGCCTTTTCCAGGCCATTGATTCGCACAGCGGCTACGGTGAGTCTTACGCGTTTCGTCCCGCGCCCCGACCACGCCTCTCTGATCAACACTTGGCTGTCATCGTACATAGATTTCCCATGGTCACTCCAGCACTGGCTGCCGTTCTGGTCCGGTGCAGAGCACCACGACTTCCATCACATGGCGTTCGTGAACAACTTCAGCACGTCCTTCCGCTGGTGCGACCGCCTCTTTGGCACAGACACCAAGTACCGCGCCTACCGCGCGCGCCTCGAGGCGGCCAAGAAGGCCGGCATGTCCGCCGAGGAGTACGCACGTATGGAGATTCGTCTCAATGAGGAGGCTGAACGCGAGGGCGTCGCTGCCGAAAAGAAAGCTGAGAACAGCGACTTTGCCGGCGCGTGGCACAAGACCAAGGTCCAATAGATTCGCGCTTAATAGAAAACATCTGGGCCGCGTAACGCGGTTGCCTGCTTGTATGTATGAAGGAAGTACGATACACCCGCTGATAGCTTAATGCATATGTACACATCTCCTGTCTTTACTGTAATGCCTCTTGCAACACGGGACAGTTCGAGTTCTATGCCTCTGGCTGCGATGCAAATGCTGTTGGTCCTTGGCGGGTTTCGTAAGGGCTTGTGCACCCTGGATGCCTATCACTTCACGCAGAAATGACGATATGCGCTAAGATTAGTTCTTCCGTGCTTGCAGCGAGAGAAGCATAAAAGCCGAACGTTGAGCGCAATGCGAACTGAGGTCACGAGCGTCTCAGCACCTTGCTTCCAACCTCGACCTCACTCCATAATCTTCATCTCTGCACCAACCAAGAACAGCCATCTGTGAACCAGCACAGCTTCAGCTGTACATCTGACCTGGGCAAGCTCGTCAAACACGAACGTTACAAAACCGGGAAGGTCTCCGGACGCGTTGCTGGTCTCTGGCAGTGGGGCGTACTACATTCCGTTGCACGTTGCGAGTGGGATACATTGTCAAGCTCAGGCTTATTGATACAACGTGAGTGCATATTTCCTCGTGGACGCACCACGTCCTGGCATGTCTGGGACGGCTGGGACGCTGCAGAGGACATGGCGGAGTGCGCACTGCGGGGTGGGTCTTCAGCAGTTCTTGCAAGGCACCTTAAGCTGCTCCGAACGCGGGGGATACTGAAAGGGATGGTATCCGTGCTGCTGCTTTGCGCTTGGATGCTGAATCGTTTGGTTGAAGCCTTGAACGAAGGAGAGTAAGGGCGATACACCCGAGATAGGTCACATGACTAGTCTGGGCGTGGTTCTTGCTGACCGGTTTCCGCTCACTCCAGCCCTTATAGCGATATGCTGACATGAATTTCTTCCTAGACGCGGAATTTTCTAGTGATACCGAGTAACACTTATGGCACTCCCGAATCTATTCGACCACACCCGTACCTTGCCACCTGAAGTACTTAGTCTTGTCTTCGATGAGACCGACACCGAAGACTTGCCTTCTGTTCTTCGTGCTAGCTCAGCACTTTATGCCATCGCGTTCCGCTCCCTGTACCGCGAAATCTCCAATTGTAAGACAGGTCAGAAACGCGTGCAGCTTCTCCAATCGCTTGCTCGCGCTTCCGACCCTGCGTTTCACCCAACGCGCCTTCCATCTCCTACTCTGGTTGTGCGACTGCTGAGTCTGGACTTTCACTCGAACACTGTCACAGCAAACCTGCTCCGGCTAATTAACCGCGCCCTCAGAGCCTCCACGAATTTGCGAGAACTCATCCTCGAGTTCTCAGCCGCAAATAACTTTCAGCCTACCTCATGGTGTCTTTTGGGCACAACGTTCTATTTGCGGCGACTGTATACCTCTGTAGGCCTCGACGCCACACTCTTCACCTGGCTCGCACACCCAAATCAGCGCCTGCTTATCGAGCTCAATCTGCGCGGACACCAGATACCGTCACGCTACTGTGGCAAGGGTGCAGATTTGTCGCTTCCGCCCGATGCGCTGCCCGCACTTGCGAGCTTCCGGAGCGTACACCTCGACAGCGCATGCACCACGATTTTCCTCGCGGGGCGTCCGGTGCAACACGTTGGGCTCACGCTCTTCCCGCTCTCAGCGCACAGCGCGCTCGACGGCCTCTGTGGTACGAGCGTCCCCGTGCGCCGGTTGACGGTGCTCTGCCTCGAGGAGCACGCCTCCGAAGCCCTCGTCGCCGAGATTGCCGCGCGCCTGCCAGGCCTGGAGAGCCTGCACGTCGTCGTCCTGATGACGCCCTACACTTCTGTACGTCCTTCCCTCCCGTTCGTTCTCGATACAGCAAATGACGGCTGTTGCGCGTCAGGTGAAACTGCACGTACTCGCATCGGCGCTCACGCGCTTCGTGGCACTGCGGTACATCACCTTCATGGCGCCAGACCCACCTGGCGCGGATGCGTTCACGGTCGAGCGCGAGCGTGCGGTTGTGGTTGCCTGGGCGCGCGCGTGTCCCACTCTCCGCACCGTCATCCTCCCTATGGGCCAGGTGTGGTACACTGAGGACGGCGCGTGGCGGTGTTATGCAGACGGACTGAGTTCGCGGGAGGGCACGCCACGGGCAGCCTAGGATTTCGGCATGTTTCGGCGTAGCACGTGGCGCGTGGTGAATATCGCTTTTGTCTTTATAAGCACTACACCATGAGTGGTAAAGTAACTCGCAGTGTCTGCGTGTTTCATTCCTTGCTAAAGGCAACTTCTGTCCTCAGGCCACTCGCGCTCATGATCAGTCTAAGATGTAATTGCGCAAGTGCGCGCTGCCCTAATGCGAACTTCTCAGGATGGTTAATTTTTCTTTGTAAAGCTCGCACGTTCGATCCATATTCCCCCTTCACGGGTCCTATAGTGGACACTGCGTTCCTCTGATGCATGTGTTCCAGCGCACAGACGACCGGTGACCAGTGTACGAACTCTGCTACCATGCATCCCTTGTGTTGGTAGCACACCTCCCTGCGATGGAGACGCTTACTATAGGCTGGACTGGGCTCCAGGTACGAAAGTGATCGCCACTTACAGTCCAACAGAACGCGGTAAGATGGGATTATCCCCCGGCACTGTATCCCGTGAACATCAATATGCTTCCAGTCATCATGCGGTATTAATGCGAAGCTTCAAGTTGTTCCAGCTCATTGCTTTCTTTAGCGTCACAAGCCGCCGTAGGGCGAGAGCCCAATACCTTTGACGCTGGGACCCTTTCCTGCAGCTAGGACCCTGCTGTATTGGAACACTGGAACATTAGCTTTCACTGAATCACTGGGACACCAGCTTGCAGTGAAGCATTGTGCTTCTTATGGCACTAGTACACGCGTGGCTGTATCGCTGCTGGAGTTTAGTCTGAGATGAAATAAATGGCGTACTTGGAAGTCAGGTGGGTATATAACCTCCTCTCTCTGCAGCTTCACTGTCGCTGTCGTCGCATATCGTTCTTTCCCAGCTCCACGACACTCACCATGGCTCAGGACAATATCCATGCCCTCGACCACTATACGCAGAACATCATCAAGGAGTTTCACACCAAACTCAGTGCTGGCTTTCCTTTACCACCTGCAGTCCCAGGGCAGACTGAGACGCGACTTCCCCCGCACCATTTTGATACTGACAAGTACCTCCGTCCCGATGACTCGGATGATAGTAAAGCTGTGATTCCAGTGGTATCCGGGGCCGAGGGAGTTGGAATCATCGGTGGCGGCATCGGCGGACTCTATGCCGCGCTGCTCCTAGAGGACTCGGACATCAAGTACACCATCTATGAGGCGGATAATCGCATCGGCGGGCGGCTGTACACATACAGCGGCTTCCCCGACCGGCGAACTGTTTATGACTACTACGTGAGTTATCCTCGCCGCCTCCCCTTTGTGCTGTCCCGCAGACGCGCTGACATGTGTGCGACGTCGCGTAGGATGTCGGCGCGATGCGCTTCCCGGACACGCCGATCATGAAGCCTGTGTTCGACCTCTTCAGATTGCTCAGGCTGAAGTTGCTCGACTACTACTTGGTGGACCGGAACAGCAATTCGACGCGGTGTTTCAACGACATTGTCCGGCAGCGCGGTGAAGGCCCGATTCTCCCGCAAGACTACAACATATACAACGTGCCCCAGTACTGGGGTAAGCATGGGGTACACAAGAATGTGGAAAATGTCGTGCGGCCGTTCAAGGATCGTCTGAAGTACGATCAGGAAAATGGGACGCATGATGGATGGGCTCTCATGATGAAATACGATGTGTGGTCGATGAGGGCGTACATGGCCGGGAATCGTAGCGACGAAGACAAGGACCTGGACAGCCTCGACCTCATCCCGTACCCACTTGAAGTCGTCGAGTGGTGCGAGACGTTCGACCACTCGACTTCGTCGTACGACAAAGCCCTCACGGAGGTTGTCCTTGACAGCTTGGCATTCGAGTATGCTGAGCATACCAAGTGGTACTGCATCGAGTGCGTACGCGAGGGCCTCACCTATTTCTTGTGCTAACGCATCTTGGTGGCAGCCGCGGATCCAGCCAGCTGGCTGAGGAACTGAACACGTATTTAAAGAAGAAGAATGCAAACCACACGCTGCTCAGGGACACGCGCGTCACGGGTATCCGCTTTGATAGAGAGAAAAACTCGGTCAATGTGCGCACCGAGCGGGGCGAGGAGGTCGCCTTCGGACACGTCATCACGACCACGACTCTGCCGTGCCTGCGTGCGATGAACACCTTGGAGGCGAACCTCGACTATCTGCAGAAGAATGCCCTGCGCTCGCTCCAGTACGGCCAAGCGGTCAAGATCGGTGTCAAGTTCAAGACGGCGTGGTGGCAGAACGACGGGTTGATGAAGAAGTTCGGCGCGTTCGGCGCGATCATTGGCGGCCAATCCTTCACCGACTACATGTCCCGCCGTGTTGTGTACCCGTCGTACGGCGTCGACGACAAGGTGCCGTCGTCCGTGCTCATCGTGAGCTACGCGTCGACAGGCGATGCACTCGCCTGGACAGGTCTCACGGGCTCCGGTGCCGATGCGATGATTAAGCGCAGGGTCCTGGACGACCTCGTCGCCGTGCACTGCTTCGACAAGGCAGGACGCGCGTTCCTGGAGGAACAGTGGGAGGCGATGCATCCGTATAGCTGGGGCACGGATAAGAATACAATGGGTACATGCTCACGCCGGATTCATGCCCTGCTTCGAGGCCCACTCGCTAACGTGTGTGTCCCCCTGCAGGTGCCTTTGCATTCTTCGGCCCCGGTCAGTTCTGCGGCCTGTACACACACCTGACGCGCCCTGCCGCTGAGGGTAGACTGCACTTTGCGGGCGAGGTCATGAGCGCGCGCCATGCGTGAGTAACTTTGTCACTTGTCCATTCGCTATGCCTCCAGATTCTTATGTCCAACGTGCAGGTGGGTCGTCGGCGCCCTACAAGCGTCTCATCGTGCTGTGTGGCAAATCATCGCGACCAGCTACCCGTCGAAGCTCAAGCGGTTCGAGGAGAGGTGGGGCCGCACAGAGGCGTGGACGAGGGAGTCTCTTCTGCGACAGGTCGATGTGTCCGTCGAGCGTATATTCCCGCTCGGTAACTGAGGGGCTTTTCATATAAATGATGTTTGTGATGAATCGCAGCGTACACATGAAATATGTAACGAAAAATTCGCGTGCTGTTGTTCTTGCTATGCAGATGTTTGGTCAGTGAGATGCTTGGCCGTGGTTTCGAAGACGAGGATACGCACCGGGAGCCGCGGAGAGATCTAAGAGGTTTTGAGGTCGGTGGTAGGATCGGTGAGATCGAAGAGGGGCAGTCGCTCCCTAAGGACCAGCCATCCATCGTCGTCAGTTGTCGGCGCATACCAATGGTGCCACCAGGTTGAATGACGGATTGTCGAAGCATTAGAGTCGAACTTGCTCGGGAGCCTGAGCACGAAGAGCGTGCTGGAGAGTCAACTCATGTGTCTGCGAATAGTGGGACATTCGTTCCATGCGCACTTGGACATCGGAAATAAGCGTTTTGCTCAATCATTTTAACAGCAAGGCCGATGAGGACATATTCGACCTGGGGGAGCTGTGCCAGCGGAACTTGATCTGTGCATGTAATTCCATATGAGCCTAAAGTCCTGATACGGACTCCGCAAGTAAGCTGTGTCCTGACCTTCGGCTGTGCAACAAATTAGGGCATAACACCCATTCATAGGGTCTCGCGTCGTGTGAGCCTAGCCTGGATAATGACACCGCAGAGCTGCGGGCAATATTCATCGGCAGTACAGTACCGCACGCACACAACCTTTGCCGTCTCGTCAATGGAGACGGCACGATCGGATGCCCGCGCGTCTTCACTTCACTCTCATGAGGATTAAGTGGAATATTTGAATTCTCTGTTCTACGTTCTACCAGATATACAAGCAATGTTTATCCGCCGATAAGAAATCGAGATGCCCTGCTCTAAGAGACAAATCCCCAAGATAGTTGATAGAATGCATGGTAGTGTGTGTTGTTACTTTCTCTTTCGGATGCTAGACGATACAAGATAGTATGACAGATTTTTGCAAGCGAGAGAGGATTGTGAAAGAAAGGAGAGGGAAAGGGATGATATCTAGCCCATGACGCTCGCGAGCAAGGCCATGCGAATCTGATATGCGAATGATCAACGTCAGGGCTTTGAATGAGAGAAAGCGAGAGGCTTACGAAAAGACCGTAGCGCATCTGCCGGAAGTAGACTGCACGACGAGAGTCGAAGTCGACTTCCGGATCAATTTCTGTAGAAACCGGCGGGTCAGCACATCGAAGGACGTGGAATGAGACAGCCAACGACATACCATTGACCCTGGGAAGAGGGTGCATGACGATCATGTCCTCCTTCGCGCGCGCGAGGAGCGAGTGGTTAACGCGGTACGCATCCTTCACGCTCAGCCACTCGGCCTCGCTCGCGAAGCGCTCCTTCTGGATGCGCGTCACGTACAGCACATCCGTCTGTCCAAGACAGTCCTCGAGCGACTCATACATGTTTACCATCACTCCCGCCTTGCGTGCCGCGGACACGACCGACGCAGGCATCGCGAGAGACGCCGGCGCGACGAAGTTCAGGCGCACGCTGTACATGCACAGGAGCGTCACGAGGCTGTGGACCGTGCGTCCGTTCTTCAGGTCGCCGAGAAGTGTGATCACCCGACCGTTGACGGTGCCGAGCTCTGAACGAATCGTGTAGACATCGAGCAGCGCCTGCGTGGGATGCTCGCCGACACCGTCGCCGGCGTTAAGGACGGGCACAGGTGAGAACTTAGCTGCCAGCTGCGCACTGCCGACGTCGGGGTGCCGGAGCACAACGGCGTCCGCATAGCAGCCAAGCGTGCGGATTGTGTCCGGGAGGGTTTCGCCCTTGAGCACGGAAGAAGTGTCGACGTTGACCTGGACGACCTCACCACCGCAGCGCTTCATCGCAGCATCGAATGAGGAGGAAGTGCGCGTTGAGGGCTCGTAGAACATCGTACAGAGGACCTTGCCCTTGAGGATGTCGAGGATGCCGTTCCGCTCAACCTGCAGCTGCATCTCATGCGCAAGAGAGAAGAGGTCGTGGATGTCCTTGTGCGTGAACTGCTTGACAGAGAGAATGTGCTTGCGGTGGAACGCAGGGTGGGGTGTCAAGTGCGACAAGATGGAAGGAGCGTTGAGTGGACCGTACAGAGCTGAGACCGGCTGTGCGGGCGGCAGCTGCTGCATGGGCAGCGGGGGACTAGTGAATAAGTTGGAGAGCTCTGGCTTAGGCGGAGCAACGGAAGAGATCGAGGCGGCTCGTTCCCTGGTGGGGTGCACGATAACTGCGCTAGAGACATCACGACCCAACGGGGTGACGTTGAGGACACCATCGAGGTAAGCAGTCTGGCCGTGGACGAGAACACGATGTACTGCGCCATCGAGGACACGCGACTCCGCAGGAGACCAGGCCTTGCTTTTCTTGCCGAGCACGCTAGACGCCTTAGTCTTCCTGCCGACGATGACCTCGATATGAGTATGTGCCTGGTCGGGAAGGCCGAAGATGCGGATAGGATTGTCGTGCAAACGCAGCTGGACATCCTTGAGCGAGAGACGGCCCTCAGAGACAGCGGTAAGGAGCAGAGGAAGCGCCTCCTCGACGCCAGACCATGCGCTGGCCTCCTTGCCAAGGGCTTTTGCGAGGCGGAACGGGACGTTGCCAGTCGAGAAAGCATCGATTGCGTCCAAGCTCTTCCAGAGCGCCTTTTGGTCCTCCACGCTCGGAAGACAGTCGACACCGCCGAATTGCTCACGAGCGAAGAACAGCGAATACACAGAGACATCGCAGGTGACATTCAGCTGCTTGCCCTTGCTAAGCGAAATGAGGAGCATGTCGTCCTTGTGCTGCACGTCCGTGACGTGGACGGGGCGATTGTGCAAACCTGCCAGGAGGAGGATAGGCGCGAGGTGCGCACCCTTGGCGTTCGTGACGATAAGTTTGTTCGGCGGCCAAGCGTTGAAGTGCGCAGCCAATCCGGCCATGTCCGTGAAGTCAGAGGGGATGAACAGAGATTTGGCATCCGCCTGAAGATCCTCATCGAGCACATTGACGTTCGACGGAGTAGCCGTGATGCTGAAAGCGTAGCTGCAGAAGGCGCTAGACGCAACGTTCGCCCGAATAGACTCGAACATCTTCTCGTCAGCCGTAGGTCCGCTCTGGCCGAAGGGTAGCACAAGCGCGGTAGAGAAGCCGCCACTAATGGAGGCCTTGGTCGCCTCGATGAAATCTGCGGGCGTTGGCTCGGTTAGGCCAGGGACGAACGCAGACACGTTGATGAGTCCGGGAAACGTATACGTGCTGTGCGATGTCTTGTAGTCAATAGGCGAGACATCCAGAGAGAGGCGGCGAATGAGAGCCTCGAACAGGATCTTCGCGACCTTGACGTTCGTGATGAGCGGCACGGCAAAGTCGACGGCCATACGACGGGTGCGATAACCTTTGCTTGCGTAGCTAGCGGGACGGCGATAGTGGTTTTTCGACGGCAAGTTGATGTACATGTCGATGAGATTGTTCGCCAAGTGCTGCGTGAGCGAGTACTCAGCCTTCTGCTTCTCGTTGCTGTCCTCTGGAAGCGTCTCGAGGTACTAAAAGGGACAGTTAGATCAAGCCTAGAAGACAGGCGCGCCCGCCGTACCTTGCAAGGGATGTTGTGCTCCGTCAGGAAGTCAGCGGTGCCCGACGTTGCAAATATCTCATAGCCCGCGGCCCGCAGCTTCGCAATCGAGGGCAGGAGCTCGAGCTTCTCCTTGTATCCGCCAATCGAGAAGAGGATGTTCTTCTTAGGGAGGACGATACCGGTAGAAATGAGCGCCTTGACGTACGCCTCGTACTTGTCGTGTCCAAAGCACGCAACCTCGCCAGTGGAAGCCATCTCGACACCAAGCACGGGGTCGGCACCGGACAGGCGGCTGAACGAGAACTGCGGCACCTTCACTCCGACGTAGTCTGACGGGAGGCCCGCGTCGGGGTACGGCTCGACGGAGAGGCCGAGCATGACCTTGGTCGCCATCTCGATCGCGTCGATGCCCGTGACCTTGGACACGAACGGGAACGAGCGCGCAGCGCGAAGGTTGCACTCGATGACCTTGATCTCGTTGTTCTTCGCGATGAACTGGATGTTGAACGGCCCGGTGACGTTGAGCGCGTTGCCAATCTTGGCCGTCGCCTCCTCGATCTGACGCACCGTCTCCGGGTCCAGGTCCTGCGGCGGGTGGATGAGCGTCGCGTCGCCAGAGTGCACGCCCGCGTTCTCGACGTGCTCCGAGATGTAGTGCATGATCATCTTGCCGTCTTTCGCGACCGCGTCCATCTCGATCTCCTTCGCGCCCTCGATGTACTTCGAGATCACTACCGGGTGGTCGCGCGAGACTGCTGTCGCCTGCGAAAGGTAGCTCGAGAGGTCGTCGGGGCTGAACACGACGTTCATGGCGGCGCCAGAGAGTACATAGGACGGGCGGACGAGCACCGGGTAGGCTACGGACTCGCAGAACGCGTGCGCCTCTTCGAAGCTCGAGAGCTCCTTCCACTTGGGCTGGTCGACACCAATCTCGTCGAGCAGACGCGAGAACTTGTACCGGTTCTCGGCCGTGTCGATCAACTCAGGGGAGGTACCGTAAATCTTGACGTTCTGGCGATACAGCGGGAGCGCAATGTTATTCGGGGTCTGTCCACCCATGGAAATAATAATGCCACGCGAGCCCTCGACGTCGTAGATGTCCAAGATCGTCTCAAGGCTAATGTTCTCGAAGTACAGGCGATCGGCCTCGTCATAGTCGGTGCTGACCGTCTCAGGGTTGTAGTTGACCATGACGGTAGGCAGGCCGTTGTCGCGCAGGGTGCGAATGGCCCGAACAGCGCACCAATCGAACTCGACGGACGAGCCGATGCGGTAGACACCTGAGCCGAGCACCATGACACCACGGTCGTCGAAGTTGATGTCGTGCTCAATTGCGTTGTAGGTCGTGTACAGATAGTTCGTGAATGCCGGGAACTCGGCAGCGACAGTGTCGATCTGCTTGACGAAGGGCGCAATAATGTATTCCTGGCGGAGTCGGCGCACAGCGAGCTCGTTCGAACCCATGCAGCTGGCAAGCTGACGGTCAGAAAAGCCCAGTTGCTTGGCCTGGCGAAGCACCTCTGGGGTGATCGTCGAGACGTTGTAGGAGGTAAGCTTGATCTCAGTCTTGTAAATCGACTCGAGCTTAGTCAAGAACCACTTGTCGATGTTGGTCATCTGCCAGATCTTCTCGACGGAATAACCACGATGGAAGGCAGTCGAGATGGCGAAAATGCGCTTATCGGTAGGGTTCTCGAGCTCCTCGTCAATATCCTCGACGAAGTCATTCTGGCGGCAAGGCGTCAGTTAGGTCTTCCCATAGCACAAAGTACTACCATACCTTGGCGAAGCCCAGGAACTGATCATCAATAGCACGAATGGCCTTTTGGATCGTCTCTTCGAACGTGCGACCGATGCTCATGACCTCGCCGACCGACTTCATGCTGGAACTGAGCAGCCTGCTGACACGGTGGAACTTCTTGAGGTCCCAGCGCGGGATCTTCACGACGCAGTAGTCCAAGCTCGGCTCGAAGCATGCGCTGGTGACCTTCGTGACCGAGTTCTTTATCTCGTTCAGCGGGATGCCGAGGCCAAGCTTCGCAGCGATGAACGCGAGTGGGTAGCCCGTCGCCTTGGACGCAAGCGCGGAGGAACGCGACAGACGCGCGTTGACCTCGATGATGCAGTATTCCTTCGACGTCGGGTTGAGCGCGTACTGGATGTTGCACTCGCCGACGACGCCGAGGTGCCGAATGACGTTGATCGCGGTCGTGCGGAGCATGTTATAGTCCGCGTCTGAGAGCGTCTGTGAGGGAGCGACGACGATCGAGTCTCCGGTGTGGATACCGAGAGGATCAAAGTTCTGCAAAGATATACCTCAGAGATTGACCATTGTGAGTGCCACAAAGACACGTACCTCCATGTTACAGACCGTAATGCAATTATCCCTGCAATCACGGACCACCTCGTACTCGATCTCCTTCCAGCCCTTCATACTCTTCTCAACGAGCACCTGCGGACTAGTCGCAAACGCCTTGCTGCACAGCGCCTTGAGCTGGTCGTCGTTTTGTGCAAAGCCAGAGCCCAGACCGCCGAGCGCGTACGCCGCACGCACGATGACGGGGTAGCCGATCTCGTTCCCGGCAGCGAGGGCCTCGTCGAGCGCCGTGGCGGTGCTCGACTGCGCGCAGCGCTCGCCGATCTCCGCCATGGCGTTCGCAAACAGCTCGCGGTCCTCGGTCATGATGATCGTCTCGATCGGGGTTCCGAGCACCTTGCACCCGAAGCCCGCGAACTCGTCCTTGAGCTTGATGCCGACGTTGAGCGCGGTTTGCCCGCCGAACGTGACGTAGATGCCGTCGGGCTTCTCGTACTGGATGATCTTCCGCACGAACTCAGGCGTCACGGGAAGGAAGTAGACCTTGTCCGCGAGACCCTTGGACGTCGCAATCGTCGCAATGTTCGGGTTCACGAGGATGGTGTAGATGCCCTCTTCCTTGAGTGCCTTGATCGCCTGCGAACCCGAGTAGTCGAACTCGCCGGCCTGGCCGATGGAAAGGCCACCAGAGCCGAGGATGAGCACTTTCTGCACGTCTGCACGGGGTATGCGCTTCTCGTTCTCCTCCTTGGTGCCGCCGGGCATCGAGATGGGGACGAGAGAGTTGGTAGTCGCGCAGTCGACTATGTTCTGGATGAACACATCGAAGAGGAACTCGGTGTCCCGCGGACCAGGTGTCGATTCGGGATGGAACTGCACGGAGAAGAAGGGCTTGTCAACACAGTAAATGCCTTCGTTGGAGCCATCATTCGCGTTCTTGAAGAGCTCCTTCCAACCCTCGGGCAGTGTCGCAGTGTCAACCTGGAAGCCGTGGTTCTGGCTGGTGATGTAGCAGCGGCCGCTGATGGCGTCTGTGCATGGGATGTTGTGTCCTCGATTACCGTACTTCATCTTAGACGTCTGAGCACCAGCCGCGAGCGCGAGTAGCTGGTGTCCGAGACAAATACCAAAGATGGGGCGATCCGCCTTCTGCATGACCCGACGGAGCCGCTCAATAGTAGGCTTGACCATGGTAGGATCGCCGGGGCCGTTCGAGATGAACAATCCGTCAAACTTTTCTTCAGAGGGCGACAGATAGTCGTAATCCCAAGGGACGACCTTGAGCTCAACGCCGCGGTGCGTGAAGCAGCGAATCTGGTTGTACTTCATACCAACGTCAACCGCAATGATACGGAGAGGACGCTTTTCGGAAGGGTGCATGCGGGGCTCGACCACTGGCTTGTAGACGCGAGCAACCGGGGTAGAGACCACCGCGACCAGGTTCTGAGTGTTAGGGTCGCTGAAGGGAATGTCCGCGTAGTCGTCTCTCCACAAGCCCGGAGGCGAGGGCGCGCGCGAGGCGCTTTCGACGCTCAAGGTCCTCATATGAGTAGCATGGGCACCAGGCTTGCGCGCCAGGATGCGCGCCAGTGTGGAACCCTTCTCGCGGAGCTTCTTGGTGAGAGCACGTGTGTCCACACCGTAGATCGCTGGCACACCGCTCTCCTTGAGCCACTGGCCGAGGGACGACCCGGCTAGGAAGTGGCTGTAGTCTTCGGAGTAGTATCCGACGACCACGGCGGCGACGTGAATGCGGGAAGACTCGAACTCGTGTGGGATCTTCTCAGGATCGACGGTCTCTGGGCGTGCTGGCACGCCGTAGTTGCCGATGAGAGGGTAGGTGAGGATCAGGATCTGTCCCTCGTACGACGGGTCGGTCAGCGACTCAGTGTATCCAACCATGCCTGGCGCGCGAGGCATGAGTGACAAAAGGCGCACGAGACCAGGTTAAAGCGCTGCTCACCGGTCTGGAAGACGCATTCGCCAGCGACACTCTTGCCCTCTACACCAAAACTAATTCCACGGAATGCGGTGCCATCTGAAAGCTCCAAAACGGCGTCAGTGTGTGTCGCATCGTGCGCCGTGACAGGCGGGGCGGGGGTGCCATTTGGGAGCCCACTCTGCATGCGGGAGAGGGCGGGTCGAGCGGGTTCGACAACGAGCGAGGCAGGCATGGCGGGTTTTGTGATTTTTAGCCGAAAGATTCGACCTCTTCCTCTCCGCTCACACCTGCAGGGATCCGAGTGGAGAGGAAGAGAGAGAAGAAGAAGAAAAATGCGCGATCGCCCACAAGTTATAGCAGGTCACATGATGTAACATCAGATCTCAGAAGCTCGTGATGTCGTCATCAGTTGCCCAGGTCCAGCCCCGCATCGCGAGCAGGACAAGTCGAAAAGCCGCCGAGGGCTCCCAGCGGCCAGTGTCCGCCGGTAAAGGACCTAGGATTCACCGGAGCCCAGATTCCCAACGAAGTGCGTATACACAAGTCTTGCCGCGACGCGCCTGTGCAAAGGCTCTGCCGTCGCGAAGCTCCTCGCCATCCCACTCTTCGAGCTCTACGGCAATGCGGCTCGGCGAGCGTGTTCTCCTACCACATCTGACAGTTCACATACAGCTATGGCCCACAACTTTCCGCAATTCTGCACCTCTTGTCTCGGTATGTCTCCTTTTTTCGCTATGCAATTACCAGTCACTAAGAGGGTCGATTACTTGCAGCTATAACTTCATCTACTAATAGACTCAAAGAACGCTCTCTTTCCTTGTCGCTGTTTGAGCGCTTAGCCATGCCGGAGGATATCTTCAATCTCTCAGGCTCAATACTGGCATTAACATGACTCTAACAGCCAGGTGTATATTATCAGACGTGTCAAATGAGCGTGCCGGCGCAGAAACAACAAAGAGCAGCGTGCAAGTGCACATGTACAGAAGCACGATCCTCTCGTCGTCTCTCCCGCCCTAACCAAAGAACCGCTACAAACAAAAGACAGAAAAAGAAAAATTCTACGCAACGACAGATAGACAGCACATACGCAATCGAAAAGCTACAGCAACTTCGAGCTCTCTCAGCACAGTACAAATACAAACAACCAACTTTCCCTCTTCCCTAACATACGCCGCAGCATGAACGACAATCAACTGTAAAAAAAAAGAATAACTTAGAAACCTCTCACCCTTCCCCGGAGACCCTCCTACATTCACCACTCACAACCCCTTCTCCTCGATAGGCTCGGTGTTCGCGGAGGCGGGCTTCTCGAGCGATTCGTCGTCGGGGCTCTCGCGCGCGCCGTACTGCATCTCGACGCCCTCCTGATGCTGCTGCTGCTGCAGGTCCGCGCGACTGCCGTGGCCGCGCGCGAGCCTGACGCGCGCCGCGACGACGCGCATCCACGTGGGGACAATGCCGCCGGGCGGGATGACCCAGGCCTCGCTCGCGTCGTAGTTGGGCGGGACGGAGCGCTCGCCAAAGGTCCTGCGCAGGGCCCACGCGACGCCGTTGATGAGGACGAAGGAGATGATGCCGGCGATGACGCCGTACGCGATGTTGTACGTGAGCGGGATGATGATGAGCGTCAGGAAGGCGGGCACCGCGTCGCCGATGTAGTCCCAGTTGATGTCGCGCACGTTGCGGATCATGAGCGAGCCGACGATGACGAGCGCGCCGCCGGTCGCCCAGGAGGGGATGCTCGCAAAGATCGGGGCGAAGAAGACGCAGACGAAGAAGGCGGCGCCGGTCGTCATCGCCGTGATGCCCGTCTTGCCGCCCTCGGAGATGCCCGTCGCGGACTCGATGAAGGCGGTGACGGGCGAGGTGCCCATGAGCGCGCCCATGCTGATGCTGAACGCGTCGACGCAGTACGCGATCGTCGAGCCCTCAAAGTCGAGCGTGACCGGGTCGCGCAGGCCAGCGAACTTGGCCATCGAGTACAGGGTGCCGGTCGTGTCGAGGATGTCGACGTACAGGAACGTGATGAGCGCGTACCACACCCGGCCTTTGCCGTACTGGTTGTAGTCGATCGCGTTGCCGATGAGCTGCAGCGGGTGGAAGGCGACGACCTGCTTGAAGAAGTCGAACGCCTCGTCGCCTGCGGCGGTATGCGGGAAAGCCGTCACCGACGTCGGCCGCGGCCAGCTGATAATGCTCGTCAGGAAGATGCCAATAAGGATCGCACCCTTGATGCGGTAGAGCATCAGGAAGACCGTGAAGATGCCGCCGACAAAGATACCCAGCCACATCGTCGGCGCCTGCAGGACGTGTGAGGCGCAGTAACCAACTAGGGTAGACGACTCGTAGTACTGGGGTAGACAGCCGCCGAGGCCGACGAGGTTAGTAGTGTCACCACCAACCACGTTAAGACCGCCTGATGCTGTGGACAAGTCAGCGGGGCAGAGCGCGGACGTCAGGTGACGGAAACGTACACAAGCCGATGAATCTGCGATAGCGGATCAGGTACGGTTCAAGAACCAGGAGCATGGTACTCACGCAATGTAGAGACCGATACCGGCGCCGACGGACAAGACGAGCGACTGCGGCATGATACGGGCGAGCCATTGCCGCAGGCCGAGCAGGGAAAGGATAAAGAAAAGCCAGCTGCAGCACGCTGGTAAGCACAGCCTTTCCTCATGGCTGCGGCAGAAGCTTACCCCTCCAGAAAAACGGCAGCGAGTGCCTCGCGATACGTGATAATGCCGCTGCCGTGGAAGCTGCGGACGAGCACATGCCGTCAGGGCGCAAGCGATGCAAGTGTAGTTAGACCGTGACGTACCCAACGACAGAATATGTGAACTGCAATACATAGTTAGCACGTTTCAAATCAGCTGTCATCGGACGTGGGCGTATCGGTAAGTGCATCAAGAGTGCACATGAAAATGTCGGAGGCGTGGAATGTCCGATACAGCACCCGCGCGCACCGCTCCATGACCGGCGCCAGCAGGCCCTAGGGCGGGGCAGCAACAGCAGGAGGGCCAGCACTACGCCGCGCGGCGCGCAGGGAGACGTCTGCATCGGCTAGCAAAAAAGTTTCCCCAGACTCTGTTCCGCGAAAATCACGCGCATGATGGGCGCAACGGGAACCACGCCAGCGGGAGGGAAATGAATGACGGCTGACTCACGTATGCGTTCAACCCGAGCCCAGGCGCCATGCCGACGGGTAGGTTCGCGAGGAAGCCCATGAGGAAGGACGCCAGCGCAGAGACCGCGGCTGTCGTCGTGATGAGGTCGCGTTGCACCACGGCGACGCAGTCGAGGTACGTCTGGTCACTGACGCATTGGTCGGATTGTGTGCACACACAGGTGCCGCCGGTGTCCTTGATGATGGAAGCGTTGACGGAAATCTGGTTGCGCTCCGGGTGAGCACGGGAGACGGCGGGTGGACACTGTGATGAGGGGACGCACGATATATGCCATGGCAGCCTGTGGGGCGTGATCAGCTACGGCGGGCATCGCGTGGTGAGCCGAGAACGCACCCATGTTGTGAAGCCTGCACGAATCTCGGTCTGCGGGGCAGGGACATCAGTCGGGAAAGCGGTGCCAGACAACAGGGTGGTGACGGACCAAGAACCGCGAGCCTATGCGCTCTCTCCGGTGGCCGGAGCCCTCGAGCTGGAACCACCTGCCGACGAACGAGTCTGCTACCTGGGTGGTCAGCCGGGTGAGTTCGCACCGTAGGACGTTCGAGGGGGCGGGGGACGCACGAAAGCGTTTATCCTGTGCGTGTATGTCATGGGCATGGTGGGTGGTCGCGGCGGAGGGGAATGAAGGTGAGATGAGCTTGGACGGAGCGTTTTTGAGGAGAGATAAGAGCTATGGGCTCGAAACGCCACCGCCAGGGCTCATCCCGTCGCCGGCGCCAGGCCAATTTTCCTTTGCCTCCGGCTGATCCCTCGAGGGATTCTACGGACTCCCACGGTGCGATCGAATGAGGATCCTCGGTTAGAGGCGCTTATCGCCCACGCCGGCCGTCGGGATGGTCTCGTATGCCAGCCTCCTTGAGGCTGTGCCCAGAACACGCTTATCGACAAGTACAGAAAGGGCTAAACATTCAAGTTGGGAGGGAACCCTGCGTCAGAGTCCACGAGGAAGAGGTGCAAGGCGTGTGCTCGCGAGAGAAGAAGCGGGGTGGAGGCACATCGCGTAGCCGCTCCTTTACTGTATATGACGTCCCCTCCCCCGACGCGTTGGCCGCGCCGCGATGCCTGTGACGAAACACGCGACGGAGCACCTGTCACAGGACACGCCGCGGCTGTGATCAGGATCAGAGGATCGGCTCAGGGCTGCATATTGCATGCCCGCACACAGCGGACACTCGCCAATACGTTTCGTATACTACTGTAGGCCTAGACCACCAATTGGGACAGCGACACTAGCTGGGACACGCCACAGCTCCTGCTCCTGTGCAATCCCTCGGGTCTATCAATCGCCTATCGCTACCAAACATTGATCAGAGTCCTCCAGTGATCGTGGCGTAGGTGGAGGGCTGTACCTGGAGGGGCGGAAAGCCTCGCGCGCCGGTTTGACCATCGCCGGAGGCGCATGGCGGAGACCATTCGTCAACATCCCATTTTTACATGCTTCACCTGTTTTATTATTATTAAAAACCGTGTATAATAATATTGCCCGGGTGTACGGTTGCCGAGCAGGCTCAGGTCAAATCCCCAAAACCCAAGTCCGGATCACAAAGCTGATGGCCAACTGTGTAATGAGCGCCCCAGCACCTTTCCGCACACAGACATCAGTCTGGGTTATGTATGGCATTTTTAGGTCTTTTAGATTGTATGAAAGCATGTAATGTGCTGTATCTGTATACTCTGAGGTCAATAAGAGTAGTAGCGGGCCGAGGACCATTATCTGACCCGGGCTTATCGAAACGGTAATCAAGCGCCCGAAGCTTCGATTATCTTATCTAGAGCATAACCCTAAGTCAGCAGCACAAGGGCTGTGTCTATTACCTTAAAATATAGCGAGTATTGGTACAGTAACATGACTTGTTCTCACTAGGTAATATTGATCATAGCCAGGTTAGCAGCCGATAATATACATACATTTAGTAAAATAGCTACACAGGAGGGCAAGGTCAAGCACGCCTGCAACGACTCCGACGGCAAGGGATGCTTCGGGTCCCGGCCAAGCCCCGACACGCTGCTTCCATACGGAAAATGGGCGCCTAACGCTGCCATCGCTGTTCACCCCACCGCCTGGCCTGCCAACGATAATTGACATGCTTCATTTGACTTCTAACCTCGTATACATGCAATATTAATCGATTATTTGTGCTGAAAACGCTCGAAATGCTCAGAGTAAGAGGCCCCAGTGCACTCGGAGGTTGGTAGCGCTGATGGTATCAGATTTGGGTTTCTGACTTGGGTTTTGAAAATTTGACCTGAGCCTGCTCGGCAACAGTACGGGTGTCCAGCGTTGAGCTATAGAACAGCACCGGACATGTTTCTGGTACCCCAACGTTGGTGCGCGACCGGGGCCCTGACTGCAACGGCTGCGTGACGGCGGTGCTATTAGCCAAGACCTGATATAGTCACAAGCTGTCACGTTATGTCACGTCCTGTCACGGTATCCCGACTGACCAGCCGCTTGCCACTGGCCGCGCGCTCTCGGACAGCTGGTTTTGTGTCCCCTCGACTCCAGCTTTCGCCCTCTCGCCGTGTATCTTCACGCGACGGGGCTTCGTATGTTTTGGTAATACAGTATAATTGGCGAAATCAATGAAAGCGAAGACGGACCGAGGTGTACATCCCTCCGACTCGGAGTCGCGAAAGGCCCGCCAACACACTGTCTAAGCCTACTATAAATCTGCCAGCCTTCCCCTCATTTCTGAACACTCTCCTGGCTCTCACGAGACCAATCAAGAGATCATTTCAGCTAAAAGAGGCACAAAAAGAGCTCAACAAAATTTCCAAAAATAGCCCGACCCTTTCAGCAGAAAAGATGTGAGAAACTTTCAGCGGAAATAGTACCAAAAAGAGGAGCATTATTTTTGGAAATATTTCGTAGTGAAAAAGCCATATATTTGTGATGCAAAGAGTAATGACAATATCTATAGTGCTTACAGATGAACCTAGGGCATCTATTTCCACCTTGATAGGCGCAAAGGTTTCTCTTTGCATCACAAATATGTGGCCTTTTCACTAAAGATATTTCCAAAAATAGTGCTCCTTCTTCATTGAAAGAGCAAGGCTGTTTTCAGAAAATGTTGTTAAACTCTTTTCATGCCTCTTTTAGCCAAAAAGACATCCTAATCTGTCTCGTGTCTAGAAGGACCATTTGAGCTAAAAATTTCGCGACGTTGCGCAGGCGCCCAGCCCCGTGCCGTCTCTTCTGGAAGGCGCCCGCAGAGGCCGGACTGCCAGAGTGCGTATATGGTCAGCAAAACATCGTAGCAGGTGGCAAGCGGGGAGGCCCATACCTGCTGGCCCACGAGCCGTCACCCGTTTCCACGACTTGAGTGCAGATAATGAGGTTAGAACGTCCACCAGGCGCGAGCCCGTATGCAACGCGACACGCGTGTGTTGCTCTACTACACTACAATGCGATTAGTACAGCTGTAAGAAATAAGATACAAGAATTGGCTTATGCTGCTGCTATGCTATGCTACCAGCCCCAAAGACCGTCCTCAAAGTACACGTACACGACAAGTGCTGCGGGAAAAGTGTCCAAAAAGGAGCGTTCAAAAAAGCCGAACGATGTAAAGGCCAAAAGAAAGGGAGCGGCTCTTTCTCCCGCTGTGACCGCCCAATGAAAGAGAATCCCTCGGGGGACGACGCCCATCCTCTCCACGAACGACACCCTCCGGCCGTCACACGGGGGACGACGGCGACATCATCTTCTCCTTGAACATCTGCGCGAGCCCCGTCGGCGGCTTCCCCATGATCTCCTCAAACCTCGCGCGAAAGCGTGCGACGGCCATGTCGAGCGCAGCCCCGTCGTCGCTGTGGCTGTGGCTGTGGCTGTTGTCGTCCGTCGCGGAGGCGACGCGGTGGCCGTGGTCGAGGACCCAGGCCTCGGCCTCGCGCACAAAGTTCTCGAGGTCCTTGACGCACGCGGTCGAGTGCTCGGGCTCGCCCGAGCCGCGCGCCTTGGCGAGGTACGACGCGGCGAGCGTCGACAGCCCCCCGAGCACCGATGTCGCGATCGACGTCTGCCGCCCCGACGTCGCCGCCGCGATCCCGGTCGTGAACGCGCCCAGCGCGACCTGCGCGCCGATCGCAAAGTTCAGGGACCACCCCGTCGCGCGCGCTGTGTTGCGGGAGAGAATGACAGGTGAGTTCCCGGGAGGAAGGAGGGAGGGAACAAAAAGTCGCGTGAGCCACCCGAAACCGTCTCTCTGTCTCTGTCTCTGTCTCTCTCTCGAGAGGGATCGCGCCGCGGCAACGCCACACAAAGTAGTGCTCACCTTTCAGCCTGTAGTTCTTCAGCTCCTCCCTGGCATTGTCCAGCGTCGGCTTCAGCCGCTCGCCGACGGTCTTCTCGCGGGTCTGGAAGAGGGAACTGGGGATCAGCGCGAGGGTCGACATGGGACGCGCGGGAGAAGGGACGGCGGCGCACGCATACACAAGCGGGATATGTGTGTGGGCGCATGCGGGTGCGGCACCAGAGGGCTGTGTATCGGGCTGCGAACGTGCACACGCGCGCCACTCTTGATACAGGTCTTCCCTGCCCGTGATACATCCATATTACACGGAAAGTTACGTCCGCCACAGGCCACGAATGTCGGGCGTGGACTGTGGCACCACGATGCAGCCTTTTGTTCGCGGTGCCGTGCTTCTCGCGGGGAACATGACGGACGTCCGGGACATACGTCAGAAAACGAGGACAGCCCCGCCAGGGTCCAAGCGCGTTATAATGAACGCGATATGGGCGTCTTCGCGACGTGACCGGTCTCTTTTTCTCGACCCGCCCCCCACCGGGAGCACGCAACAAAGCGCATATCGCCAACAGACAAAATATCACTCACCATCGTCGAGAAGCTCCCGTCCGCGTTATCGTACACCGACCGGCGGGACATGCGCCGCGACGCGTGCTCCTCAAAGACCGGCTCGGGGATGCCCGGCCCAAACCCACTCCCAAACCCAGCCCCAGCCCCAGCCCCAGCCCCAGCCCCAGCCCCACCACCCCCGTTCCCGTTCCCATACACACTCGCGTGTCCATGTCCATGTCCATTCCCGCTCACCGGCCTCGGCGCCACAAAGTAGTCCGCGCGGGGCGCGAGGTTCGCGTTGCTCGCCGGGCCGCGCGTCGCCCGCGGCGGGGGCTGCTGGCCTTCGGAGCGCGAGCGCGCAGGTGGGGGCGGGTGGGGGCCTTCGGAGGGGGGGCGCGTGCGCGGCGGCGGGGGTTGGCCCTCGGGGAAGCTGAGCGCGCGCGGCGGGCGCGCGAGCGTGAGTAGCGGTGACTCGCTCTGCACGGCTGCGATGCCGGCGCCGGCGCCGGCGAGGACGGGCGAGGCGGGGTAGGGCCCGCTCATGGCGAGCGGCGCGAAGCGCTCTTCGCGGGGCGTGTGGACGTGCAGCGAGAGCGGGCGCGAGGACGGGCCTGCCTCGGGGGCAACAGCAGCAGCGGCGGTGGCGGCAGGGGCGGCGACGTCATACGAGAAGCGCGGCGAGGGCGAGCGCGTGTTCCGCCGGCGCGGCGGCTGCTCGGTCACGGGTGGGAAGATCGGTTTGGGAGGTAGTGGGGGCGGGGCTTGCAGAGATGAGCGGCGGGAGCCGACGAGCTCGGGCACTTGCGCGGGCGTGAACGGCTGCTGGGATGGGCTGCTGGCTGCTGCTGCTGCTGCTGGAGCGGGTGCTGGCGGGTGCGATGGGGCAGATGAGGGCGCGACGAGCGAGGTGGTGGACTGAGGGAGCGGGACAGACGTTGGATCGACATTGGAGTGAATGGAATGTGGAGGATCTGCGCTTGCGCTTTCAGGCTGAGGCGGAGTGCTTGGGAGGATGTTGACGGCAGGGATGGCGACGGTGTCAGCAGCCTGCGGGGTAGTCACGACCGTGGGCTGGGCGGCCGGCTCTGGAGGCGGCGGGGTGCCGGGGCTAGTCTGGGAGTCGTGCTCGCTGTGCATCTCGTCGTGGAAGAGAGAGCAGGGCAGACGAGGGCAGACGAAGACCCACGTTCATATAGTCGCAGAGATCATGTGTGTGGGTTCGGTATCTTGACGAGATTGCACGGGACGGTCGCCGCGCTGTTTTGGTCGTGCTTCCGTGCATGCTTTGGCGTGTGCGGACATGGTTGGCATAATAGAAGCCTGGACGGGGAACGCCGTGTCCCCTGGTCTGGCGTCTGCAACGAGCGCATCAACGGAGTCGGCTCGCGGAGTTTCCGACGGGGCCCCCCTGCGAGGATGTGCCAGAGGCCAAGCACTGGCGAGTGGCGCAGAGTCGCAGGCGAGCCTGAACCTGTCGGGATGCCCTGTTGGCGGTCCAGAGCCTCGCGGATCGTCGAAGCCATGCCGAGATGTTCCCGCGCGCCGAGAAAGGACATTGACACGCCTCGCAGATTTCAATCGTTCGATGGATTCAATCTCGCGCTCCCACGACGACGTCCATCGGCCAGAGGCCATCCGAAGTGGAGCGCGAGACTTGCAAGCGCGGTGCGAGTCGATGGACAAGAGAGGGCAGATGAAGGGTGGGCATCTCATGTGGTGTCCATCGGGCAAAACGTCACAGTCGGATGCCCTTCTTGACAGCTCTCTTGGTGTGTCAGGCGCAGATCGCTGCACCATACGCCGTTCATGTCACCACACGCATGACAGCAACGGCCACAATCACAGGACATTATAGTTTTCGCCCAGCGTCGGGGGACGGACGCAGCTACCACCGAGCATCGGACGGAGGCTCTGTTGAGACCAGCCCAGTGGCGTACCTTCCCACCCGCGGCTGAGCGCTGAACCTCAAGGATGCGAGTCAAGTTTACAATCAGCTCATGTGGTCATGTCTTCCCTCTAGAAACGCTGTTCGTCTCCATGCATGTCCATCTACTACGTGTGAATGACCCATCCTTCCGCTTTGATATTCGCCATCCCAGCCCGAGCGCGAGAATGTCCACGCTGCAGAGTCTCTTCGCAACTCCCGTTCTCCCAACGCTCTTCGGCTCCTCCAAACAGCAGGCACAGGTATTCGGAAAGAACCCTTCCAAGGAACCAATGGACATCCGCGGGCGCCGACAGTTTTACCTACGAGTTACGCTACAGGCACTAGGCTACATGTGCGCAAGTGTTTGAACCTTCCTATCCTTAGACCGCCCGCGCGGAACGCTGGCCAATGTATCAGCCCGTCGTGTGCATTGCATCCCGTCTAGGGCACAACGAGGGCTTCTAACCCCGATCCGCGGGTTCAAACGTTCAACGTTCAGCCTTGAGCAGCCCCGACGATACAGTAGCGCGCCGATGCTGTTCTCGACGAAGCTTGAGCATATGACTGTGCGAAATACCGTGGAACACAAGTATCTGGCAACCGGGTCGCGCACCGTCGACGACCTACCCACCCGAGGATGTCCCCTCCCACTTCGAAGAAGCACATGACGGCACCGCCGACCACACATTCACATAGCTCGAGAACTGGGCACCACAGGGACGACATGAAGGCGTGCCGACGCACCGGCAAGGCAATGGCTCCCCCCAACCCTCTGAACATTTGCGACGCATCCCCAAGCTCCATGTCATGCTGCGCGATCGGCGCATTCCGCTGTCCAAACGTTCAAGGCCTCGAGTTCGCCCTTGAGTCGGGAACCACGCTGCGACTTTGTGGCGCGGCCAAGTCCCTGGCCGACTTCACGGAAGCATTCTCTTGCCCCTTCGCGCGTCTGACGTCACCACCAGAATATTCATACTGCACCGATTCCTGCGTGTAACCTTCGAGGGGGAGAACGAGACAAGCGGCCAGAGGAGGGTGGGGGAATGGGGGTGACACCAGGCGCGTTCAGTGTTTCCAGGTCTCCTCGAGTTGGGAACTTTTTGCTGTGGCTTCGTGGCGCGGCTGGCAGCCATTGCGCCGTCAACAACATGACTCGACGAAAGCACGCTCTTCTTGCCCGGGCTGTCCCTGGACGAGCGAGCGGCACAGGCTAGGAAGAACGACTGCAGGCACACATCGTCAGGCTGAGCGCCGTCAATCGGCAGCTTCGGCAAGCAGGGGCTGCGATGGCTCGATGAGTGGCGGACCTCAGGGAACATTGAATACACCTCGCGTGCACCTCTATAAATAATAGAGACGCATTTCATAAGCCCAATCCCAGACCCGCATCTTCATAGTTCTCGGGCGTTGCATCGTGCATTGAATCGAGTCCCTGTCCAATGCAACCGACTGCTCGTAAAAGTCTTTGAGTAATAATACACATGTGTTTAGCGAAACAGACAAGGGCAGCTGGACGCGAGAGAGACGGGAGAGACGCTCCTAGAGGACGGGGGAGACTTTGAGCAGCAGCTGCGGACCCTCGTGCTCCTTGCCAGCGACGACGGGCGTCGGAAAGCCGGCGGGAAAGCGCATGATCTTCGCCGTGTCGTCTGTGGGCTCGAGCCGGAAGTGCTCCACCAGCTCGACGATGACGGCGAGTGTCTCCACGATGCTGAAGGAAAAAAAAAACGGGTGAGGCCGGCCGTCCATGTGAGCACACAGCCGACGACGCACGAAAAGCGCCATCTGCGGGGCCAGCCCCGTGTCAGTTTGCACTCGCGCACAGTATAAATGAATAAAATAAAATTTTAATGACGTACCCAAGGCACCCGCGGACGCCGCCGGCGAAGGCCATGCTGGAGCCAGAGCAGCAAGGCTGAGGTGAGCACGGGCAGCGCGCACGCGCGGACTGGCACCTAAAACACACACGCACAGGTTGGCATAGAGCCCGAGTTTGGACTGCCTCTCGAGCGTCCCATCCACGAAGCGCATCGGGTTCCACACGTCTGCGTCTTCGCCCCACACCTCAGGCAGGCTGCGCGCGAGGGGGGAGGGGCAAACGCTCAGTAAAACCCAGCGCTTTCTGTCGGAACGCTGCTCACGCACCGCTGGTACGCGCAGACCGAGAAGAGGATCTGCTGGCCGGCGGCGACGGGGACCTCCGTGACGTACCTGCCCGACGCCGTCCGGACCGGCTGCGCGAGGGGGATCACGTCGTCGGCCGCCGTGGCGCGGAACACGTGGTACAGCGGCGGGTGGAACCGCAGCGTTTCCTGTCATCATTGTAATTTTTATCGGGTCATTCTCTGTACCGGCGTGGTGACGACACCTCACAAGACTAGGAAAACCGTACCTTCAAGCAGCTGGAGACGAGAGGCATGCCCTCGAGGTCCTCGACGCTGAAGTCCTGTGCGCCATGCGCGCGCAGCCGGCCGCGCGTCACGCGGATCTCCTCGCGCATCTTGGCCTGGTAGTCTGGGTGCCGCGCGAGCTCGTACGCGACCCAGGTCAGCGTGCTCACCGTCGTGACGTGCCCGGCGAGTATGAGCGTCGCCATCTGCGCGACGAGCTCCTCGTCGCTCAGACGGGCACGAGGGTCCTCGGACACGTTCGCCAGGACTGTGTGTGGTGCGGCTCAGTGAGACGGGTTGCTGTGGCAGAATCGAGCCGCTGCATGTGCACGTACGTACCGAGCACGCTGAGGATGTCGCGGTTCGCCTTGGACTCGGCCAAGAGCGCCTCGCGCTTCTCGGCGATGAGCTGCCGAGAGACTCTGTCGACGATCTGCCTGCACCTGTGGAAGCGCTTGTGCTCCCTCGTCGGGATGTGGCGCATGAGCTGGAGGACAGGTTCGGGGACCATGTACCACGTCCTCTTGAGCAGCAAATCTAGCTTCGATGGACGGAGGCGGCCGCCGTTGCTACAAAAAACAAAATCGTCCAGCAAAACCGTATGCGCTCCACTCATGGAAGCGTGGTGAACTTACAACATGTTGGCGATCGCGCTGCTCACTTCGTTTTCCTTGTTATCGATGGCGCCGAAATTGTAATCGAAAGCGGCTACGCAAATTCGACGTCAGTACGCACAGTAGAAAGTTGCCCATAGCCCATGCAGACTTTCGCCAATAATATCAAGCGTCACTCGGTTGAACCATTTGTCGACTGCGCACACCATACCGTCGCCGGTGGAGCCGTTGGACTGCAGCTCGTCTTTCCATTTCTGTGACAGCTGTATGCGATCACTATTAGTTGCCGCGAAGAAAAGAAGAAGAAAAGGCCACAGGCGAAGGGACAAACTTTCGCAGCTCCCGCACGGAAGAACGGCAGGAATGAGCGGATCTGGGCATTGCTGAAAGCAGGGCCAATAATTTTGCGCTGTCGCTCGTGGATAGAGCCTGGAGACGATGTAATGAGGCCATAGGAGGGTGTGCATCGGCAGTACACATACCGGAAGCCCATACAAGTCCCTTACCCGTCATCTTAAGAAAGAGCTCGGTCGTTTCCACTCGTTTGATGTAAACTTCGTCTGCCTTGTGGACGCAGTGATGAAGCGCCTGGGTATAAAGCTGGGTGTTCGAATGGGTGAAGCTGCGAAGCACTGCGATGACCTGCCTTAGGATCCGCTATGACGAGGACCTCCATCTAGGAGAATACAACTTGTGAGAGAGTGACCGTGCTCGGCCGGTGGTGGCTCACCCCCAATGGACCTTGCATCCTCCAGACCCTGCCGTACTGCTTGACGAACTGGAAGTCCATGTCGCCCACATTCTTCTGATAGGCGAAATCCTTCATATTTCCTGCGGAAAAGCATGGGTACGCGCATCTCAGGTAGCGGCCAGAAGAACATTACCATACAGCCAGGATGCCTTGGGGCCAGAAACGTAGCCGATGGAAAGACGCGAGACGTGCCTGCGCCATAGCACGAGCGCAGCCGCGAGCGCTCCCAGGAGGAGGAGGGTTGACTGGTCCACTTGGAACATGGTCGCGGCAGAGGAGGCTAGTGCACGCGAGCTGCAACTGAGCTGCAGCGTATTATCAATATTGTCCCTCACTGGGCGCTATCGGGGTTCGGGGGGCGATAAGGACCAACCGGGGAGAATGCGTTTCAACAGGTTTCAACTGACCGCGAAGCTGCATGCTTTAGCTGTTGTTTCTCGCCATTCCGATGATAAGAAATGACAGAGAGATGGGGGACATGAGCTGTTTGATGTGTCCCCATTTCTCCCCCCTCCTGCGACGTCGAGCGGCATGGCTTCGCCTTCTCTGGACGAGTGCGATGTCACCTTCGCGGGTGGTAAGTTTTTGGCCACGACAGTTGCATTTGAGACTCCAGGGACAGGTCGGCCGCAGCAAGTCGCCCTGCGGGCGCGCCTCCGCTAGTGCTGGCCGCATACGAGACAGCGCCGTTTACGTCTTGGTTATCGAGGCAGACCCTCACGTCGGGGAAGTCAGCCTGCCAAATGTCTTAGTCACCTTCGCCCCGACAACCTCATCTGGAAGGCCCTTCGTGCGCCTGACGCACGAACCAAGCGCACCGTTGCACCGACTCTGGCGTGGAGTTTTGCAAGGGACAAGACAACAGGCGACAGGAGGGGGCGACACGAGCCCTGGGGTATCAGGATCGCCGCTGGCCCATACAAAGCCAACAAACACATCACCGGACACGGCGAATAGACTCCAACTCGGACGTAGTGTTGGTAAACGAAGACGAGAGCTTCGCCTTCGCTTATCCACACCATGTACAAATCCTACTACGAGCACACTGTCGAGACGGTCGCCAGTTTCGCACCGGCTATCTATGTCGTCGACTATGACCCCGGAGTAGTTTGTCGTATGCAGCAACTAGAAGCTTCTCACGGTTTCTGGGGAATCTTTAATCGCCTGAAAAAAACCGAAGGCAAAACTCGGTTTTCCGCCAGTTTTACTGCGCCCCAGACCATTTTGGCTGGTTTTGCACCAGTTTCTCCTCAGTTTGCATCGGCGTAGAATCGAGGAATAACTGGGCCTTGTTTAGCTGCTTTTGCCTGAGTTTTCTCAAGAAAAAAACTGCGCTTACCACCCTGTGCCATCCATTCGGCGGGAAGCGGGGCTGTGGGATCTTTTGCTTCATTACAAGGAAGAGACGGCACCCACGCTCGAAGATGTCAAATAGCCCCGGGACGTGGGCATCGACGGCCAGCGCTTCGTGTCCACATTCGTGGCAAACAAGTAGACAAGTCTATTATCGCAATGTATAATATAATATCATATGGTTGTATCATAACCAGCCCCAACAATTACGGCTGTGTGGTATACTAAGCATCCGCTTCTGTTGCGCATTCGATATCCTAGGCTCCAGACCACGCTTATTACGTCCGGAGCCCTCTATCATATGCACCTGTTCGCAACACGGCGTCAGTCTAAACTTTCTCACACTCGAGACGACAGACACGCACCCGCAGCAGAGTATCTCACCGATGCACGCGAGGGCGCCGAGTATCACAGCGAATATCGCTGTAGTGGTAATGAGGATGAGGGTGGTGGGGAACAAAGCTCGTCAGCCTCCGAAGGCGAGAAAGGAAGGGGGGACGCACCGCCAAAGACACACTCGATGGCGCCCGCGATGATCTCGAAGACGGCGAGGATCGCGCCACCGATGCACTCGAAGATGCCGACGATGGCGGATATAATGATTCTGCGCACAAATGAGTCTTCTTCTTTGAGTCCTGTGCAGATGAGAGGCGGCAGCGTACCCCATGTTAGAGCACTAGTGTTTTCGTGACGTTTTTTTCGTGAAAAGGGGGTCGTTACCAGGCGAAAAGGGAGAAGATAAGATTATGCGCCAGGCAGGCACGCATTGGAGCCTCTTAAGTATGCATACCTACGAGCGTGTGACCCTCAGTGGGATCCACATCGCGCGTGCGGGGCAGGGCGGAGACACAACGGTGGAGTCTGGAGGGATGGGCGGAGCATGCGCAGCCTTGGACCTATTCTTGGGCGTGGTAGTCTTGGAGCTTGAGAATCAACAAGTCCTATGCGCGGTGCTCGCGAGTACCATTCTCGAGCACGGCGCACAGGGCAGGTTGGCGTCGACGGGGTTGCGGTCGTGGTGGTGGGTTCCAAGGACCAAGGCGCTCTACCAACTTCCGCCGGCCTTCCGCAATTAGGTAAAATGATCTGATGTCGCCACAATGCCGAATCGTCCCGCGAGCCGTGTCTTTTGCTGGCAAGTCGCGACGCGGAAGAAGTCCACATTATTTTCATGCGTTCTTGGCTTATGGCAGGAGCGTCAAAAGCAGTGCACTTGTCTGAGCTACTCCTGATTCTCCAGGTACGTCATTTTTTCGGTGCATTTCCAAGTGCTGAGTTCAAATGGAGGGAATAGTATTGTGGTTTACTTGTTAGACGAAAGACTTTGAAATAGATTTGAAAAAGCCAGCGGCTCAATGTTCCTCGATGGCTCGGACAAAGTCCGGTGAACCTGATAATGACATGCGAGTAGTCCTTTAACTAATGCTGTTTCTTTTATTTTTCCGGAGCTCTGTATCGGCTAAAGGCTTTGTGGCATATCCGCAAGTATGCGAGGCATCCTCAGTCCTTTATTCGTCCCCTGATTCATCTTCTCACGTATCATGGCATTAGATCAACTATCAATTCAACCACAGCTACTTCAGCTATTCTCAAGATGTCAATCCGGCGCCGAGATTCCCAGCTGCTGGACCGGCCGCAGTCCAACCTATCTCTGGTACCGCCTACTATCTGCCCTGCCCAAAATCGCCAGACATTAGCGCACTCTGTTGAAATGCCTGCGTGTCCGCTCGGAGATTTATGGTGGATAGATAGCCATGGTTCAATGTCTCGGCACAGGGGACGATCGGCCGAGGTAC